CAGTGGGAGCAGGGCTGGAACCCTGGCACACACAGTGGGAGCAGGGCAGGAGGGCGGCCGTGGCTTCCCCGCGGTGCCGCGTTGGGTTGGCAGGAGGGGGGAACGGGCAGGTGTGGCTCTGGATGGATGAGGGAGCTTGCTCCAGGGCAGGATTGTCCTGCAGAACTGGGGAAATCTGAAGCATTGCTCTGAGCTATGTCTTGTACCATGATGAAATATGGAGAATGGCTTTGTGCTGTTGTGTTCCTCTGGAGGAGAGCTGTGTGCTGAAGGCACTTGGGTAAAGTGAGCTCCTGCAGGGCCATCACAGGCCTTTTTAAAATGTGTTTTATTTTAATAGCAGGATTCGTAACTCCTGTTCTAAGCATTTTTCTTATTTCTCTTTTCTACATGTGTATTCATTATACTTTTACCATTTTATTCCCAAAATTTGTCACTGGAATGACCCACTGAACAGTGTAGGAGGGTGGGTGGGCAGTGGGTAATGTGAGAGCTTGAGCTGAGCTGGGTTAGAGGGACTGCCAAAGCAGGCAGTGTGGAAGAGGGAATGGCCACTACATTTCTCCTTCTCCTCAGACCTTCTCCTTGCCTAGATAAACAGAGGAATTAAATCTGAGACAGGAATTAAATCTGAGACAGGAATTAAATCTCGTTCCCCAGCAGTGCAGCTGGAACAGACTCTTTGGCTCGTTCCTTCCCCTGCATTGCTCCTGCAGTGGTGTAACAGCTCTGTGGGATGAAGTGAACAGGGAAACTACTCTGCTCTCAAAAACAGAACTGGCAAAAGAAAAATTAATTGAGCCTACATGTGTTTTCATCACCCAGCTCACTGCTTAGCAGTGGCATGACTGGAGGGGAGCAGAAGGGGCTGTTTGCAGCAGCAGTGCTCAACAAACTCGACTCTGATCTCACCTCCTTTCCTTAACTTGCTTGGATTGTTCAAACCCATTTTACTTGTGATGGTTGCTGTGCCTTCCTTTCCCTAATGTACAACAGGGAGGAGAGTTTGCTGCCCTGTTGCCACTTAGACTTTTCCCTTTTAGGGCTCAGGAAGGAAATTCTGGTTCTGTGCCAAACTGGCAAGAGGTTTGAGAGTTTATTTTTCTCTTCCTGCAGCTTCAGGGTGGCACAGTGGAATGGGTGGTAGCAGATTCCCAAGGGTTAGCAAAGAATCAGCTTCTTTGCTGCTTGTGGTTAGTGGAGACTGGAAGTGCCTGCTAGGGGTGACAAAGGGAATTCAGGTTTATTGTCTGGTACATCTGGAGAGGGTAACCTGGTATTTCTGCTGTTTCTGTGTTCTGATGTCTCTCACCTGGGCAGCCTCTGCTGTCTGGTTCTTCCCACCTTGTCCGGGAAGGGAATGACATCCACGTGGGTGGGGGAAGTGCCCACTGACATACTTGGAGTCCTTCTAACTTTCCCTGAAGCCAGTTAGGTGAGTCCTTGGAGGAGCAAGGAAGGGATGAGGAAGAAAGGGAGAGTTATTAGTTGACTGATAGAGTTGCAACTTACTTTTTAAAGTCTGTTTATGTTCACTGTACACTTGAACACTGCTGTTCATACAGGCCCACGTACCTCAAGGAACTGGGGAAGGTGTTCATGGAGACTGGAGGATGCAAAGCCGTGCTCTGCTCCGCCTGGCAGCGGGCAGGTGTGGTGCACTTGGGGCAAGTCAAGACATGATCCTTTGAGTAGCTTAAAAAAATACCCCACTTGGTTTGACATAAACAGTTTCTTTATGTTAGGAAATCCTGGTGCAGTATCACATAAACTCCCACGACGAGGCAGACGGGTGAAGACACCTTAGACATGTTTCATCCTCGGCACGTTGCCCTCCCCGCTAATCCCTGAGCCTCCCAATGGGAATGGGCCTGAAAGAATTATTTGTGGACTTTGATAAGTTAAAATACTTCATTAAAAGGATTAACATAAAACAATGACTACTGTATGAATGGGGCTGTGAGGACAATGACAGAATTCCTGGGGTTTTCTGTTTTGTTTTACTCAAGCACAGTGTGCAGTTGCAGCACAGATTGACTCGGGTGGCATCACACAGACGTTGTGTTGCTGGTTTGACTTAAAACAGGTTTGTCCTAAGGTAGCAGAAGAATAAGCAAAAATGGAGAAATGCAATTTCATTATAAGCTGAGCTCTTGTTTGATACAGTGAGGGCAGCACTTGGGATTCTGAACTTCCTGGTGCAATGAGGGTTTTTTTAATGGCTGGATTTTTTTTCCTCTTCAGAAAAGATCAACATTGAAATCCTGCATAACTGACAAAATGCTGTTTTAGCTTATAGTCCATAAAATGGGAAATGTCAGGGAGAAATTTGCTTCTTTTTGCTTTCCAGGATCGTTTTCATCCAGTTCCACAGTTTTGAATGTTCTCTAATTAAAAGGTTTGTGGGAGCTAGTCATGTCATGTAACCATATACTTCTTAAATGTCCTTTTAAAATAATTTTTAAGTCTCTCTATGTGCCAGAGAATTAGCAAGCATGGTATGAAGATGATGTATCTGACCCAGCAGTTTTTCAGCACTGAGCCATGTGTGCTGCTTCCTAATGGAACACTTCCTGAACATTTGCTCTTCCAGTAGCTGTTGTTTGGATGGCCTCCTCTTTCCTCTTGTTTTTGTGCAGAGGGGAATTGCTCGTGCAAGTAGCAATAAGAAAGCATTAACTGTCTCTAGAACAATTTATTGGGGTTTGTTTTCATTTCATTCTGCCTTTCTGTCTCTTGTTTTCCTTAATGGAGATAAACTGAAATTACAGAGGCCAAGCTGACTATGCATTTCAGGGAATTTGAACAACACAGTATTCATCACTGTAGGGAACTGATAGCCACTACCCAGGCAAGCTTGATATTATCAGTGTAATTAATATCCTTATGCTGAAGCAAAGCTATCTTGAATTTACTTTTCAGCCAGTATTTATTTCCGGTTTTGCCTGGAGTCAATAAATAATGTAATGAAGAGTTTCAGGGTTTGAAAGGAATAATTTTCTGCTTAAATGATTCTCCTGAAGTGATGTTTATTTGTTGCTGAAGTTAATTGAATGCTGGAGGTGGATTTCTAAAGCTGTAGACTGCCTGTCCTGGAATATATTCTCCCTCTCTTGTGTGGCACATCTTTGAACAGCAGTTCTTTTGAGGCAGGAGAATCACCCTGTGCAGGGTCACCAGACTTCATACATGAAGAAATCATTTTGTACAATCATCCTTCTGTATCTACAGGTCACCCTTTAAAAAAAACCAGCTTTGCAGTTTGTCTTGCAGGTCACTTTTGAGCAGGATTTGCATATTGTTGTCTGATTTTTGGTCCTTACAGGATGGGACAGTTCTTGTGGAGAAAGCTGCAGGTTTCCGTTGCTTAACTTTGACTTATGTTTAAGCCTTACCCAAGACTTGCTGTATATTTGGCTATTGAGAAACTGTATTTCCAAGTTTTAATTTGAAATTGCACTGTCTGAATCTCACATTGGAGATGGTCTTTATGCCCAAGTTTTAAACTCCTGCCATATTTAAACCAGAAAACCTCATATTCCTTGATCCAGTGGGATGGCCACTGTCCATTTGTGCTGTGGAAAGTCCACAGCAAATGAGAGAAACAAGGAAGTATGAGGTTATTCCAACTCAGATTTTGTATTTCTAAATAATAATCTCCTTAGAGGACGTGCTGCCTGCTCTGCTTGGAAGGCTAAATGTTGAAATAATGGCATTGCACATTTGTTCTCATATATTTGGTACTAATGCTCAGTGTTTTATTTCCTCAGTGCATTGGTTATTGCTGCAGTGTTTGATCGTGACGTTAATTGCAGAAGAGCTGCTTCTGTAAGTTACCACATTTCAACTTACGTGACTCTGTCAGTTTTTGTTTGTTTTCATTTAATTTAAAAATTCGTAGACTTGACTATGTAGAACTACAGTAGAGGAGCTGTGAGCAAAAAAAGTGCTTTTTGAAATCCTTAGAAGTATTGTGTGAATTTAGATTTTAATTGGAATAATCCACAGATGTACATCTTGATTTATGGCCACAGTTAACAATCTGCTGTATTCTTGTCATGGTGGTTAAGATAAAGTATCTAAGGAAGGGCTATTTAGCATTTTCTAGTCACAATATCACAGACAAAAGGGTCCTACACAAAACACAGACATTGGCTCATTTGCAGGTCACTAAACTGGTGAGTTTTATGAGGCAACACTTTTGTGATTGTACATCAGCTGTTACTCTCTGATCATGGTAATTTCTAGAATAATGTCTCTCCTTCAAACATATTTTCACTTATTGTATAAAACTCTTTCCATAGGGCTGGGAATTTTTAAAAGGAAGTGATAAATCCAGTAGGCAGGTTTGTTATGTAGTTAATAGCACTGACACCAAATTATATTCTGTGGAAACTTTCTGCAGAAAATATTTATGCTGATGAGAATTGGGGAAGAATGTTCCTAAGAGAAGGGAATGATGAAGAATTACAGAATTCTGTAGTCATAGAATTTAAGAAGAAGAAAGAATGCACACATTATCTTTGAGAATTTAAGTCTGTGTCTTGTATATATTGAACTTGCTTTCTTAAAAAAAAAAAAAAAGAAGGAAATAGGTATTAGTTGTCTCAACAGAAAAAACAAATTATTATATGTAAATGTAAAAAACCCCACCCTGTAACTGTATGAGCTCAAACCAGACCCAGACAGTGTCTGCCAAAGCACCAGGTGTCTGTTCCTGACAATAAATGTCACTGTGAATGTGTTAAAAAAAAAAAGACAGTCTTTTCAGTGTGTACATTAACAGGTCTGTCTGATTTTTTTTGACTGAAATTTTGAAAGCTAATGCATTTATAGCACAAGAAGGTTTTCTCAGGGATACCTGGATAGCATCCTTATTTTTCCTGGCCACACCTCTGGTGGAGAGATGAAGCTGCTGAATGAAGCTGCAGAGTAATTGCTGGGGAAGTGAGTCAGTGGTTGTGCAACCCCAGCACAGCTCGGGGGTCTGGAGGCTCTGAAACCAAAGCCAAGGGGCTGGAGGTTGCTGAGTGCTCACAGAACATATTCTTCACATATGTACAAATAGTGAATATCACCAGTGCTACTCCTCCTAAACTTCAACTCCTAAATTTAGGTAGAATTTACTGTTCTTGGCTAATGTAAGTCGCTTTATTCAAATCAATTCCTTGGAGGGATTTGCTTTCCTGAGAACTGCAACAAAACATTAAGGAGCACAGGTGGTGGGAAGTGAATTATTTATTTATTTATATAGAAATTTCCTTGGAATCAGGGGTCATATATAATTAGAAATCTATAACACAATTGCCACTACAAGTGTACTGCTTACCTTTAGTAGCTTCATCTGATTGTTCTGTGTGATTTTCAGTATGTTTCTACACTTAAACATAAACCAGTATTTGACCATGAACTATGGTGCTAAACCAGCCACGTTCACTAAATCTATGAACTTAGTGCAGCCTGTGTATCTATATTTCTAGTGAGTATAAAACCCAGCATATTTTCTCCTCACTTTCCTCTTCTGCTGTAGCCCAAGTACTTTCTGATTTAGAGCTGGTCAAAATTTGGAATTGCTGTTTGATGGGTAGTTATGAAAGTACCAAAACCTTTTTTCTTATTTTAGAAAGGCATAGATATATTTTGTGTTTGCCAGGCATTCCTACGATTTTGAAGAAAAATACCTGGGAGTCCTAAATATTTCCAATCATTCCTGCAGTTAAACACATATTTAAATAAACAACATGTTTTACTAGATTTTCCATCTATTACAATATGGAATATATTCTAATGCAGAGCACCAATAAAACAAAATAGAGAACAGAGACATTTTGAACCCTGAGGTTAAAGAGAATAGAACAAGACTGTGCTTTTGAAGCTCCACGAGCATTCTGGGCTGGCTTGTGCAACTCTTTCATGAATAATCAGTATAAGGAATAATCAGATGAATAAGTGATGTTGAATTGGACTCCATTCAGCTCTGTCATTTCAGAGGAGGGGTTTTTTTTCCTCTTGGTTGAATGATAGTTTTTAAATTATCTATTTTTAAACAAAATATATTTAATGTTGTAATATTTTTTCAAGTTTTGTGGGAAAGCAGAGTGTTCAGGTTACCAGGCTAGGTCAGTCACCTTGGTTCTGATCCCATGGAATCTTTATTTAATATCTTTGTATCCAGTTTTTCCATCTCCAGAAGGGGATTGTATAAAAAATGAAAAATTATTCTTACAAAGCAGTTGAACTATTTGGCATCCTTTAGGAATTCGAAGCTGTTTGAAAGTGTGACTGAATTAGTAACATTTTCAGTTACTGATAATCTCCTAAGTATTACAAAGAAAAGTCTTTTGTGAAATGATAAAAAAGCGCTAAAGGAATATGGAGGGAATTCTGTGAACATTATATGAGCTTTCTGTACAGTGGCTGGTTTGCTGCAACATTCTCTCTAGGCCCCTACACATCTTTTTCCAGTTATTTTGCCACAGTGTATTTTTGTCCCAGGGCTATGGGTTTATTGTAAGTAGGACAAAACTCTCACTGGTTTGCAACCAGATTTACATTGCTTGGCTATGATTTTGAAAGAAAAGAAGGCTTTACAGATTTTATATCATTTAGGCACTTGTCTGAGCAGCACATTTTTGAAAGGAATTGTAATGCATTGATTAAACTATGAAATCCCTTGGATATGATGGAGAGTGTCATCTTCACTGAAATGTCCCTGTGCTGAGTAAAAGGATCTCAATAGCATAAAGTACAGTATAAAATATAGGATATGCCCTCTGTAATATGTTGAGGGTCTCAGTAACATTAAATATAGCATAAAGTATAGCATATATCCTCAAAAATATATTGAGGGTTTCAATAACATTAAATATAGCATAAAGTATAGCATATATCCTCAAAAATATATTGAGGGTCTCAACAGGATAAAGTGGGACCTAAAGCTGATGAGGAAGTAGGAAGAAATAAATGATTCAGAGTGACATGAAATGATGTCCTGGCAAATCCTGACTCAGAGCAAGTCACACTCCCTTGTGTTGGGAACGAGGTGAGGAGGGGAAAGACCTGTGTCAGTCTGGGCCCCATCATTCAGCAAAGAGCAGACCCAGGGCATCTCTGCAGCCCCAGCTCCTGCTCCGGAGGCACTGGATGTGATGCCCGAGGCGATCCAAAGCCGGAGAGCCCGGGGGCACTGCTGGCAGAGGCAGGGGGGTGGGTGGGCTCCCCAACCTGTGCTACGTGTCCTGAGCTGGAGATGCTGTGAGCAGGAGCTGAACCTGCCTGGGCAGGTCTGCAGGGACTGAGCAGGATCACCCCAGGAAGGCTCCGAGAGGCTGCGGCTCCGTCCCGGCTGGTGCAGCCCTGGCTCCACCTGCGCAGTGGGTGCCCTGGGGAGCAGGCTGAACCTGTTGTTTCCACAGGTGGATTAACACATGGGTGCTGTATTTATGAAGGAAATACAGAAGCTCTGTCTGTCCAAATTCTTGTGGTATTTCAGTAAGGATTGGGGCTTCCCCCCATCTGTTAAATATCAATTAACAGTTGCTGTCCATCACTAGAGAGCTGTGTGTGCAGAGAGTGACGGTTCCTTGGAGAAATGTCCAGAAACTATGATCTCCCCTCCCTGAAAAGGGTTAAAATTTTTATTAATACTTAGAATTACAGCCTTTTGAGGAATGAAAAACGATGACTGTTTTTTTGAGGGAGGGAGAAAATTCAAGTAGGAAGTAGGGAATTAATTAGGTTTTACTCTGTGCACCGTACATGTACAGATTAATTTTATGGTCGTATTTGTTGCATTTTGCAAGAATTTGAGTTTATTTAGAGCAAAACACAAGAAACATATATGACTTTCATCTTAAAATTTCAGGGTGCTTTCAGACATGTACTGTGCAGATAAGTGCTGCAGTCTCAATGTTTTTTGCCTGAAGTTTTCACAATGAATCAAACTTTGCCACTCTCAGCAAGTGATGTTGAAGCCAGACAAGAGTGAGCTGTCTCAATTTCTGTTGTCTACAGGCACTGACTTTCAATCCCAGGGCGAAGCCTTGTGTCACTACTCCAAAGCACTTGTGTGGGTGTGACTGGTTTAATAAACCTGCATTCTTAAACCTCCAGCTTTGGGAGCACCCGAACGAGGAGATGCAGAAACAGAAAAGCCCCGCGGGCTTGTTCTACTGACAGAGTTTACTTTATTTAAAACAGAAAAGCCATGGGTCATTTATATTGTTGTGTGTTTTGAATTCATCATCTGGTGTTTATCAAAAAGCAAACCTGACTCGTTTTGGTGTGTTTGTTCTCTGTTCCTTAGGCTGCCTTCCAGGAGAATGTTGGGAGACAGGTACGGTGACTTCCCTGCATCTTCATTCATTTGTGCCTCGGAGCTCACTGTAAACGTGGAGTACCTGAAATCAAAACTAGACACTGTGGCTTTGGAAAAATTGAGTAAAAGAATGTCACAAAAATAATTGTTTTCATTATGAACAGCAAGTTCTAGTGGAATATTTCTCTGAGTTTTGAGTCTGATTTTAGTATTCCAGTTTCGGAAGAAGGGGAGCTTTCTGGTAATTTTCAGTCCTTCTGAAAAGCAGTATCAACATTTGTGACAGCCATGGTATGCCCTGCAAGCTGTAGTGCTCTTAAAACAGGAAAAGTGTAGTGTTGTTTGTTTGGGCTTGGGGTTTTTTGGGGTTTGTTTTGTTTCATTGACTTTCTCGTTTTCAATAGAAATAGAACAGCTGAAGTGTGCTGTGCAGTCATTGCTGTGGTTGGTGGTACCCCAGTGAACCAGGCTTAAGAGTCTTCAACTCAATTTTTGGGTTTGCCTGTTGTACCATACAGATATTTTGAGAAAGCTGGTGCTTCTGAAGGTACCCAAGTGCTTTGAAAAAAGATATTGTGGTAGGTTCTGATGTAACTTTAGCAACGTGTAAGTGGTTAAAATGCTCAGACAACTTTGATTTTCAACCTGGGAGGAGAGAAGTAAGTAGGGTAAAGACTTGGATTTCCTGGTTTCTTATCAGGAATTAATAAAACTGAACATACAACTAAGAGAGGAAGAAAAGGGGGGGGGAGTGGTTCAGTTAGTGACAGAGCAGGTCATGTGAGCATGGTTAAAGCAATTTTGTTATCAATAAACTGCTCTTTAAAAGAACAATATTATTCCTTTAGAACTGTGGGTGTCAAGCAGTCTGTTTCTATCCAGTGTGTGCATTTCTAGATAGAAGTAGTTTAACAGCAGAGAATGGGTGCAAGAAGACCCTGGAAGAGGGTAGGGACTTTTGGTGACCTGACCCAGGTAGGTCTGTGATAAGCAGAAGTCAGTGTGACTCTTCCCTGGGTCTGTAGTTCCTGCCCTGGAGAGGTTGGGCATCACAGAGCAGCTCAGCCTGGTTCCACCACGTGAGGTGCTGAGGGAAGTGAATAACACACCTTACCCTGCCTTCAGCTCCAGGTGAGGGAGGGCTCCTGGGTGCTGCAGGTTTGAAGTGCTTCCATGTAGCAAAAATTTTGTGGAGTGTTTTATTTCTTAATTAGAGGAGCACAGTCCAGGTTAGTTTACAACCAGAAAGGTTCCTTATGGTCTCTGTTCTGGCCCACAACTCAGATGTCTTGGTGTTGGTAGAACACACGTGACTTCAGCTTCTATGTTGGCACATTAGCAGTGAAACAGTCAGTTTTCATGGCAGAAAGGACACTGTCAGCCTCTCCTGCTGGTTCCTGCAGAAGTTCAGAAGTTGAACCATGCCTTGGTGCCTAGGAAAATGGTTTCTTAATGAGCAGATCCACCCTCTGGAGTTCTCTCCCCGGATGCACTATGTTAAAAGACACCCTTTCTCTGAATTAGAAGGAGCTAAAACATATTTTCCAGCTGAGGTAACAATGCTGATAGTTAATAGGTGGAGAAGAAGGCTGCCCTCACCTACCCCCTGCTTCCTGCCTGCTTCACCTTTGTAATTCCACATGTCCCAAATCTGGAGCTTGCTTGTGGCCACTGAAGAAGCCATTGTAATTCACACTGTGTGGAAATGGGAGCTTTGAAAAACGTGGAGAATTTTTTAAAGCATAAATAGTGAGAAATGCACCTACTTCTAATAATACCAACTTTCATATTGGAGAATTTTTCAGTGTTCTGACAGAATAGAAACTGTTGGCTGTTCCTGTGGAGCCAGGCTCTCCCACTGGCCATGACCTCTGTAATCCTGAGCTGGGAGTCAGGAATGCTGCTGTCTCACCAGCAGGCACGGTGGCACCCTGACCTGTGGTGAGATGGCATTGAACTGGCACACTCACAGCTGAGGAACAAATAGCAGGGTCCAGCTGGCAGCTAGAACTGGAATTATTTGGCTGTGATTTTCCTTATGTAGTGTGCATCCTTATATATTCCATTGCTTGCCTTGCTGTTTGACCTTAAATCATGATGAGATTTCTCGTGTAGTTTTTTGTCCCTAATCACTGTTTCATGAGGTTTTTGGACAGAGCATTCATTTCAACTTTGAGTTATCAGGGTGTCCCTTGGATAAGCCATAAATCCTCTGTCTCTCCTTGGTTCAGTCAGATTCCAGGCCTGGTTTGGTTTTTATTTTGGATCCCTGGCATTATGCTTCCCAGCCCAAGATCTCCAGAGCCCCTGGCAGCTCCCACTGCTGGCAGGATAAACTGCTTCAGTGGCTCAGGCTCAGATCGAGAGATACTTTCCACTGGTTTTGCATGGCTGTGTCCTAATGTGGAAGGGATGAGTGAGCTGTAAACAAACCAACCTGCATCACATCCCCAACCTGTACTTCCACAGAGCCTCATTCCTTAAACACTCTCCCGGTGTCCCTTCTGGAAGTGAGCAGAGTGAGTGTCTGTCACTTGGCTCTTTCCCATTTTGCTTCATTATGTCTCACGGATGCTTTGCTGCCTCTGCTTTTCCAAAACACAGCTGTGCTGTGTAATGCTCTGTTAAACCAGCCAGAGCCAAGCAAACTCTGAATGTCTGAACTGTATTGCTTATATATACAAAAATTCAAATTTCTAAGTGGAAATGTCATATTTAGAAAGATAATTTATTCTCTAGAAACAGACTGGCTTGAGCAGGGATAGCAGAAGTAGGATTCAGTCTTTCAGGCTTTGCTGGGAAACAGTTTTCTTTTTAAAACCAAACCAACCCCAATTTTTTAGTTCATTAAATGTATGTGTAAGTATTCTTCATGGGATGCATTTCTGGCTGCCCAAATCTCTAATTTTATACTTCATAAAACTCGCAGCAGATCCTTGTGCCTTCACATAAACTGGAAACTTGTTTGTGTTTACTTAAACCTCCTTCCAGAGGAATCATTCTCTGGGTACATACATAGTCATGCATTCCCCAAGTACATATTTGGGTATGACTGGAAGGTGTGAAGGAGCTATTGCATAGGTTACTGTCTGCTGCCTTTTACCTGGGCTGTTTATCATTGACTCACAAGCAAAGTGAGGTGTTTTGCTGTTTATATATTCAATATCCTTTATGTCTTTGGTACAAGTGATTTTACTGTAAATTAAATTGTGTTTTTTCAGTGCTTGGGAGAGTAGCTGGAAATTTGTTTTCAATAATGTTGCCTATTTGGAAAGTATTTTACACTTTAAAATCATATTTTGTTTGTAGGGCACTTTTCCCCATGGCATCGACATTCTCACTGCAGCTGATTATTTTGCTGTTGGGAACAGAGTTAACTGTTACCTCACTATAAGGTAAGTTTCCAAGCATTAGTTTTCCTAAACATGAGGGACCTCTTGTACATAATGAAATATTTGCTGGTTGTCTCACCTTATGGAACATTATGTTTTAACACTGATGATTTCAGATAAATTAAAATCAGATTTTTATTTCTGCATCAAACTGATTATCCTGTGCAAAACATAGTGAAAATGTGGCCATGGTTTCCTTGACTACGAGGAGGAAGCAGCCAAGGGGCCTTATTTGCAGCTGTCACAAAACTGTGCAAGCTGGTCAAGGGTGGGGAAGATGAGGGGGTTGAGTTTGTGGTCTGTGCATAAATCTGTAACTTGATTGCTGCTGTTTGTCCTGGTCAGCTCAGTGGAAATGTGACCACAGCGTTGGTAACGTTTGAAAAACCAAAGTGATCTCTGCAGTCCAGAGTCTGCAAAGAGTAAATGGGAGATACCCAGGCTGGAGTCTGGTTATAAACCAGGGGCTTGTCTCAGAGGTTGGTGTCAGCTCTGGGAATGCAGTGGTGCTGCAGTCAGGGGAGTTCAGAGCCAGGCTGGCAGCTCTGCGTGGCCAGGATGGACAGAACATTGCACTTCCTCTGGGATGATGACAAAGACCAAGGGCTGGTTCCAGCTTGAGTTGTTCCAGACAGAGTCTGGCCTGGAGTCCAGCCTCATCCAGAGCCAAGGCACAGACCGGCACCCACGGGAGGTGATTCAGACCCTTTGGAGACAGGTCAGGTAAATCACCCCATGGAATTGCTCAGAAGCCAAACAGGTCAGAAAGGCTTGAGCAGATGATATCCCTGGGGAACAGAAACAGCAGACAGCTACAGGATGGTGCAGGCTCCACCACCAATTTTGTGACTTCCACTGAGGAGTTTTTTAAGATAATTGCCCTGGAACCCTCCATCTTCTCCTTGACTGTTTGTCATGCATCCCACGTTGTCCCTTTTGTGCACAATCCCTTCAGTCTGTACATACCTTCACCTTTTACCGACTGTCAGTCCTTCTGGGGTCCCCACCCTCCTCCTACACCTTCCCCAGAGCTCCCACCCACGGAGCTGGGATGGGGAAATGCAGGGGCTTGGTATTGCACATGCTCGAGGTCCCTGGGGAATCCATGGGATTTTTGAAACTCTGGCTTTTTGTACTAGAAGAAAATCGAAAACATTCAGAATTGACAAAGCAGTTTTTATTTCCTCTCTTATATAATTTTGGCTTGGAGGGTGATTATGTTCTCCTTACTTTTTGGGAGTGGAAACATTAATTTTTTTTATTTTTCTTTTGATGCTCCTTTATTACTACAAGAAAGAAGAGAGGAGAACTCAAACATGGCAGGGGAATGTGTCTGTTATTGGGTGTTCTTCCAGAACAGGGAGAGGAACCAGAGAGTCGTGAATGTTATAATTTCTCTGCTGGCATCAACCACAAGTGTCCAATCCCCTTCTAGGGCTCAGTAGATGTTGTTTCTCTGTCCTGTGTTGGCTCAAGTGAGCAGGGTCTGTCCCGTGGATTTAAGGATTCCCACTCCTCTGATGAATTCCATAGATGCCAATATGGGAACATTCCGCAGCATCTGGGTTTTCTCTTTGTTTTACTTCTAATTACACACATGTACATTAATGGGACACTGTTATAGTGGCAGAGTTAATCACTCAAAAGATAGGAAAAGGTAAAATTAAGATAATCCATGTGTGCTTAATGCTGTCCCTTTGTGCCCTTTTGACACAAACACGTTCTGCTGATTGTTGGGCTTCCCAAGGTGATTTAACACTCATCAGATGTACTGAGAAAACATTTCATTTAGCTTGTGTTGACCTTGGCTTTCAATAGTTGATGCTTCTGAAGATTGGAAAGCAAGTGTGGCTGTAAGTGAGGTGACTGCAGGCTCCTGGGATAATTAATGCTGGTGTTCCTGTACGTCTCCACTTTGCAGCTTTAACAGTTTTTGTCACAATGGACTTTTTGTGTGTGTTCGATCTTTAAAAAGAGACAGATTGAAAACCCACATTCTGTTTTGTATTTATGAAGATGTAGCACATTTCTAGAACTTACCTTTCCTGTGTCCTGTAGATGGAAAAAATTGCACGAGTTAATACACACATCTGGATTTTCTAGAATGTAACAATGAGAATTGAATGTTTATTTTTGCTCTTCATTGCTGTCAAGCGTGGTGTGTGTAGAGTAGCTTTTATGAAGGCTCTGAAAGCTTTAAAAATTTTCAGTTGTAAAATATTTGCTACTGTATAATTCAGCTGCATCTCGTTGAGGAGAGGGCACATTTAAGTAATTTTTTTTGATTACTTTAAAACTAGAGGATTTAAACCTTTGGAGCAGGTTGTGTTTAAATGCACACAGATGCTGATTCTGTACTCTGTCTCTCTGACCTATATTTCTATATCTATGTGTGCATTTCTTTTTCAGTGTGTATATTGCTGGCTTTCCTGAGTATACACAGCCAATGATTGATCATTTAGTTAATATGAAGATTAACCACTGGGACAGGTAAGTTCATAAAGTTTTAATTATTAATATCCAGGAATTGACTGTTCTGCATATTATATTTTCCTAGACTATTTTTGTAAATTTTACACCAAAGTTTGCAATAACATTTGACTGAAGGAAACTGGGCAAGTAGTGGCTGATATAATCTCTACCTCCTGAGCATACTGTCACTTAAGCAGGTTTATGAATTTGTCTTTTGGCCATGACCTCAATCTGTTAATAGATTAATAAAACCCATTTATATGTTCTATAGTGTATGTGGGGGGTAAACACTGTCACCATACAATTATCCTAATTAAAGCAGATTTCATGCATAGAGATGGTGCTTAGTCACATTCAGTGTTCAGGAAGGTTGAAATGTGTGCCTATCACACAAATGAGATTGTATCAGTGCTGAGCCCAGTTTGCATCATGAGAAATAATCACAGTTTACTGCAGTGGCCCTGCACAGAACAGGCCCTGGGGTTCCACCAGCCCCACTGTTTGTCTCTTTGAGCAACAAGCTTTATTCATGTTGCTCAAAGCTGGCTCTAGGCTGGCTGCAATGGATGCTGTTTGCTTTTGTTGGCTGTTTTGGAGGGAGGAAATACAGGATGGACAGAGAATACTGCAATTTTCATTATTTGGGGGTCTTTTTTTCGCCTGGGGACGGAAGTCTCTTCCCGACGTTGCTTTTTTTGATACGTTGCTTCTGCTAAATCGCTAATGCCCCCAAATCCTAAAATTCTTTCTTACATCTTCAGTGTTATTCGAGAACTTTCCACCAAAGCCCTGCACAACATCACTCCCCGGGCCCCCGAGTACATGGCGAACGTGGGTAGGTACCAGCTGGGCCCTGCACGGGGGGCCAGGCCAGGCCTGGATGGCACAAATGTGTGAAGATCTAAGCATGCACCATGGCTTGGTAAAAATTAACATTTCCCCCTGCAGCTTCCTGCAGTGTAGTGACACTCGTGGCTTTCCCGGTTTTCAGATTTTATGTAAAAATTCTCAAAGACTGCCGGGTTGTTTTTATCTGGGGCGTGGGCTTCAGTTCCCTGAGTGCACTGGACCCTGCTGGTTCTGAGGTGGATAAATGGGTGCAGTTGTGTGGGAACAACTCCAGCAACTACTCCTCAAATTCCCAGATTCTGCTGACAGTAAGGCTTTGATGTTGTAGAGGGTGGGGGGATCTGTTTTGTCTTGTCCAGTCTGACATCTGCAGCAGAATTCCTTTCTGTGTGTGTGTAGTCAGATGTTTCTTAGCATTATTTCCTCGGCCCATTCCAGATCCTGAGGATGTACTGGCTGCATTTTAATGTGGCTGGGAGACAACAGTTGGTCCCCAGTGGATCTGCAGTGACAGAGCTTGCCTGGGCTCCCTGTCCTGGATTAGGAATGTGGCAGTTTACATGGAAGTCAAATTCCATGGCAGTACAAGCCTCACTTCCTCGACTGCTCAGCCAGCCCAGTGCCCAACAGTGACATTATTTCATTTACTCCAGCCAGGGAAGTAGTTGGGAGTACAAAGAATTGTCAGAATTTACTTTATTAAAACTTGTTTTTCATAAAGTAGCCAGGATACTTCACTTTCCAGAAACGTTTTCCCCATTTTATTTCTAGGCAGACATGATTACATGTAGAACTGTGATCTGTCACTATGCTTTGTTTAAAAAAAAAAATTAATTATCTAATCTCTTTCAGTTTTGCCAAGACTTCTGCCTTTATCAGTGGGCTCAGATCTGCACACACGCCATGGGGCAATCCTTGCCTGTGCTGAGATCACCCATGCTCTGTGTAAACTGGCACAAGAGAATAATAGGTATTAATGCAAGATTATCTTGACTATAAATTTTCCTTTCATGTCTGGTCTATTGAAAGCTTCCTGAGTATAATTATGGAAATCTTCATCTCACTGAGCTGCTTTTCCATTGAATTTTTGTTTGTTTTGATCAATGATGCCGAGCCTTCACGTTTTATTCAGTGATGGTTTAAACTTGAGTCTTAAATTCATCAGCAGGAAAGGGAGAGCACTTGCTGCCTTATTTGGAGAGTTCAAAGTGATCACTTAAATATAGATTAATCCCCTTTCCCCATAGGTGGGGGCCTTCGTGGTGAGGGGACAGTCTTTTATCTTCAGTGTAAGAGAAATCCTTCCTCAGTGTGAGAGAAATACCTCCTCAAGCAACTCGTTGAGTTGGACTGATGGAATTGTTGCTGCTGGATTTCTGGTCCATATATATTATATATATACACACATACACACTCATTTGCCATCAGTGTCTATCAAAAGAATCTGGGTTTATTTTAAAGTTTCCTTTTCAAGGAAGTTGAAAAGTTCAAGAAAAAGATGCAGAGCGTTTTTTTAGTAGCAGGAAATACTTGAAATAGATGGAAAAATCACAGAAGTGTTGGAGTCCAAAAATACAACTGAGCTGAGAAGTATTATCAGGGTGTTACTGATTATAGTTTTATTGGGAAGTGATACTAGTTTTATGTGGTCGTTTAGGAATGAGTTTGCTACATTATAAGGAAAGAACTTCTTTTGTTATGCTTGCTCAACTATTTAAGATTAAATATTGCATATTTCTGTGGAGCATAATTTGGAACAAATGACTGTTTTTTTGTTTGAGAGTACAGTGTGATGTCATGGAAGAAAAATTACAGCATGATTAGGAAACCTGTATGAAAAATTCTGTCTCCTTTTACAGATCTGTAACGTACTATTTCAGTGAAAAATCATTGGAGGGACTTAAACAAATCCACCAAGAGGTTTGTAACCAGTATAAATGTATTTTTTAACCTGGTGTATTGTATGGTTTTTAAACAAAGCTTTACAGCTAAGGCAGCTGTCCACCTTCCTCATGCCCTTGCCAAGAGCAAACCATGTCACAAATGTGGTCACACCCCCAGACTGTCTGATAGCTGCATGTCCTGGACCCTGTGTCTTACAGAGTGATTCTGGAGGCTGTTCTACCTCTGCTGAGCCCCTTGCTCTGATGCTGGAAGTCACATTTTTGATATACCTTTGACTCCCTTTCCCCTCTCTCTATGTGCTGACTGGCTTTGCAGACCTTGGGGTGACCATGGTCAAGGGAGACCTCCCAGTGAGCCTGTTCTGTCCCTGCATCCATAATTTACCTGTTTCTAGACCTCAAAGTCATATCCTGCATTTCAATTGCTGCACTGTCTATATCTCCACATATGGTAAATGAAGTCTTGCCCTGCTCAAAGCAGTTCCAGGTGCTTCCACAGGGATGGTTTTCCCTGTCTTGTCCATTTATTTTCAGTGATCTCATGTTGTTTTTTTCTTTTGGCTCTTATTTCTTCCCCCTTTGGAACAACCTATACTCCAGTGTTCAGGCTCCTGCTTTCTGCAGGATCTGTAGTACCTTTAGTCCCAGTCTGATGTGCTAAAGCTGTCAGGCTTCTTCATTTACCCCATAAAGTCCACAGGTGCCTGTTTCACAGGTGAGAGCTGCTGCCACAGGTTGAAAAAACACCTTTTCCCTTTAACTTTCTCACATTGAAAGGCCTGAAAATTTGGTCAAGATGTCTGTGCTGTTACAGTGGCCTCAAGTTGTTATGATGCAACTTGTGCTGTTGTTTGTAATTAATCTGCAAAGTTGCCATAAACTTTTTTTTTTTTTTAAATACCTGTTTGTTTTTTTTGTTTTAGTACATAGAAGTGAGATAATCTCTGATTTATTTTTTTTTAAGTTGGTCTGCTGTAACATTAAGAATGAGCTAATATTTTTCAGTCAGTTTGATTTTTTCCTATTTAATCTGTAGCTAGCAGAGTTAATTTCAGTTATCAACCAATGCAGTCTATCATTCTGAAAGAACCAATGGTGGAAAGCAAATGTATTTTAAAAAGCCAAACTGGCTTCCAGGGTATATGTAGGAACAGCTTGGATTTGGAATTCAGGAATTTATGAATGTGTTACATTGATTTTTCTTTGAATGTAAAGTGCAAATTGGTATAGAGAGGTTGTTTCAGAAAAGATTTTTCCTTTCACTTTTATTTTTAAAATTATCTGAAAGTTTGCACAGCTCACCATACATAGCATTGCATGTGAGGGGGGGGGAAATGAAAACACTTGGATCAAACAAACTCAACTAATATTAATATTTGTTGCTTTTTTTACCCCCCAGCTTTGCAGTCGTCAGTTGTACAGGTAAGGAAATGGATGCCAAAAAAATAATTTTTTTTACTGTAAAGTGTCAATTAGAAGGAATGAAAACAGAAGGATCTGGGGGGGCTTTTGGTTTGTACAATTAGTGGCACCCACCAGAGACTACCAGTCCCTCCCAGTCCCCCAGATCGTGGGTGCAGGTGGTTCAGAAAGGGCTACAGAACTGGCCTTTAATTAATGAGCCCAAAACCCATTTATTTATTTATTTAATGGAGGTTCTCTCTAAGTTCCAGAATTGCTTTCCCCATCCTGTGTAATGGGCGGGTCAGGAGCGTTGCAAAAGGTTCAGGGCAATTTTTCAACTCTTGCGACAAAGAAAATGTAAATGAGTTTTCACTGAGTTGTTTTTCATTTCCTATTTGCTGAAGCTTCCAGGAAATAAAGGGAGGTTGCCTAAATAACTGTTAAGTAAAAGTGAATTAAAACTGATGTGTTCCTAAATTTAAGGAAATCAAAAAGCAGAATGAATGGCTTTTATTCCCTAATGATTGTATATGTGGATTAGGGGTTTTTCCTCTTTTAGCTGACAACATTTTTTGGGCAGTTGGCACATGACAAATCAGTAAAACTTAAGTAGTTTTTTTGTGTAATTATTAATTATTGATTAAAGAATTTTTATGTAAGTATTTTTTCATCTTGAAACTTACTGAAAAAATGAGAAAATTTGCTTTTTGAGGGTCGTACAGAGGGGTGTGAAACTTCCAGTCCCAAGTGAGCCTGGGCTGGCGGATGGGCTTAGTGCTGATACTGTATATTTGTGTCTTTGTGGGTGGCTGTCTTGGCTTCCATAAATTCTTTAATGTCAGGGTGGAGCTTGGGTGTAATTTGTTTTTGTCATAATGTGCACTTCTTGCACTTAATGGTATTTATAAGATGCCTACAGAAATGTTTTCATTCTAGATAAGACTTCTAATTCAACTCCAAGGCTGATTGATTCACTGCTGTTTGCTCTCAGGCTGAGACAGAGATGTCTTCTCTAATCCATAGTTTAAAATATCGGCATGCATAAAATATTTTAAAAAGAGGGCAAGAAAAATAAACTGGGTTATAAAAACAAACCAACAATTGGAGTGTTGCTGGGCAAGCATTAAGTGAAACAAGCCCGACTCGTTTCGTGATGAGTAATTATTGCACATAATATTCCAAAGATTTCCATTTGAGAAATTGCTACCGGGAATTTTCAGTGTTAACAACATCTTGTAGGAATGTTGAAAACCCGTGTGTTTTGTTTGTGTTTTAAGTTTTTAAACTGAGTTAACAAAAAGCATCTGGCCACACGTCTCAGATATTTTGCTTTCACTTCTGGCCATGGAACAGCCTTGGTGGGGACTGAATGGATTTTAATGCTTTGATCAAGCTGTTTTCAGGAATTGTGTTGGCCTGAGAGAAAAGGAAAAGGAAGGAAAGTGTAAAAATGCTGGGTTTTTTTTAAAATAGTTTTTAAATTGTAGTTTATAAATTTTGAACTGGAAAATGGGTCATGAGTTCCTTGACTGTTTAATGTTTAGGATTCTGTTGAATCCCTGAGGATCTCAAGTCAAAAAAGAGAAATCCAAAGTGCTGTAACGGAGACATTCACAGAGCTGCCCAACCATTTCACTTTGTTTAGCAGCTCTTGTAACATCTTTAACCTGATTTTAAAAAATGCCATAAATTATTCTTCAGACAGGACACATTCCAGGTGTTGAGTTATACTGAAGTCAGTCTCAATTTTGAATACACTTGAAGCAATCAAATTTGTTTATGCTAATTGTAGAAAATCCTGTCCTCTACTGTGTTAACTTTTTTTTTTTTTTTTAAATACAAGTATCTTTCTGTCTTCCTGTCAAAGTCCTTCTCTGGGTTTACCATAGTACACTGAAAAAAGAGCCTGCAAGCCTGGGCACATCAGTGTGCACTTCCTCCCATTAGCCTTGATCCTGACACATCTGATGCACTGGTTTGTCTGGAGGAGCTGGTTGGTTTGAGGATTTGCATGGGCACTTCCAGCTGGGGATTGCACAGGGAGCCTGGGTTTCTGTGTTCCGTGGGCACTGGTTAGAGCACGTCACATGCAAACCATGCCCCTTGGAGCATTTGTGTCTTGCGCCTCTTTCATGCTGCTCAGGTTATAAAGTTGCAAAAATTGAGCTATATTTTATTTGCTTTAAACATTACTTTTATATATAAAACCCTAAGGCAAGAACCTGTGGCATCTGTTGCCTCGAGCTGTGTTACTTGGGTTAGGAAGTCACTCTGGTTTCAACTCAGTGTCAGTTGTCAGCCTGATTTATGTTCTGCTTCCACTGCTCCACCATGGTTAGTGTCTTTTTTTTGTAGCAGATCTCTTTCTGTTGTGCATCTGAGACTTTGTACTCGTTCTCAGTACTCCTTCTCCCAAGTAACAAGTGATAGGAAAGAGGTAATGTCCATAACTTGCACCAGGGAAAGTTTAGATTGGATATTGGAAAAAATTACTTCACTGAAAGGGTTGTCAAGCATTGGAAGAGGTTGCCCAGGGCAGTGGTGGAGTCACCATCCCTTGGAGGGATTTAAAAGCCAGGTAGATGTGGCTCTTGAGGACATGGTTTCGTGCTGGGTTAATGGCTGGACTCTATCATCTTGAAGGTCTTTTCCAGCATAAACAATTTAGGATTTGATAATATGAAAAGTCTTCAAGAAAGGAGTAGTTGTGTTAGGGTTCTCTAAAACTGCTTCATGTGATATAAGGTACTTGAGTGACTATTCAGCTGAACAGATATTCAGAATTTTTTTACCTTTCTTGTAGCCAGTTCTGAATCTGATAATGTGGATCTTAATGCCTCACTGAGGTCTTCAGTGTCCTCAAGTGGGGAAGTGGAGGGGTGGATACTGATCTCTCCACTCTTGTGACCCGTGACAGGACTCGAGGGAACAGCTGGAGCTGAGCTGGGGGAGGTTTACGTTGGATATCAGGAAAAGGTTTATCACCCAGAGGGTGATTGAGCACTGTAACAGGTTCCCTGGGGAAGTTGGGGTGTCCCGTGCAGAGCCAAGAGTTGGACTCGATGGTCCTGATGGGCCCCTTCCAGCTCAACATATTCTGTGATTCTGTGGGAGTCGTGTGACAAGATTAGGAACAGATATAGAGGTTGTGCAGATAGATGCTCTGGGCTTCCTGCAGGTGGTTGCACTGCACTTCTGTATTTGAGCAAATGTTGTTTGTTGTCCCTGGAGGGTTCCATCCGAGCGGGATGTGTCGGGATGCGCGACGTTCCTCAGCGACTCCCACGCCAGCGAGCGCGACGTGCTGCACACCGAGCTCTGCTCTGAGCTCATTCCTGCAGCCCCTGAAGAGCCTGGCTGTGTGTGTTGCCTGTCAGCTGTGTCAGCCCAGCAGGTTTAGGAGCTTAGAAGAGCAGCTCGTGTCGGTTGAACTGGCATCGGCAGAGTTTCGGCTTTTCCAGCACAGTAAGGTGGCCCGCGGGTGTCGACAGGTGCTGGGCAAAGGAGAAACTTGTCTCGTTTCAAAGGCCTTTAAGGTTGTAACTAATCTTGATGGTTTCAGGGCAAATGTGTTTCTTGGCATGCTCAGCTGCCTAAAAGAGTTTTTTAGGCGTATTAGCTTAATCAGCAAATAATTCCAGCCTTGCAACAAAGCTCAGCGTAGCAGTTCTTCCAAGTTCAAATGGTTTTCTGCACCCAGGAGCACGTTGGCTGTGTGAGATGGTGCTGCACTGTGCTCTGAAGAGTTATAAGGTGACATTCCTCTGCTACAAACTAAAGTCATTGGAAAAACTTGCTTCCATGGAGCCAGGATTTTACCTGTAGCATTGTGGTGTTGGAATACAGTACACAGTGTGTGTGGTCAGCATACAGATTTACAGTAACCTAAAAAGAGGTGTTTGTCAGGTTAGTAGAGTTTATTCTGTGCGTCTTAAAGGGTTGGTCATCAGAGTTTTGTTAAATACAGGGGTCTGTTCATCTGTGCTCAGGGGTTCCCTTTCCCCCTCTGTGCACCCTCTGATAAAGCCATTATGTACCTCCAGAGCCCAGTGAATGTGCCACCTGGACCTTTTAAGATACCTCAATTCTGTTTGGGACAAAGAATCCCCAAGGAAAATACTTGGTTACTATTCATCCGGAGATGAAATACATGTTCTCAGCTTCCTGGAAATGCAGTATTTGCAGTTGAATCTCTTCAGCTATTCCAGTACTTTTAGGTTCAGATTTGGATGTCTGTGAAAACAGAGATGCTGTTCAATTCCAGACAGCTTCAGTTACTGTTACTTTCATAATCTTAAAGAAGAGTTCTGGTCTTCTCACAAAAAGCAGGTTTTAAATAATTAAAAAAATAAATCCTCAGAAGTGCCTTGAACTTCTTTATGCCCTGAAAACTGCCACTGGTTCTGATTCAGGCCAACATAATTATGAAATAGATACTGTCATTCTTAGGTCAGTAATCTTAATTCTGCAAGGGGTTGTATATTTTATTTTCCACAAGTAAATTGTGACTCACCCTAGGATGTTTTTAGGAGGGAAACATTGCTGTGGAACTGCACATAGGAAGGAATGATCAGGAGCTCGTGGAGCCTGGGCACTGCATCAGTCAATTTGCAAACTGAATTAATAATTAAACCTTGAAACAGGTACATCTAATAAAGTGGTGCAACTTGTGGATATGTCTTTGGAATAAAAAAGAAGGAATACTGACTGTACAGCAAAATTCAGAATCTCTGAATTAGGTAGATCCATATCTTTTTAATTTGCTGAAATACTGTCAAGCAAGATAAAGTTAATAGAAAGATGTGCATCATGTTTGACAAACTAAGCACTGACTGAGAGAAGATCTTGGACTATGATAGAACTCTCAGTTCTTAAAAGTGAAATATGTGTGAGCTGTGGAAAAGGGCAAAAATCAGCTCTCCTGGTGGACACACCGTGGTGTCCAGGCAAGAAACAACTTGAGAAGCTTTGCAGAGGAGCACACGGGGATCATGGTGCTCCACAGATGGGTTTGATTAGAGTTTGTGTGTTACATGGAAATCCTCCTATGCAAATCCCTGTCACCACTCTGCATTCTTGCATGGGGACAGCAATCCTCAGCGAGGCTCTAAACTCTGGAATTAAATTGAGTTGGTTTAGTGCCAGAGGAAGGGATAGCTGTCAAATTATTAACATCAGAGCAGCTCCAAGTGGCCTGACTTCCTTCTTGGCAGCGCGAGGAAGTGGAGAAGAGCAGCCTTTGTGACTCAGTTCTTGCTTTGTAGTTGGAACAGAACAGTCCATATCTGAATCCCTGCATCAGCAGACTCTGCTGCACACCAAACACATTTACAAGGTGATTATTTTATACTCCTTTACAGGAAGGCAGCAGACAAAAGGCAAGGAATGGGTGAGGGCAAAATGAAGGGAGAGAGAAGTGTGGAAGAGGAAGCAAGACTGGCCACATCAGTCACCTGCTTTTGCTGCTGTCTCGACTCCTTGCATCACTTTTTTGTTTTCTAATTTAAATTTTTTTAGAAGCTGGAGAGCAGACAGCATGGCAGGAAGGTGGGGTAGACAATTCAAAGACCTTATCAGCACGAGGATGTGGAATCTCTGCTTGCTTCCTGCAGTGATAAACTGGGGATTATTACATTGAGATTAATATATATTGATTGTCCAAAGCAAAAGTTTCTTGGTTAAAGGAAGTGCTGATCTATGGCAATAGAGAATATTGTGGAGTTGGCATCTCTGCATTACCTGAAACACCAGTGAAAATGTTGAGCAGTCAGAAACCCAGAGCATGTTACAGGAGGCACCTGCTTGTGTGGAATGGAAAAACTTGTTTCAAATGTTCAGGCTTTTGAAGCTCATATGAAGGGATGAATTGGAGAACAAAGTTGGAAGAGTTGTTAGGGTTGCTAAGTTGGCCTTCTGAGCACAGCTACTAATTTTGTTGTGGGGAGGGAGAAGGAGAGGAGGGAAGAAAATGTTTAGGAAAAAAGAAAACAACCAACAAGCAAACAAACAGAAAGCTTTTGTTGTTCCTCCCCCTTGCTGGGAGTTTCTGCCAGAGCGTGGCCATGCAAACAGGTGATTAAGGGTTTGGCACACCTCAGGGAGGAAATATTCCAGCAGAAGTGAAGGGAGACAAGAAGGAGTCAAGGGAGGAAATATCCAAAGGAAAGGCAGGTCAAAGGTTCACAAAATGGAACAGTTGAAGCCACAGAGGGTGACACTGAGCAGAACACCCCAGGCAGTGCTTACAGAGCCTTGGGGATGGAGATCCATGCAGCCAGGAGATGTCTCTGCCCAGAGCCAGGAGAAGCCAAAGAATGGAAACAGGCCACTTTTCCATTTCCAGGACACTTCTCCCCTTTCCCACTTTCTGCACAGTTCAGGCTTTCTCCTCATGGTGCTGTCAGTGGCTCGTGTTCAGAGTAACTGGGCTGAACTCTGAGCTGGTGAGACCATCTTTGTGGAACACACATTTACCTCAGGAGGCTCTGAGGCATTTTGAGCCATTTTGTTTCCCATTTCTGCTGTGTTGGAAATTTTTATCCCCTCACTTGGGGCGATAAACACAAAATCACCTGGGAAAGGGCTTGAGCAGGAAAGGAGAGGGTGAAGGGTGAGGAACCTCCCCAGGACAGTAAACCAGATAACATTTGTGAAAATGGGAACTGGGAGGTGAAGTTTCTGTTTAATGTTAAAGAGGTGAAGACTGTGTTAAAAAGTTGCACGTAATTGCTTTTCAGTTCTGGAATCAGAAGCTGGTAGAGACTGTATGACTGAAAAATCCTTTGGCAAGTTCCATGGGTTTGGAATGCTTCTGAAGCAGGTGAAAAGAAAAGCAGCATGACAGTCTTTTATCATTCACATTAAGAATTAGAAAACCCGGGAGTGCGTTTTTGCAAGAAGAAAGCTACATATTCAGGAGGGTTTTGTATAAATCACACTGACATGAAGAAAAGTTGATTTAAAAAGTACCTTAGAGTATTTTAGATACAAAACTGCAGGTATTTGGGGCTCTGCTTTCATTCTGAAATGATTTTGGGGGTTTTTTTTGCTCACTGTAGGCAATGCACTCAGGTTGCTTGTGGTTGGTTGTTCTCTGAAGGCTGTTTCTCCTTTGCAGGGGTTTAGGTGGAGAACTGATGAGACCGGCAGGTGAGTACCACAGTGGGTGTGACAGCAGAAAGGGGCCCCAAGGAATTCCTCTGTTTACTTATTTCCACTGTGTTTTGCATATGTTGTGTTGAATGTGTAAGTAGAGCATGCACAGTAATTAAAAACACAGACTTTGGAGGCCAGTCAGAAGATGGGTGCACCAGAACACTTGTGAATAACTGTGTAAGAGCTGGAGGTAGCTCTGGGGTCTGTCACATGTTCTCTCCTTCCATTGTTGCACACAGTGAACCTTTTTCAGGGTTGAACTGGCTTCCTTCAGTGATTTACTCAGATTCCTCTGCAGCAGAGATATGATCTACACATTAAGACAGATGCCATCTTGGAAACAATGATTTTATCATGATATGTGTGTGTGCAGAAGTGAAGCATAAAGACCATGTAAACAATAGTCTGTGGAAAGCGTGGCATCACAGAAAAGGTGGAGTTTGAAGATTGTTATTCACTAAAAAGGAGGGGCATTGCAGGAAAAAGTAGCCTGGGTGGATAAGGAAATGATGCCAACTTGGTTTCCTGCTTGTGGGTTGAACAAAGGAAGTGCTACAGAGCAGATTCCAGCTTGGAAGATGTGAAACCATCCAAAACTCATGGGTGAAGGAGTTTGAGGACCAAGATGGAAGAGTGATCAAATAGGAAGGGTGAAGGGGACAGGGGGATTTCTGCAGTCTTTGAATGAGGTTTCAGCCTTGTGACATGGAAATGCAGGCTGAAAGAGCTGGTAGTTTTTTATAATATGTTTTAGCTTTCAAGCAGCTGAATATTTCATGGTTTTGGAGTAGTACAAATGACAGTATTTTGGCATGATACAACTATGTAGGTGGAATAAGAGAAGAATTGAAAATGTTCCACAGATTGCCTGCATGTCTAATGAAGATGATGGTCTCAACCACAATAGAGCACAAAGGAGAGCAGAGAACTGAGGAGGAATCCCAAGAGACTTGGGTTTAGTCACACTGTACTTAACCTTGCCTGTGAATAAATATTGGCACAGAGAAGCTGACACCCAATATTGAGAGGAGTTTGTGTGACAGTGGCACAGTGAGGAGTGAGTTCAAGAGCAGATTTGGAGCCCAATAAGTTGATTATAAATGAAGATGATGATGAACTGTGTACAGAGCCCAGAGGAAGATTCAAAGATTAAGGTGTGAGAGGAGAGGAAAACAAAAAGGTGGCATTACATTATACAGTAGCTTGTTCTGTCCTCTCCCTGCTCTCCACCAACTCTAAAGCAGCCTGGCAGTAAGGATGGGTACCCATCTGCTTTATTTGAACTGAGCACCAGGAGGTGAAATACATGGTATTCCCCAAGTGCCAGGTTGAGCAGTACAGTCAGTCTGTTGTACAGGAATTTTGCAGTGTTTACTGTGTAAATCTCCATTCCCCCAAAAAAGCCTCAAAACACTAAAACAATACATAATTCTCAAAGTGGGTTTGTAAACGTAGAGCTCATTTAATTTTATAGATTTAAAATAACAAGGGCTTCATTATTAAAATGACGTTTTCACGTGTTCTGAGTATCAAAGGAAACGAAGCTGCATCCAGTTTCATAGCTCCTGGCTCTGTGCAGTGAACAGATGATGCTCCTTGGAGGTCCAAAAAAATGTGAATAAAAAGTAGGAAAACCTGTCATATATATTTGAATAGTTTTTTCGAGGCTGTAATGATTTTCCTTGTCCAGGTTGGTTCACTGTCAGTGATACTACAGGGCCATTTACAGGCTGGTGCAAAAACAAAAAGGTGGCTGATGTGTTTGTGCACACCTTGAGTGACAGAGGGGGAAAACATCCCCCCAAACAAGGGATTTTCACGAATGATGGGACTAACTCATGTCAGAGAACAGTTTCTGCATAGTAGCTATTTTTTGTATAGGTATTATTTCCTTCCAGTTTTTAATATCACTTATTTTGGACATTTATTTGCAGATATTCTTCAATTGAAAATTAACACTAATGTAGTTTTATGTGGTTGTATCTTCAAAATTGCTGCAATTTTTCTTTTATTTTTGTATTTATTAAGTTATCAAACTTATTTTCTTGCAGTCTGCACTTTAATTGAAAAGCTGTCACTGTCAAAAATGCCATTTAGAGGAGATCCAATAATTGGTATGTCCTATTTTAAATAACCTTCCATGATCTTCGTAGCTATTCATTAAAGTATTAACAAATGATGTTCTTTAAAGAATCAAGATTGGTGGGGTTGGGTGGCCTAAAAAAAATCCAAAAAAATACCCAAATAGTGCAGCAGATGCTGATAGTATTTGAAGATTTGTTTTGTAGCTGTTAACTTGACAAGAAAAAAAATGTATTAGTATTCAGCATCACCAGGCACTGTGGACATGGTAACCCAAGCAGGAAGAACTCTACTGAGAGTCACAACCTTGTTCAGTTTGGAAAATGAAGGGAATAGGTCAATCTGTGTAATTGCTGGTATGTAAAAAAACTGAGAATGTTGGAATTGAGAAGGTAAGAAAAATTAAGGCTAATTTTTACACCTTTATGTTCCAGGTGGTTGGCAGTGGTTAATAAATGACAGTCTAAGACATCTCACTCTTGTTTCCAGTGGTGCACGACAGCACATAAAGGTACAGTAGTTTCTCCTCCTTCATGTGGTCACATTAAATACAGAGTTAGAAATATTTTTGCTTTCCTTTGGTGGGTTATTTCCCATGGAATCTACTTGGTTTTTGAATGTTTTGTTTCTTAGATAGGTGTGAAGGGGTATTTTTAAAGGAATATTCTGAACTCCTCAAAATTCAAATGGACCTTTTTGAATAACGCTTGAACAGTTATCCCAAAATTCTTGTCTGTGTGTTTGGACAAGGTAGTCATGCAATGTGAGGAGTCATTGATGGCTGCTGGAAGCCACTTTCTGTTGGCATTGAGAGGGTATTTACCTCTGTTTTGGTGTACCTATAATTTGTGCAAGACACATGGATTTTGGTGGTTTCAGGGAACTTGTGTGAGAATCAGAAATCCTCTGGGTGATCTCCTCAGGCCCGATGTGCCAACGGTGTTTTCCAGCTCTGTGAGCATTGGTTTAAACCACCAGAGTTATTCAGGACAACATGCTTAAATTTTCCATTAAACTCTGCTGCAAATCCTTTTGCTGTGCTGTCAGACTGCTCTGGTTCTGCATATTAAATCCATTGATGGATTTTGTGCTATTTTATGTCCATGATCTCAACACCTCCAGTTATTTGCCTTTATTTTCCCAAGAAATCCCATGACAGTTTGATCTCGTGCTCTTAAAGGCTTTGCTGAATTATAAAGGCAAATTTTGTCTGCCCTGTTAGAGCTTATAGCCATCACAGAGACAATTTGAATTTAACATGTTGTGTTCATCCTGGCAGGTTTTAATAATAAGATAAAAAGCCATTCCAAGTATCTCGCAGCTCATCTTGTCATCCTTGGGAGACAGAGTGGACTGGAATGTGTCCAAATCACTGAAGAAAATTAAAAGCTGAAATTTGAATTCTTAGGATATTCTTTTGGCATTACCCATGTATTCCAAGTGTCTGTATGTCTTGTAACTGGAACTTCTAAGGCAAGCTTAGAATAATTAATTATAGGCTTTGGAGACTTTTGACTTGTTTGGTTAAGATTAATTAATGTTGAGCAAAGTATATTTAGTAAGTCAATTCTCACTTGATTTCTGTATCTGTTTTAGAGAGAAATAATTTTAAGGGCAATGCTTAAGATGTCGAAAAGTCATCTTTTTTTTCTGACATACAGGATGCTCTTCCAGCATATCTTTATACATTTAAGGTGAAAAACATTAAATTTAGAAAGTAAAGGATCTGAGCAACCTGATCTGGTTCAAAATGTCCCTGCTTGTGGCAGGAGGTTGGATGAGAAGCCCTTTAAAGGTCCCTTCGAACCCAGACCTTTCTCTAATCTACAGCAATTGGATAATTCTGTATATTTTGGTACTCTAATTCCTGTGGTAGCTGGAGTATTGTTTAGAGGAATGCTGGTTTTCTTTTAAGTCCTGGATTTTGTATAGGGGACAAGTCTGAGGTGTCTTTGAGGGCAGAATGAATCAGCTGGGCAGGATTTCTCTGTTATATTGAAGATTTTTTTGTACCCGGAGAACATGAGTATTATTAAGTATCATTGCTATTAACATGAAGTGAACAATGCATAGCTTTTGTATGCTCTCACATTTATTATAGTGTTGGTCAGCATTACATTAGTAGCTGAAAAGTGTAATTCAGCCATAAATTTTATGAGAAAACCTGTTACATGCTTTCTGAAATAGCAGCTGAATTATTTCATGTTCTGTATCACTGACTGAAACCACACTAAAAATGAGGAGGTTCATGTATAATACACAACTTTTGATCCTTTTCTAAACCAATTAAAGTGGAGGCACAGGGCCTGTGGTACTGGATTGTTTGGGTTATTTGTTTATAACTAACCTTCAGTCTATGGAGTTTTTTTTCTGTATTTCCTTTCTGGAGCTTTCTAGGGAAATAGGGTTTGTTTCGTGTCAGTCTAGCATCAGTGTATGAAATAATGACCTATGTATTTTGTGATGCTGTGCCATCCTGGAGGTCTTTCAACTGAACTGAAAGTAAAGTTCATACATTAGTGTTGTCTTCAATACTAATTTATCTTACTGGTTACTTTGAAGGAGTAAGAGTAGAATCTGTTTTTTTTAATTACATAGGTTTCCTGTTCTTAAACCAGTATTGGGAAGAAATAAAAAGAAAGTAAATGCCAGTAGCCAAAGAATTATATTTTTAAAAAGTCCACTTAAAAAATTTAAGCACAGTTATCATAAAGTATGACCTGAATAAATATACCTGTGTCTTTGTTGCAGGAGTCTGCAGTGTCTGCACTGGCTGCCCTGTGCAATGAATTTTACATCAATGAGGAGGGAGAAGCTGATCCAGCTCTGCAGGGTAATGACTCATGTTTACCAGAGAGGCACAAAATATTGGGCTGGACCTAACTTGCACTTTGGAGCTATTGCATAAATTGGGGAGGGGCATCACTGGTTTAAAAGGACCTTAAAATTCTTCAGGAAAAAATGATAAAACCAACTGAAAGTCTGGGAAATGTCTCAGGGGCTTTGCTGGCTCAAGGTAAATGCAAGGTACCACACTAATGAATACTGGGAAAACTATATTGCTTTTTCATTTCATACCATAAAACAAAGAAGCAAAAATTACGTGTTTGTGGCAAATCCCAAATTTTAACAAAGCAAGGTATTTTCACATCATATTTTGGTAAACTGTCTGCCAGGGATTGTGGCTGATTTACAGAAGAATTGCTTAGGGATAAGGAGAGGACACCAAGGACACCCAAAGTTGTTGTAAACGAGCATGTGAAACCTCACATGTTTGGACTGGGATCAGCAGTACAGGAGGAGGCTGAAACTTTTGTTTGAGGCATATGAATCAGCATCTTTTTTATACCATTTGTCTCTGACTTCTCTTTATTTCAAGTATCAGATTGTATCGTGTCCATCAGAGGCAGGTTGCTGGATTGTACAGATAAATATTCTAACAATAGCAACATTTATGTTCTTGTTTTTTCAATATGACAGGGAATTTACATATACTTAATAAAATAATGATTTATTATTTTTTGCAATTACTAAATCAGGTAACAGAATACCTTATTATTTATTTCTATTACAGTTGTCTCAAAATGAACATAATACTGATCACATGAACAGTTACATGCAATCCATGCCCCAAAGAAGGTTATGGCTGAAATGTAAAAGCAGTCTATCTTGATTATTTTTTTTAATTATATATTGCTAAGTCTCTATATTTAAATATATATATATACATATATATATTCAAAACCCAGCCCTTTCCTTCCTGGAGGTTGTCCCTACCTCACAGATTTTTTGTGGGCAGCCTGGGAAGGTGTGATGTGGTGCTGAGGCAGATAAAACCCCACAGCCTCAGGGAAGGGTCGTGTGTAAAACCAGAGCACGCTGGGCAGCAGGAGGCAATGCTGAATCCAAGCAAACAAAAATGAGTTGAAAGGTTGGTAGATCACCTTTTATATAAGTATGAAGTTTCAGGTTGCTGGAAAAGTGGACTGGAAAACTCAGCCAGGTGTCCAAATGAGCAGGGAGAAGGGATCTGCTAGAAGCACAGCAATAGGTGGCTGCAGCAGTTGTTGCTCTGCTCCTTTAGATCCTGGATTCCAGGTTAACTTTTCGTCTGGCTTGTGCCTGAAAGAACCATGGTGATCTAGGGAAATAATGAGAGTCAGATTTGTAGATACAGACAAAATTTTTCATCAGACTTTCTGAAATAAAACTGTTAGTTGGGAATTTCTCCATTCTAAAAACCCTGCAGTCAGCTCTGTCTGGATTATATTTTTATTTGCCCTTGACTGCTCTGGACCGTCCTCTACACGTGACAACGGAAGTGCCATTATACATGCAAGCATCTTTTAAGAGGAAAAAAAAGGTATATTTTCATCTCTGTGCCAATAAAACCTATATATTCCATTATTCCATGCCCATTAAATCCTGTCTGTTGAGGGATTGAAATCCACTACTGAAAGTCCTCCCCCTCATGTCTGGTGGACACAGGAATGTGTGGAAGCTGCAGTGCAGAAGACACTCAGCAGCACTGCAGGTGCCTTAGATAAGTCTGTTAAAGCAGGTCTGAACATGATCAAGGGGATTAGAAGAAAAAAGCTTTTGGTAAAATTTAACCAGTGTTTCACTATGGCTTGAGAGATTAAGATGAAAACACAAATCAAAGATACTCTAACGATTTGGCATTCTGAATCTGGCTCTATAAGGATGCTGCTTTATTGCATCACTTCTTTTGCCTCTGTTTGTTTTGACCTTTTCTTTGTTTTATTTTTCCTGGCTTAATGTGTTCTGGTTTGGTTTTGCTGACTTTCTCTTTTAATATTCGTTTTGGATGGGCTGTGTTGAATTAATATTGTAGACACTTCATAGGCCCTGTTGGTTTATGAAGCTGAAGGCTCTTAGAAGAATATTAACATTTGCATTATACCTTCCACCATAATTACTAAGTGGTTATAAGTAAAGAGCTGCTTGTTGTCGTGTCATTTGGCTAAAATGTCAATCTTAAATTTACATCAGTCCACGTGGAGACTGTCACAGCCTCAGTGTTTAAGATCTTCTTGCTGTCACAGCAAGCACTGTGCTTCCTATGGCCTCAGGACTCTGTCTCACACTCCAGTGGTTTGGAAAGTTTTAAATGGTAGATGTGCTTATCTGAAGGTGTTTCTCACCTCTGGACAGGGAATTGGGTCCCTGATGTGAGGGACGAGTCGAGGCCTGTTGGTTGCACTGGGGTTTGAAAAAAAGAGTCAGTTGTGATGAATGGGGAGTTTCTTATGGCAACTCTTCTTTCTTCCTCTAGCAAATATTGCTCAATCATTTAAATCTTAGATTACAGTAAGCAGTGGCACAATTATGTAATCTTCCCAGGAGCCCTAATTCATTTTCTTTGAGGATTAAAAAGTGTCTGTTCAGTAAAGTGATCGATAAGACCACCTTGCCCCTTTCTGAAGCAGAGCTGTGTTTAGTGCAGAGCTGTGTTTGTTACTACCTTGGCTGTTCTTAGAAGCTTTTCTGGTGTACCTTGTTTTTCTCTGCATGTTCCAGCAGAGTTTAATATGAAAAATCAGGTAAAGGAAGTGCTGTCTGTAAGTCTGAGATAAAGACTGCAGCACCAATGTGTAACTACATTCCTGACTTTTTTCATTCACCCTCATTTTCTCCTTCATATCACTGTACTTGGTTTTTGAGGCTCCTTTTTCCATGCCCAGTTGAGTTTATTCCTGTGCCTTTTGACTGTGCTGCTGTTTGTAGAGCCACTGTCCCCATTGTGTTCTGAGCCAATGAACAGAACCAAAGGGGTCACTTCTTCTTGAGCTTTCTCCTGCAAAAAGCAAACAACTTTATTTTTGTCTCTATATAAAAAATGATATGAAATTATCTCATTGCTTAGGAATGATCTGTGTATGTGTTCAAACAAGGCTCCAGTTTTCTGGGGAAAACTGTCAGATAGCTGACCTTCACAAACCCAGAGACATCTCTTTCCTAGCCCAGATTACTTGTCTAATGATGGAAAATGATGACCTATAAATATAAGAGAACTTGTTCCTTGTACTTCCATAGAAATTTGTGCTTATACCTGCTATTTGGATTTTTAAAACATGAGAACTCCTTAAAATTGAGAACTTTGTCTTTTCACTCTCTGAAAGAGTAGGATTAGTCTAAATATAATAAAGTGAAATTTTTAGACAGAAGACAAGAATTCATTCACGTAACAGTGAACATCTTAAAACCTGTACATTTGTCCTGGGGGAAATTAAAGGTATTCTGCATTTTAGTTTAACAAATTGCAAAATTCTCTAGCTGCTCTGTTCAGGGGATCTTTTCCTGGTTTGTTTCTTTCCTTAGCCAAACATGAGATGGTAATGATGTGGTAGTTGCTTCTCACTCTGCAATTGTGTTTTTTCTAGATGAGCTGGTGACACAGTATGTTTCAGAACTACAAAACACAGAGGAAATGATCCGTTGTGGCTTTTCACGAGCTCTTGGGGCCCTTCCAAGGTTTCTGCTGAAGGGCAGGCTCCAACAGGTGAGAAAACAGGATCATTGGAATGAGAAGAGGGCACTCTGCCTTTTGAATGAAACCTGTGACAGTAATCAAGTAAATAATAATGGTCATAATTAAAGGTCTTTGTCAAAAGGGTTTGAATTCTAATGTACAATAACTCCAGAAAATCATCATGAGTTGAGCTTGCCACAGTTTCTGATAATTAATGCTTAGTCCTGCTTTAGTAGTGTTAATGGAAGAGCCAGAGGTTGAATTATCCCTTTGCTGTAGGACATTGGTCCAAAGGGAAGAGGGAGCCATGCGGGCCAGTCTTGGTGAGAAACCAAACTCTATTGCCTGCTTTCTTTCCTACAGGATTGAACTCACTATGATGCAATATCGAAATTTAACATCATAAAATACATTGGATTTAAATATCTCAATCTTTGTATCTTTTTCAGGTTTTGGAAGGTTTGAAAAAAGTTACCTTAATTTCCCCTGAAGATGTGAGCTTTGCAGAATCCAGAAGAGATGCCTTAATAGCAATTGCAAAGTATGTTCATCATCTTGATTTTTGTCTAATTGGAATTCTCTCTCTAAAATCTTTCTTGTGATCATTCTGCTTTCTAGTGGGAGCTGGTAGCCTGAGTTTTGAAATCAATTATGCTGTGACACAGACATTTTTAAAGCAGGACTCTCTGCATCTCCATTATCCAGTATATTTTTGATTCAGAGGATTATCACACACCTGAGGGTGGAGTACAGCTCTGATGGTTGTGTTAGTTTTTTATCAATTAACTGACTACCTAGAGTATATTTTATAATTTACCTTTCTCATGGGCTGCAATTCAATGAGCTTTGATGAAGAGGAAGAATATATATTTATATTTTTCCACAATCTTAAGAGGACTGAATTGGTTTAAAGGAATTGTGCTTTTTCTCTAGAGGAATATTTTCCATATTGACATGTCACAGTGCATTCAGAGCTAATAGTATCATAGTGAACATGTATATTTTATGCTCTTAAAGTGTTACAGTGCAAAAAAAAAGCCTGTCTTCAAGGTAAAGAAGTTTAATCTCAAGTTCAATGCACATTGTGTTGGCCCTTTGCTCTTCTTGCTGATTTCATTTAAGGAGAGTTCAGACTGACAGGTGCTCGAAGCATGTTCCTGTGTGTAGTTTAGCAGACATGAAAGCAACTTGCTTCCCTGCTGAGGTTTTAGCTTTGCCAGTGTTCCTTTAAACTACCAAACACTGCTCAGAAATTGGCAGGTGAGATACAACTCAGTAGGCTCAGAAATACTCCTCATTCCATCTGTAGCAGATGTTACGGGTGTGTGTTTGGAATATTAAGCAACATAACAAACCTTCATCTGTATATTTCTCCTTGCTAGTGTTGTGATTTTGTCCCCCACTGCCTTTTTTTTCTTTCCTCTCTCTAAAGGGTTTGCCAGACAGTGGGTGTGAAGGGAGAAGGATCCCGGGAGGAATTCGTGTGCAGGGATAACGTGGATGAGATTTACGCGACGCTGCTCAACGGAGTCACCGACTACACCACGGACAGCCGGGGGGATGTGGGAGGATGGTAAGGTGCCCCTCAGACTGGGACTTAAAAACAGGGTCAGGTTTGATGTCTAATTAAAACCTGGTGTGTTTCCAAAACCTAGAAACAGAGAGCTCCCAGGCTTTTGGACGTTTGAGCCAAGGTAGGAATCCACTGCGGGAAGAGAAGCAGAAAGTGGAAGATGAAGGTTTGGTTGTCCCTTCCTCAGAGTGGTGGGGACTGTTGTGTTTAAAACTGAAATTCAGCCTTATTCTGGGTTTGTGGATGGCATTATTTTCTGTTAGTGAATGTCAGGAATGTAATCAGTTGCAAAAAATACAGGGATTTAAAACATTACTTCTCTTTTTTTCTTTTGAAATAACATGTTTGGTGTTGCTTGAACTCCCCTGCTGTACATTCCTGCTGTGGGGATTTTTTACCAGGAGAGGGAGCAGCTGTATAACGTGTTATAAACGTGTTAGTGACACGTTTTGAAGGCTGGTGACCGACTGAGATGCATAAAAACTTTATAAATTGTGCTGTGACATCACTGACTCTTTTCTAGGTTTAGGGTTTCAGTGATTTCAGCTATGAGGCTGCAAGAATAAATCATAAGTCTATAGGAATGTATCTGCTGATGTGAAATCTATAGAATAAGTAGATTAATAAGTTAAAAAGATTAATAAGATCTTAATAATATTAAGTCTGTAGCAGTCCTAATTTTATGACAATCTTCAGTCTTCAAGGCTCCCTTAATATAAATATTCAGTATATAATACTGCATTCATCTAAATGCTCTGTATTCCTTCAGTAACAGTGGTCTGGAAAAGTAAGTTCTACATTCATGACCCAAAGCACTAAAAAGGCTCATGTCCTTCTTTGGGTTTGTGTTTCATTTCCAAAGAAGCTCCAGTTGGGGATGTGTCATCAGCTGCTGACTGGTCTTTGAATGGGAGAGATCAGGAGGAGTTCATGTTGTTCACTTTATCCTGTAGAACTCCACAAGGTAGTAACAGGGTGAGAAAACCATGTGAAATATGGATCTTAGAGACCAAGGAAATATACTCTTGTCAAGGTACTTTTTTATGTGTATTTATGAGGAGAAATATTCCCAGCCTGAAACACTACTTGTTAATAAAAAGTATTAAATTATCAGAATTCAGGAATAAGTCCAATATCTGCAGATTAAAAATACGTGACACTTTTGAAGCCTCAGAGCTTGAGTAACACTCACTCCTTGTACAGAGGAACCATAAACTAAGTAAATGAATGTGGTAAATTAATTTTAGTTGTCTTTTATTTGTTAAGATTTGATTTGGAGTAAAATGCTGGTTTTGAGAAAGACTCCTTAATTTTGTTGCCTTAATCCATAATTTTAATTGGAAAGTGTGCAGATATATGTTACTTTTAGATATGACTCTGCAGAGTATCAGCCTTGTTTAGCTGTGGGTGATACTGTTTGTGTGGTATGGTAATGATGTGGTAACAGAGATGTATTTGACCTGTCTGGCAACTGGATGAAGTGTATCAGGATTTGTGTTCAGGATTATAAATTAACAACCTGTTGATAGTTCAGCTCTAGTACCTGGCTCTGCTTTTGTTACGTTCCAGGCAGGAAGGGGCAAGTGCCAGAAAAGTACTGGGAAGAAATAATTTTGCTGATTGAAAAGATTTTGTTTTCTCAGTTTATTGAAGTTGTTGTCTGACAGCGCCGAGTCACATGGGGTGTTTGTTTCAGTCGTATCTGTGCAGAGTATTTGTGTGAAAAAAGTGGTTTAGACATTTTTTCAGTCACTATCCTCTTCTTTGAAGGGTGTTTTCAACAGTAATATATGAAAGTGTGCTCAGCTGCAGCAGCCAGAGCCTGCTGGTCCCTGTCCCAGTCTGGTGGGATAACAGGTGGTGCCAAATGTGCATCCTTAGAGTTTGGGAACTTTTTTGGTTAGGCTCAAATTTGTTATGTCCTGTTCAGAGCTCTGTCCTTGACTCTTGACTTCACTGTCATTATTTTATTTGGTAGCCCCAGCTTTGCTTTAAAAAAAGAAAAAAAAAGTTAGTCACCATGCCATTCTCCTCTCCAGGATTCCTCATTAGGCTGGAACACGGGGCAGGTGCTGTGAGTGATGTACATTTGTAATTACTGAATGAGAGCTACTGCAACACACCCTGAAGCCCCTCTTGCCCTGTGTAGGGAGAGGAGTTGTGATTGTGCTTTTTTTGTGCAATATGTACAAATATACTCATGCTGGAGCTTTTCCTTGCCAGCAGTTATTGGGTGGTTTATACCACAGTTAAACCTTAGTGCTTGTGCCCTGGGAGTCACTGTTAGTGTGAGATCTCACCAGTTCCAGTGTGGGTTGCAATAATTATAAATAACTGCCCTGTCTTTGCACAGAAAGGGAAGTGTCAAAGCACAAAGATATTTTGTGAAAGGTGGATAGAAGATAGATATTTTGTGCCATGGTAGCACTGGGCAATATTTAATTGACGAGCCTTGTCCCTTCAGCATTTCACTACGATATTTACAAATGTGTTGGAGAAGTACACGGGGCAAATAATCCAGCCTGAGTTAATATTTGGGTGTTTGGATTTTCCCTGTTTTCTGTAATGGTACCCAGCTCTTCAGCCTTCAGCCCTGGCTGGTAAAATTGTTGTAGGACAGGGAAATGGTACCACAGGACAAGAAATCAGGGAACAGGGGGAGTGTTTGACATCTCCAGCTTAGAAGAGGAAACAAGGATGCAAACTAGTGAGGATCAAGAGCAGGTCATTCCAGCCTGTGCAAGGAAGGAGCTTGGCTTTCCCTTCTGTCAAGAGGGAGGTGAATGGGTCTCTAATAAAAGAGACAGACACAAAATGTAAGAGCAACAATACAGGGTGGGGAGGCAGAGAAAAGGAAGAGATACTGAGCTTTGTGCTTTCAAAATGAGGCAGATACTGGAGTAGATAAGGACCTGGCTGGGTATAATTAGGTATTCAACCCAACTTCCACATCTGAGAGCTCCCACTGCAGTTCCCCACACCTATTGTTTATCCTTAGTCTGCGTCTTCATTTCAAAACAAAACAAAGTGGAGTTTTTCAAAGAAGTCCCGAGGAAATTAAATTTCCAACACCCATGAAAAGTCAAATGTGCTTTGAGCACTAGATTATTTTTTTTTTTGAGCTTCTTGGGCAATTTCAGCCAAAAACAAATCAAGAAACACGTAAATCACAGGTGGAAGGGGGATCCTTTCTTGTGGCACATTGTTGGCTGCTGAAGGCTTTTGTGGCCTCTCAAATATCAATGTTTTCTCATTCTGTTTCTTTTAAACTGTTCACTAAGGTGGAAAGATATGGCAAGAAATGCCATTTCTCTGGAGAGGCCTTGTCTTTGGTGTGTAATTTTTGTCTTTCTGTAATGGAATCATGGGAAAGTTTCACCAACTTTACTCCCCATATGCAAACTTTACCTTTCTTTTGACAGGTTGTTTGCTGGGACATGTCTGATCTGTCTGCAGGTGTTAGACATGAATATCCAAGTCAGATACTGTATGAAAAACTAGGAAAACATACCTTGCTGAAAGACTGCCAAGCTTGTATTGAGCTACTTTGGAAAAAGTGATGTAATTTACCTTTTTTACCATTATAACAAATGTCCCACCCAGTTTTAGATTGCATCTGCAGCTATTTGGAAAATAGAGGAGTATTTCTTTTCACAGGAGGCAGGTGTACCTTTTCAAATGCTTTTTCCCCCCCCTTTTTTTGAGTTATTGTTTTGAAAGGATGACATTGCCATGAGTGACTAATGTGATGAACATGTTGGCCTGGACTCCTGCAGGGTCATGTAACCCACTGAGGGTCTGTGGTATTGCCCTTGTCTGAAGAAAGAAACCACTCTTAACAGCTCATGGATTGAGAAGGCATTTGGTATAAAAGAAGCATATTGATTTTTTTTTTTAATTGAAATTACACTCTTTTTTTTATTGATATTTAGACATTTTGAAGGCAACAGATCTTCACCATCTAGGCATGACACACTTCAACCACAACTTTAGCCAGTCTTTTTCTTAAAACTAGTTATTATTTAACATAGAGATTTAAGCCATTCTGAGTCACATTTTTTTACCTGTTGGTAATATTAAGCTTGAAAACTTACAAGAATATGACACTCTTAACAGTGCTTAAATACCTGAATGTCAAAATGTGGGTTGGCCTTTTTAAAAAAAAATTTGAAGCAGACAAAGCACTTAAGTTTAGATGCATCAACTTGCACACTAAATATTACTAATCATTATCAGTTTTAACCTTCTTGAAATAAAGAGTAAACCTGGTGACATCTGGTTGGAATGAGAAACAGGATGGTGAGGCAGGGGCTTGCCTTGTTGTACCCTCAGTACCCACATGAGCTCCATTTCACAGAGTGGGGCTGGAGGGGCAGCTCTGTGCACTCCTTTTCCTCCTGAGATGTGGTGACTGATCTCAGAGGTCATTGCTTTAGTAATTGTGAATTTTTTCCAGTAATTTTTTAATTACTGGTGTATTTGTTTAAATAAACCCTGGTGCAGCTCCTCTGATGTCTCTCTGTTTCCACAGGGTGCGTGAAGCTGCCATGACCAGTTTGATGGAGGTGACACTGCTGCTGGTCCAGAACGAGGCAGAGTTAATTAATGCCAGCATGTATGTAATTGTGCTGTTTCTGTCTCCCATCTCCTAGAACTACATTCCAGGCCATACAGGAAAGCACTGCTGGTACATTGTGTACTTAACTCCTTTCCTGAGTGTGACAGAACCTTTGATAGAAGTGTGTCGAGCCCACGCAGATGTGGAGGATGTTGTGTCTGGTTTTCAGAGACTGACTTATTGAGAGAACCTGGATGGCAATCCCACCTTGGAAATAAAACATACCTGTGGGATTTGGGCTATACCTGCCACCTCTGTGGAGTGTTGTTCACTTTAATACAAAACAAACCCTCCTGCTTATCCTCAGCATCACATCATTGATTTGGAATGTGATCAAGTGCAGGGATGAGTTTGCTTTTGTTTCTTTGCAGGATTATTAGGAAGGAAATACAGAAAAAAGATAATTTACACTGACATCCTGATTTCTAATTTTGTGATACAGTACTCCTAATAATGAAAAAATTAATGATAATTACCAATTTTTAAGTGTAGCTTGAGCTGCAGCAAAACTTTCGTGATAGTGATGTTGGTTTATGGACAGAACATACCAATGGTTACCTGAATATATACATGATTTGGTTTTTAATAAAAGAAAAAACCACAAACTTTGAAGGACACTTAAAAGGAAAATCCTGGGTTTTCTAGGAATACACTGTTTTTCAGGGGCTTCCTCCTCTTAATCTGTTGCAGTCAGAGATGATCCAAAGGAAACTGAGAAAACCATTCCTGCCAGCTGGATCCCGTTTTCTAAATATTCTGGGTCTTGCTGTAACTGAAGGCATTTTAGCTGGTTTTACTGTCATTATTTGTCCTCTCTGAAGGGGTAAAAGGGCCTTGTGGGACACAGTATTATAGCTGAGAGCTCAGTTATGAACATAAGCAAAATAGGATATTGTTAAAAACTAGCCAGAGTTGAAGAAGTGGCTTATTTGGAATATATGAGATTTAGGATAGACCTTGTCCTCTGCTATGTGTGCAGTTTTCTACTAAAAAATGTGCTTTTCTCAAGGTTTCTGCTCTATCTCCATCAGAAATGTAGCAGTTCCTCCAAACCATAAAACACTTTGTTATTTTTTTGGATGAAAGGTGGAGCAATAATGGTAAAAGATGGATGAAATACTATGTAACATTAATGTCATGATGGCTTTTGATTAATATTGATCTATGGAAAATAAAGCTTTAAGATTCTGGCACCATATGGGTGTCTTAAATCATTTTCAGGCTCATGCTGAAAAAATTAAACTAGATTAGTTTCATAGCAGGATAGTTTTGATTTCATTGAAACAATTTAAATATACTTTCTGCTGCTTAAATTATGTGATTAATTGTTTTCTTCTTTGTAGCTGCAGGCAGATTATGTGCTGGCTGGCTCAACAGTCAGCTGAAAAAATAGATAAATTTCGAGCTCATGCAGGATCTGTGTTCCTGACCCTCCTACACTTTGACCGTCCTCCAGTTCCACACATCCCTCACAGACAAGAGCTAGAGAGGATATTTCCAAGGTAAGATGTTGAAAAACATATCCTAAACCAGTGAAATAAAAAATAAATGCACACAATTAGACCTAACACACACTACCTGATGTAAATTTTGGGCCCAAATGCCCAGCCTGTGTGTGGAGGAATATCTGGTGCTGTTAGTCAGGGTTTCATTGAGGTATCCTGTCAATAAGCATGAACATAGTTTTTTCCTTGACTGGAAAGCACTGACTGTTCATAATAGTAATTTTTAATTAATTATAGTATTTTAACCAAGCTCTAGTTGAAGTAGTTTTCCAAGATGGACTTTCTAGTTGAAGCAACAGTGAGAGCAGCTCATTCCTGAATGGTGCTGCTGGTACCTGATTGGGATGAGGAACATCCAGCTCTGTGTGTTCAGGAGAATCACAGCCTGCTCTGTCTGTGAGGCTGCTGATGGAGCTGGGAGAGGGGGGTGTTGGTTTTTCCTGGGATAAGTCTGTCTTTGGATCAGTCTTTGAGTAGCTGTTGATGGGAGAGAACTCAGAATGGAACTCCAGGAAGAGAACTTGTTTTCTGTGTGTAGAGAAAAGTGCCTGGGAAAAGAAAACTATGGTTCCAACTCCTTATCGAGATCAGAAGGACTTGGAGGTTCCTTTGCTTCACTGGCAGTGGCTGAAGCTTTGATTTGTGTTTTCCTCATATGCTCAAGGACCAGTGTTCAGTGTGATTTTTAGGTAATTCAGAGCCTTCCTTCACTGACACTGAGGAGCTGTCCTGGGAACGCGGGGAGAAGAAAGGCAGCGCACACGTACGAGATTATTTTTTTCCTTTCCCCAGGTCAGAGAAGGAGACTCTGAACTGGAATGCTGCATCTGAAGCTTTCCCCCGGATCACCCAGCTCCTGGCATTGCCAACCTACCAGTACTTCGTGCTCCTGGGGCTCTCAGTGTCCGTGGGGGGACTCACAGAGACCACGGTAAGAGCAGGGAGTGGCTTTGCTGCTCAGCAGGAGAGGGAGCAAATTGTTGCCTCGAGTGTCAAGTGCCTGCCAGTGGATATTGCAGGTGGTGATTGCTCTGAGAATTCAGGGGTTTTTTAAAGAAATCAAGTCATGCTTTTAAATCTGATGGGCTTCTTATTTATATCTTTAAAAATTGGCTTGCTGAGCACGCAGGGAACAAGGAGTGAGGGTGCTTTGGTTCTCCTTTCCTGGTCTGACAGAACCCAAGAATTCCAGGCTCTGGGATCCCTCAGCTCCCAGCTCTGTGCTGACTCTCCCAGCTGGGAACAGAGGCAGAGCCCTCAGCTCAGTGCAAGGTGATGGCTCATCTCAAATGAGGTGAAAACCTGTTTTCATTTGTCACCTGATGCAACTGTTAACTGTTAGTTGTCAATGTGTGTTAACAGTATGCACAGATTTTTATTTCTTTTTATTTTGATACATTTTCTGCTAAAGTACCAGTGAGATGCCAGAAGTTCCATTACTTGAAAGAAATATCATTGAAGTGTCTGTCTCAATCCTCTGAGTTTTGCAGTCACTCTTTCATTCTTCTGGCACGAACAATCTCTTTATCACTGGCTTTGGCAGTCTGTTATGCTGCCAAATTCTTCCCAACTTCGTTATCATTTTAGTGTATCCTTCTGTCCTTATATTACAGCTTGCATTGGTAGTTTCAGAATTCTTGGTTTTGAGATATTTGGCTTCCAACGTTTTTGTGATTTGATGTAGCCAAAGATGTAAAATATAAGAAAACTGTTGGGGTAAGGACATGGTTCAGTGTGACACCACAGAAATATCAGACCAGTAACAGAATATTTTGGACTGTCAGTTGAATCTTTAACTCCCAGTGGTCCTGTAACAGGAGGAGGTTGTGAGTCAGCACCCCAGCAGTGGTTAAGAGTGTTTCTAATTAAGATTTCCATCTCAAATTAAGAGAGTTGGTAGAAAAGTGAAAAGTATTGGGAAACAGTTTTTGTGGAGAGGGAGCAGCTCCTGGTGGGTCGCAGGAAGAACGAGATAAAATCACTTTGAGCTTGTGGCTTCTCCTTCTCAGTCACAACAAGCCCAAATGATGGGTTTTTTGCCTGTTGTTGTGGGTTCTGCTCTTGGGATCAAGAGAAGTCCATAAGCCTTTGGGTCTGATGTAGCTGAGTATTTGTTGTCAGTGCAGTCTCATGTATTTAAACCAATTCTGAGCATTTTAATGTTTCTAAAATGGCAACTAATTATGTAGCAACGGCTATTTTAAAACTTTGGAAACATGTGTGTATTGGTTTGTGACAATAATTATGGGACAGACAATGTAACTCTTAACAGATTTCGTTAATGGCAAACATGCACATGAAATTCAGCTTTCAGTCAAACACAATTATGGGAGGCTCCACCAAAACCAAAGTTATTTGTGTAAGTATAAAAAAGGAGGAAAGTTGTGGGGAAACAGACATTCTGGCTGCTAACTGAGGTCAGGGTAAAATTATTCAACATTTTAACTTTTTTTCTTTTCTTTTTTTAAAGTCTTGGGTGCATTTGGTTTTGAAAAGTGGAAACAGTTTGGTTACTTGTAGCTCCCTTCCCTTGTTGCCACCAGCCAGTGTGCAAAGGGAAACCTTCAGCACTGTTTTCAGACTCTGATTTTTGAAATGTTAACTTTCTGTGACCCTGCAGTTTTCCTTAACGCTAAAGGCTCGTTCCGGTTAAAATATTCTCAAGGGCTTTGGCTTCAGAAAGAAGATGATCTAATTCTCTTTGGAGTCAGCTGGAAGTGCAAGGGAGGCTCCAAGTACAGGGTACCTACACTTGGGATTATAGATGTGTGGTGAATTACATTTAATATCTAAAATGTGATATAGAAGTTAAAATTGATGTGTTTTATAATAACTTGTGTTCAAACTACTCTGTCAAAGCCTGTAGCTGAATATCCAGGGACTGATTTAAAACATTAACAGCAAATTTTAAGAACTGTTCTCTATTAAATCCATATGATAGGAGCAGATTTTTAAAATCTCGGATGAAGGAAAAGGATTATTCAAATATGTGTTCTTGCAGTAACATGTTCTTGTGACTCTTCCCTCTCTTAAAAAAAATCTGTGCACATACTCACATGGACATGGAATTTGGGAAGTTAGAAGGTTCTTTTATATACTCTGAGATAATCTGAGTTCAAATGTCAGTTTGTCTTTCAGTCATCTCAGGGAATTAGCAGGAGAAAGGCTCTGTTGTAATTCCGTGATCAGTGGCTATTTTCCCCCAGTTAAAATTGCTCAGCAGTATATTTAGCAGGAGTAGTTCTTTGTTTGGCTTTTTAAAGAGATTTTTCTGGAATGAGCCGTGTGGGGTCTCTGAAGAGTTTTGGTGGAAGGATTGTTGCTGGAGCGTTGGAAGTAATCTGGAAAAACAGAAGATGTCATTCCCTGTGGGATTTGGCACTCTGCTCCATCGCCACGGTTCAAAGGGCACTTTCTCTGTGTAAAAGAATCTTCTAATTATCCATCTGGCCCACAGTGATGCATATTTCTTATGGCTGCATGAAACCCCCCTCAGTGAGTGGAGATCAGGACTGTACAATGCTGCTCTTTCTCCAGGGCTCAAACCCTGCAGTTGCAGGGGTCAGGATATGATTTGAGATATTTTTATTATTGAACTACACTACATTTAAAATTTTGTTGAAGCACAGAATGTCCTGTTATTCCCCTTCCCCCCATAAAGAATGAAAATTACATTTTAAAATGTTATAGAAACTGTAAGTAAAACCTTAAAAAAAAAAAAGGAAGCAACCTATTTTGAACATTAAGAAGTTCCTCCCAGTCCAGTACCAGGGCTGTGTTACTGTGTTAGGTCATACAAAGGAAAATGTTGGGACATTAGTAGATGATGCTCTAAAACATCTGGTTACTGGGACAAATTGTATGCAAATTAATGCATATTTGGTTTGAAGAAACAGGCCCTAAATCCTGTTTCTTTTGTTGACAGTTCTTGAGCAAAATACACTTGAGAATAATTCCTGGAATTCTTTCTTAAAGGGAAAAAATAGTGTGAATTATGATATTTATACTTCACACAAAGCATCCCTGGTTTGAGTCTCAGAGTTATTGGCCTCCAAAGTTTTGATTTATTGAAGGAGTATTGTAAGTAAAACAAGGGGGACATGGTTTCACTTGGGCTAGGGTTTAAATGATGCACAGTTTTTTTCTGCAGTTACTGTGAAAACAGCTACTGCCACTTCAGAGCTGTAAATGTGTCGGGATTAGAAATGATCCAAACCTGGGGTTATTTACTGAGCGTGACGTGGTTCCTGCTGCACGTTACAGGCCTGAGAAGGTCTTGCCCTGTGGAAATGCTGTTTGAAAACTGCAGGTTTTGGTACATCTGGTTGTGTCTGGGCTTTCCCAGGAGTTCCTCACTTGGCTTCCATTTGGGTGCGTTGGGGGCAGAGGCTGAATTTTGTGAGGATACCTGGGGCTCCCAGGACACTGGTTAGATGGGAGAGGGACACCATTGGGGTCTGTCCATCTGCTGAACATCTCCTATCCAGAATCTTCCTTTTTCATCATATTCCACTGGCTTTTTCATTAGGTCTGTCCAAGATAGTGCTGCAAAGCACAAACCAAAGCCCGTGTGTACACTGGGCATCTTAATCACTGGTGGGTAGCAGGGATTTTGTGTGTTCTGTTACAAACTGGGATTTTGGATGCTGTTTTATAAACTGGATGCCTAAGCTAATTTTTTTTTTGGCCATATCATTTCCACCTGCTGCCTCAAAACTGGTTTTAGAAGTATTGTGCTTCAGTTTTGCAACAAACTCGCTGGGAACAATTTCATGAAGGTTTGTGCCCAGAGCTACCCGTGCCTCTCCACTTACTGGAGCTACACTTCCTCATGCTTTCCCATGGTTCAGGAGATAAAATCCTTAGGACTTTATTTTATCATCAGATGAATGGTCCCTTTGAACACTTTGCTGTATCATGTATTGCCTGTCACTGCAGTATCTACTGTTGGTTTAAATGTTGGAGGAGTCGAGCCTTGGCAAACCCTGTTTTTACTGTTTCATAAGAGCAAGGTCATTCTCAGGCCTCCTCTCAGATTTGTATCCAAAGTTGTCCCAGTTCCAACCCATTAACCTCCTAATTTCCTCTCCCAGTCCTTGTGGAACCCCAGGGAAAGGTAAATGTCACACGTTTGATGTACTGTGAATTTGTGATCTGCATAGATGAGGAAGACATTTGGAAATGCTCTTCTCTGCAAATACTCAGGAGCAATTAAGGTTGTAGCTCAGATACTGAATCTGGGACAAAAGGAGTGTTCACCTGGGGGGTAAATCAGGGGATTTAACTTGTTCATGTCATGTTACCTTGTTATGTTGGAGCTTCTTCCAGTAGTTCCTGTGATCTATACTGACTGTTGGGAAAATGTCCCATTTTAAAATCTCCCAAGCAATTATGTGATGGCTTATCCATCCCATCCCATTATACTGTTTGATTCCTGGCTGTCTGCATCCTCCAGTGTTTCTGACATCCTGCTGCTCTGCCTTGGCTCTGCACAGCTCTGGAGCACCCTACCTGTAGCTGTGCTTGTTGCCCTTTTCTTTCATGCCTGTTCTTGCCTTTCCAGTCATTTGAATTGCAGGAAAAGCATTGAGTCATTCAGCTTCCTTCAAAGAATGGTGTGGGATCCCCGAGGTAGTTTAAGAGACAAAAGAAATTGGAGAGAAAATGACACCTTTTTAAGATCTTCTTCTGAGATGGGCTTGGACAGGCCCTTTCTTCTGCTTATCATTGATCTCTGCTCATGGAAGGTGCCAAGTCAAAATATTTCTCCTTTATTTTGGTTTAAAGGGCAATATATAATAATTAAACGGATTTTAAATTTTCAGGAAATCTTTCTTACAGTTCTGTATCCTGTAAAGACCTTTCAGTGTCAGGACCCAGTTTATACTGGGCACACAGGAACACACCAGCATTGCTTTTGGAGAGTGAAAGAACCACACTGGGGTCAGTTCAGTGTAGGTGAACATTGTACAAACTGTACAAATGTTTTAACAATTTCACTCTGATTTGACTGTCGTTTTGAAACTCAGAATAACTGAGTAATTTCTTTCAATTGCTTTCTAAAGAAATATTTGTGCTCCTGCTTTGCCCAGGAGGTTTCACTACAGAAAAAATTGTTAAGGTAGCAGGCTGCTGCTTCCCAGGATTGCTGGGCTGTGCTGTTTGCACGTAGGATAAAGCTTTGGGAAACTGGTTCAGAGTTTTGATTCAAGGCTAAAATGTTCTTGTTGTACTGATACACCCATAAACGTTACTGGTATGAAATTTAACTGAGAGAAAGTGTTTATATAGAGATTCCTCTCATTTGTTTTTGGGAACATGTTTGTGACATTTCTCATTCTCATCCAGTATTTTCTTTTCTTTTCTTGATGAAATGGTCAGTCCTCTGAGGGGCTGAATGAGCCATCAAAATGCTCTGTGTGAGCTTCAAAAAGAAAATCTCTCCTGACTGCACAGGCAGACTTACACTGCTTACAGCCCCCTCTTGACCCAGCAGAAAATCATTTACACTAAAACTAAAAGAAGTTGGTATTGCAGAACTGATCCACCCCACCTGCCCTTCCCACAGCCCCCCCAACCACCACCCCCTTCCCCAAGAGACGTGACCAAGACCCAGCAGGATGGATAATCCTCACATCAGAGTCAGGAGGATCCAGGAATCTGATTATATTCATCCTTGATGAGATATTTTCCTTTGAGATAATTTCTGTAACAAAAAAACCCCAAACAACAAAACAAACAAACCCAACAAATTTTTCTTCTCATCCTCAAGGGAAGTAAATTATTTTTTAAAATTATTTTTATTTCTTAATAATTAATTTTAAAAGATGAGGCTGGAAACTAAAATTCCAACTTCTTCCAGAAGTGGAAACTCTCAGCATTAGTAGTGATGCTGATGGAGCCTGTTGCAGCCCTCTTCACTTGGTTCCAGGGTGCACTGTGAGCTGGGGGAGGGCACAGATCCCCCAGGAAAGGGGGGTCCCATAGAGACTGTGGCTGCTCCCCTCCCACACAGCAGGTCCTTGAGGGAACAGCTGGCCTGGTGAACATGGCAGCTCCTGGAGATCATGGAAACATGGAATGGTTTGGGTTGGAAGGGACATTAAAGCTCGTCCAGTCCCACCCCCTCCCATGAGCAGGGTCGACTTCCACTAGCCCAGGTTGCTCCAAGGCCTGTCCATCCTGGCCTTGGACACTTCCAGGGATCCAGAAGCAGCCACAGCTTCTCTGGGCAACCTGTGCCAGGGCCTCCCCACCCTCACAGCCAAGAATTCCTTCCCAATATCCCCTCTAAGCCACGGGGAGCTGTGGAGTGACACTGCAGCCTGTAATGAGTCACAGCTGGTAGAACCCCTTGGACTGTGCCCAGCTGAGCTCTGAGCATCAGCACTGACCCCTCCTCTGTCATCTTTCTAAGCTGGCTGATTAGCACAATAAAGTTAAACCAACAGTCATTATTTCTGAGTTGTTTTTAATTTTTAACCCGAGTTTAATGCTGGTTTGTGTGGCCAGCAGCTTGTCTGCATGGTTCAGTTCCATCAGCTGTTTAGTAAATATTACCTGGTGAACTCCTTGTGTGCTCTTTAACTTTGAGAATCATAACAGTGTTATTACTTGAAGTGAAGCAGGATAATTGTAGTGGTTTGGGGATGTTTTGTTTTGGGAGAAAAAAAATAAAAACCCTTTAATGTGGTCTTTTTTCCTGCAATGGCAAAACTTAAAAAGTTAAAAAGACCTCTTCCTTGAAAAAGGATTACTGAATGTAAAGTAGCCATAGTCCTGTTGGATATTGTGATTTATACATGTGGCTGCTGCTGGAATTGTGTTCCCAGTGCAGGGGTGCTCCTCAGTGGGCAGGGACAAGGCAGTCCTGCACAGCCGGTGTCTGTGTGTGTGGCAGTGGGGTTTTTCCCTGTCCTTCATTGGAGATTCCTTCTGTTCCAGCTCAGATACTCTGCCCAGAGCCTGTTCGACTACATGAAGAAAATCCAGGGTGATCCCAGTGCTCTGGAGAGTTTCTGTGAGACGCTGCTGAAGGTCTTTGAGGACAACCTGCGGAATGACCGGTAATGGATTTCCTTGGCTTTTTTCCCTTCAACAGCAGGTGTTGGAAGTCAGATGTGTGGCACATCAGTTTAAATCTGCCTGGATGGGGTGTGTCTAGCCATGTGCATTTGCTTTAGCACATCTGGTTTTTGGAACAGCACAACCTTTGGTAAAATATATAACCAAGGGGTGACGGTAAAGTATTTTGCATATTCAGGTTTTACAATCATAGAGGGGTTTGGGTTGAAAGGGACATTAAAGCTCATCTTGTTCCACCTCCTGCCATGGGCAGGGACACCTTCCACTAGCCCAGGTTGCTCCAAGCCCTGTCCAACCTGGCCTTGGACACTTGCAGGGATGGGGCAGCCACAGCTTCTCAGGGCAACCTGTGCCAGGGCCTCCCCACCCTCACAGGGAAGGATTTCTTCCTAACATCTAATCTAAACTTACCCTCTTTCAATTTGAAGCCATTCCCCCTTGTCCTAACGCTATTTCATTTGTATTTTGTTTCTTAACTGTTGAAATGAAAACATGGCTGTGGTTATTCCTGTTGGTTCATTTGGTGTTGTAACTTCTGACACAGTCTGTGGAATACATTGTTTATATTCTAGAAAATAGATTAATATTTTTCTGCTACTGTTAATTGTGTTTTCAGGACCCTGCAAGTGTAAAGCAGGAGTGTTGTTAATTAGATTTTTTCCTTTTGGCTGGGAGGGAGTGTCCCCTCAGCCAAGGAGGGTGGTTCAGCCAACACACACAAGTTCCCGAGCAACCCTCCTCTGTGTAAGTCAGGGTTCTAATTTAAATATGTGTAGGCACATAGGATGTTTCTTTCTTTCCTTCTGATTAAAAGTAGTATATATCTGTATGCCAGGGAATGTATTTACATTGTTGAATCATTTTCTTTCCTCAGGGTGTCTGTGCCTCTCCTGACAATGCTGGACCAGCTGCTGGCAAATGGCTGCTTCGACACATTCACTGAGCAAGAGAAGTAAGTTGCTGGATGTCTTTTTGGTTTATTTTCCACCGTCCAACAGGCCTCTTAAATCTTACCCCAGGTGCTGCTGAGTGTTCGTCTAGGTGTGGGTGCACAGGGCTCCAGGTGTGAGTGTATTTTGTAGTGTTTTCATTTTCCTGAAGTGGGACAGCTGAGACCCTTGAAAGGCTCTTGATAAAATCTGTGACTCTCACAGCAGTTACTGGTTCATTGTTTAACAACCAGGACATTAATCAAAGTCAGTTTACATGTTTTACATGGCATACTTGGACCAGTATCAGATCCATTCTTGCCTTCTCCAGCTTCCTAAATCCATGCCATTTTGGGTGCATTTCTTGCTGTACTGGGAGCCTTGAGCACTGGCAGTGTCCTGGTTTGATGCTGCAGAACACTGTGTGCCTACAGGCTATGGCTTCCCCAGTCCCACTGCCCTGGTTAATGTGAGTATCTCTGAAAAAGTTAATTAAGATTCTAATAGGAATAATAAAAAAGACATGTCTCAGCTCTTTCCCTCCCAAGTTCAGTCTTCTGGAAAGTATTTAGTTCAGGAATGGATAAGCATGAGTAAGATATTCCAATATGAAATCATATTTTTTTGCAGATGTTTCAGAAAAGAATTATTTTAATTTCAGTAATATTAAAATCTGTTCCACAAGCTCTCCCAGGCAGCATCTTGGCACATCTTTGCAGAATTGTACAATGTGGATCCTATGAGCACATATCCAGGATTGGGAATCTGTTGGTTCAAGAATTGCTCACAGCAGCTAAATTTGAAAAGCATTTATCATTCTTAAAGTTTTAATTGAGCCTACTCTTGTCTTGAAGTGTGGTTTTAGATAATCTTTCTTAAATTGCATTTGGCAGTCTCTGTTTGAATGGGAATTTAAAATGAGTCAAAGACAGATGGAATGAATATTACTTGTTCATTTTGTAATCATGCCAGGGATCTGGGGCTTCCACGCGGGCTCCAGGCTTCCCTGTTGGGAAAGGTGATAGATTATGGATGGAAATCCCAGGTAAAGTCTCCCACATCAGGGGTCACTAAACAAAAAACACATGGTGGCATTGCTGCCTTCACTGTGTGAGTGGCTCAGACTCAACCCTGTGGTGCCTTTGTGAGGCTTTGGGTAAAAGGCCTGAAATAAAATCCAGAGTGATTGGGAAGGAAAGATTTTGAAGCTGATCCTGAGGTATTTCTTCCAGTTTGATGATGAAACCAAAGAAGAAAATTAATAATGAAACAGCCAAGTGGATCATTCTCATGTCAAGGGAGTGAAGTGCTGGCCTGAACTTTTTGTCATAGAGAGTCCTGGAAGGGCAGAGCTCAGGAGAGTTTGGAGGCAGCTAAAAAAAATGGAGAGTTTACTTCCTACGTGTGACAGTTTTTTGGTCACACAGGTGCCTCCTGGAGCAGAGGTGACCATGAGTTACTGTGGATCCTTCACAGGGAGCCAGGTGAATGCTCAGGGCTCTGCTGTGCTCTCAGAGCCCCTGTGTGGATCAGCACATGGATGGATGAGCCCAAAATTGCATTAGGGCAACATGTGCATTTTGTTACTCTGGTGTATGTCCTTTGGGTGCAGTTAGGGATGGAAACACTGATCCTGGCTCTGAGAAATACAGCACAGAATGAGCCTGAAAATTGAGACACATCTCAGTGGCCTGAAAAAGCCACGTTGTGCCTGCAGTGTCAGGTAGTTTTCAGACAGAGTGTGACTGAAGTAAGAGGGCTGAGATACATGGTTGTCTTTTTCCTTGTGGTGTTTGTTTCCCATTCAATCTCCTTCCCTCATTTTTTACCACATTGGTCTGGCTACAGTTTTAGCAAGGGAATTGGGATCTAGGATGTCTGGCATCAGGATTATGCCTAAACCAGCAGCTTAACAGGCAACTGTCACGTTATTAAAAGGTATCTGCAAATGCATTTTGAAGTTTCAAATGGAAATTGTGCACTGTCCTGGAGCTTGGTTTTCTAATAAAACACCAGCAGTCCAGAGTGGGTAATATCCAGCAGTGCTTAATTTAACCAGGATTAGGAGCTGGATCAGTGTGATCCTTGAGAGGAGCTCAGTGCTCCAGTTAAAACCAGTTGCCACAGGGTGTCACTCCTGCCCTGCACAGGCAGAACCTGCCGGGCATTTTCCTGCCTCTTCACACCCTGCAGCTCATACAGTTTGGAATACAAAGCTGGGCATTTCTGGTGTAGTTTTTCAGCTGAATCTCAGTATTGGGGGAGCTCTGTGTACCTGGTGTGTGATCTCTGCAGGAGGACAAGTGAGCCCCTTTCTCCTTCTGTTTGGAATGCTCGTGCTTAAGTGAGGTGCATTTGCCATGTGGGGTTGTTGCTCTACCAGGGCCCTGCTGAACCTGCCAGCAGGGCTGGGAAGTGTGGGGTGAATACCTGTCCTGTAGGGTTGGAAATGAATCAGCTTTAGTGTCACTGGGGTCATCAAAAGGCTTTTTGAACCAGCTTCTCTGTTGTGCCTGGCTTAGTTTGAGCTATAGTGTGAAAAGAGCAGCTCTGCCTGTCGTTTTCCAGGCTGTTATTTCTTTCCTGTCTTAAGGTGACAAAAACCTGTGTGACCAGCACGAGAGGTTCCCCCTCCCTTCCCCTGGAGTGGTTTGTATCACTGCATGAGGAATGGCACTGGAGAACTGCAGCAGGTTCAAAGTGCCTTTCTCCCAGTCAGCCTGAGGTGGTTCCTCAGTCTGTTTTGCTGTGTGCTCACAGATTGGGCCAAAATAAGAAAGGTGTGTGGAGGAAAGTGGGGGGCAAACCATTGCTCCTGGCAGCAGGGCAGGTGTGAGCTGGACCAAAGTGTTGGTGATGCTGCAGCATCATTCACCTGCTGCTCCCCCTGCCCCGTGTGCCCTCCCAGCCCAACAGGGCTGCAGGTCTCAGCTGCAATGTCCTTCCTTCTCCTGGTCATAAACCCCAAACCTCCTGATCCCATCCCTCTGTACAATTTGTGGAGTTGCACCCATGACAGTGCAGGGAGTGTTCATGGATTAGGGACTGCTGGAGGCAAAGGGCACACCTTGAAACTCAGCTCTCAGAAATACTGCTCTGAACTCACAGTGGCTGCTCTTCCAGCACAGAGGTACCTGTCAGCTCACGCTTCTGGTGGGACAAGGACAGGGAGGACAAAGGACAGTGAGCTGAGGCTGCTGGCAAAGTTGGCACTGGTCATGACTCCTGTGGCTGCAGACTTCTGCTGCTCCAGGGGGTGAGTGATCACTAGAGGTGCTGAGGTTGCCCAGAGCCCAGATGGATTGTTGGCTTCTTAGGAGCACAAGTGAGATGGGTCTAATAACCAATGCCACACGAACAGAACAGCTTTGGAATGACAATTCAGGGTCTAATGCTTTCTGGAGTAGTTAGTGGCATTTCTCTTTCTCATTGAATGTAATTTACATATTCAACAGAAGCATTCAGGTATTCTCTCTGTATTTTTTCTGGTGATCTTGCAGTACTGTAAGGTGGTGTGTGATCTCCAGCTGGTGATTTCTATGTCTTATGTGCTCCTGTGGATTTTTTTGTAAGCAGTTCTACTGCTGTTGCATAACAAGCCATAAAGCAAAGATCTGGCAGTGGCTGGTGGCTGTTCCAGAGCCACCCTGAGTGGCACTGCTGAAACCCAGTTCACCTGGAGGAGGGAGAACCAGCACCTTTTGGCAGCACCACGTGTGCCCAATTTACATCAATGCAGAGTCTTCAGACTGATCCCTTTTCCCGAGACGCCGACGCTGTTCCTGCTGGCACAGTGCCCACACAGGAGAAGGAATTTTCTCAATTTCCTTTACAGAGGCCAAGCTATTTGAGTCATCTGAGATCACACATAGGTTAGGTTTGGTTATTGCAAATGTGGAACTGGCAGCTGACAGAAAGGAAAGTGCATCTGTTTTTAACACAAAATGCTGCTCGTGAGGTTCCGTGTGTTAAATTTATTCCAGATGCTCTTGTTCCAATTGGTCTCTTTGTTGCTCCACTTCCCAGTGATGTCCCTGTTGTTCAACTGGTTTAAATCTCACCTAATTCACTATATTGCCTGGTCTGTGCTGAGAGCCAGGCATGCACTGCAGGGATTGTAATTAGCTGTCTACACAAGGTCTTTGTGTAATTGGGGGTGGGAGGAGGAGGAATTGCACCAAGGTAAGACAGAACACACCTCAGCATTCAGGGAGCAGTTCCCTCACCCACCCAGACAAATCCATGCCTGTGGACACACAGACTCATTCATGGTCTGTCATTCTCACCACGTGTTGACACATTTTTTACCTTGGTTTGTTGTTCAGTTTTTTAACCAAATCACCATTGGCCAATTCATGCTGAGATTTTGTTAAGAATTTTTTTAAAGTACTTAAAACCCGCTAACTCTTGTCAGAAAACTCTATAGAACAAGGTACATTACCTTAACAAAACATCCTGGTACTCCTGGAAACATCTGGGTTTAAATGTTCTGCCTTTCAACAGGTAACAGTACCCAGCTCTCTTCAGGAGTTTTTATCCACAGCTTTGGACGTGGTAGCAGAAAATGAATGTTACTATTTTTGCTTTCTGCTTTCCATACACAATGCAGGGAGGTTTCTAAAATACACAGCCCAGGAGTAATTGTGCTCACTAGACAAATATGAAATAGTTTCTTCTTGCATCTATGGCACTTCAGCCTTGAGTGTAGCAAGTAAAAGATTAAATAATTTGAACTGAAATAAAAGCATTAGTCCCTCTTTCCTTGTTTTTAATAGATCCTTGGAATAACTAACAGTACTTGTGTTTGTACGAGCGTCTGGGAAAGAGCTGTGAGAATCACGTTTCCCAGACTGTGTGGAAAAAGAAAAGAATTTGCTAAATATATTTAAAGATGGCTCCATGGCTCGTCCACGTAATAGAACTGTGAGCCCTGTGTTTAATTACGTTGTCTGGAATCACTGAAGGAATTCGGCTCTGAAATGGTGCAGTAGTTAAGAACAACATTCATCCCCTTTTATGTGAAGTTTGGTTGGAGACCTCAGGGGATGACCAAGGCACCACAATGGTACACAGACTAAATAACTGTTATTTGGCTGTGGGATATTGTAATTCCTGACAGAGCATTGCAGATTGTACCACGCTGTGGTGTGAACACAAGCTGTGGTGAGCCAGTTATCCTGCATGGACTGGATCCCTCTGGCTAAAAGGAGTTCACTCCTGAGCACACAGGTAGTAGCAGTGTAAATAATTAATAGTAATTTCTTCCCTACCAGGTTAAAAATTGAAAGGTCCAGTAACATGATGGCCAAACTCCCCTTTGTCCTTACCAAAGGGCTCCCAAAGCAGGATGAGCTCCTGGGGAGGAAGCACCTTCTACCCCACAGTGTTTCTTTCCTTGCCTTGGAAAGTTAATTTGGCATCTTGACAGTCATTAAATTATCTTTGAAATTCTACTGAAACCTATTGCTCACCTTTTTTTTTTCTTTCCCATTTTCAGCCACCCCTTCCCAGTGAAGTTGTTCACCCTCTGTAAAGAAGAGATCAAAAGATCCAAAGACATCCGGAAGCTTCGCTCCAGCATAGGAGTGTGAGTCAATGGAATCAACCCTTCCTCACAGAAAGTGAGGGATATTTAAATCACCAGATGTAACAGCTGGGTCTAGTTCATGTGGAATTCAAATGAAAAATGCACATGAATACATGTGAGCAAAGGTTGTGAGAGTGTCATGTACTTCTGGGTGGCTGGGGTGAAATGTGATCTGATAAAGTGGAAACAACTTTTAAAATGTTGATACTCCTAAAGATGCAGGGAATCGTTTGCTTTTTGTTTGTAGAGAGCTTGACACAGTGCCAATGACAAATATATATGTAATTAATTGATTAGGTCTTGGATGTGCACTGAAAACATCTGCAAAATGAGTGTCTGGCTTTAGGGTAAAAGGCCTCACTCAGCTCAGGCAGCAGAGAGGGCAAAACCAAAATTTCCCAGTTGGGAAGGACAGTGCTGGGTAAGGAGAGGAGGGGAAAAGACAGAGCAGGTTCAGTGGCAGAAACTTGGCAAAATCATCCCATAACAGTGTCAAGCAATGACTTTATTGGCTGTCCTTTTATTTCTTTACTGGGAGCAGTTTCAGAGTGCAAGGCAGCCCAAAATGAGCCATAGCCCATCTCTGGTTTGTGTTTCCCCCTGACCTGCCCCCTCCATGCCCAGCCTTCCCTCTGCCCTCACTGTCCATGGCAGAACTTGCTTCACAGGTGGTTTTTAGCACAGATTTTGGTGCTGCTGGTCAAGTTTAACCCCACATTTGTACCTGGCACAGCCTGGGGCAACCCAGTCACCCATCAGCACCTCCCGTACTCACCCTCAGTGTTTGCTTTCCCACAGCACTGGGAGTTGGGATTTCCTGGGGGCAGCACAGCTCCTCATCCCTTCCTTTTTCCCAATATATCTTCATCCTGGTCCTCAAAATGTACCTGTGCATTTATAACACAAGATCTGGTCTTCTTCATTTGTTTTCTAGGTTTTGTGGCCTGATTCAATTCCAAGGAGACATGAGAGAGAAAGTTTTCTTTCAGCTGTTTCTCCTCCTTTGCCATCCCTTTCCTATAGTAAGTACTGAAGACTTTGTATATTATCCATTTATTCTTTAAACTACAAATAAAAACTAATGTAGAGTGCATTAAAGCAGCATTCTTTTTAACAGGTATTAATGTATAGAACAACAGGTTTTATTTCTCAAGTGTCCCTGCAGTGTCCCTGGCTGTGTCCCATGTGCTGCCCTTCCACCTCCAGGCCTTACTGGTTAAACTGGGAGCAAAGCAGGTGGCTCAGCCATTTCTTTCTGTTACAGAGCCCCCATCACAGGGAAGATCTGCTCATCATTTAGTGCTGAAAGCTCCAAACAGATAAATTACTGTTAGTTCTGTGATACTTCTGAGAGTAGCAACACAGGAGTAGCTGTGGTTGAAGGAAAAGAAATTTGTTCTGTGTATTATTTGCTCCATGAGGGGGCACAATGTAAGAAATGGGGAGAGATCATTTCAGTTTCACATTTTATGGGCATTTTACATCACAAAATGTGTTTTGTTTTTACAGATGGGGCAGTTTAATTTGGCACTTCTAGTCCGGAAATAACACTATAATTCCTTTGCCTTCCTTTGGTTACTATCAGGCTTTTGTCAAGAGAAAAAAATTTGGTTTTATTGGAATTTTACTGTCTTCCAGTTAGCATCTTTCTACCCATTGTGCTTCAGCAGCCAGCCTGGTCAGCTCTGTGTGTGCACCCAATGTCACTGCTGACCTGAGCTCTGGGAAAAGAACAGGCACATGAACTGCTTCACAACCCTGAGCAGGACAGGCTGATGCCAGGTGTCAGGCTGATGCCATCTCCCAGCAGTTTTCCCAAGAGTTTTGCTGATTGTTCCAATCTCCAGACTGAGAAGTGGGTTTTATGAGCCTGCAGCAAAAAAAGTTAGAGCCAGGCTTTGGCTCAGTGAGTCACTGCAAGGAATGTTCCAGTTGGGCCAGGCTCACATGTTTGAATTCAATCCCTGTGAGGGACAGAGCTGTGGCCTTCCAGATGGGAAATACTGAAGGGTTTAGGGAGAAACTGTAGGAATTCTTTGAGGTGCAGACATGGAATTCCCTGAGGTGCAAACATGAGGTCCCTTCCTTCTGCAAATCCCTGTCAGGGGCAGGAGTGGACTCAGTGGCCACTGTAACATGACAGCCAGTGTGAGGGACCAGTACCAGTGACAGCACTGGGCTCTTCCCTATGGATTGTGGATGCTTCCCTGACTCTGCCTGTGCCCCTTTCCCCACAGATCCGTAAGACCACGGCCAGCCAGGTGTACGAGATGCTGATAACCTACGGCGACGTGGTGGATCCTGCCATCATGGACGAGGTCATGGCCATCCTCAGTGACACCAACTGGTAAGTGCAGCTGTGCCAGACAGAAATAAGAGCTGAAATAATTTCTGAATGAACAGAAGTTTGATGGATGCCTTTGAAAGCTGGTGGGGAGGAAGCTGTAAGAAATGATTCCGTAGGTTCGTCTATTTAATGCATTTAAAAGCACTGCTGCAAGGAATTCCTCTGTTCTAAGGAACTATCTAATTCACTCTCCCACTGAAAATGGGATGTGTAAAATCACCACTAGTTAAAGCAAAATACCTATATTTTTCTAACAGCATAAAAAGGGAGGAAATCTTGGAAGTTTTCCATGAAACAGAGACTGGGCTGTGCAAACAGTCAAACTGCAACTGCACAGACAGTTTCTTGGCATTTATGGCAGGATTTGGGGAAAGGAAGGATCTCTGCAAGCTGGAAAACAACAGAATTAGCAGAACAGCTCAAATCTCCCATGAAATGTAATTACTCAACATGCTACAAGTGCTGTATTCAAGCAAACATTTGGAATTGGAACAGTTTAGATGTTTCCCAGGCACATGATGGCATGAATTAAACAACCACTTTATAGAATGTAACTCATCTTTTTACCTACCCTTACCTGCACCTTTGGCTTCTTCCAAGGGCAGGTGAAGAGGGTCCTGTTCTCCATGAGCACAATCCACTGGAACAGGACAGTGACTTTAGGGCAGGGACTGTGACAGGAGCAGGGAACCAGCATTTTGGCACTGGATTTTCCCTTTCTGCATATTTTAGCATTGAGCATTATCATCACCTGGGCAGATTGATAAAAGGCTGCAGGGCTTGGAGATCTGAGGGAACATGGATTTCTAAGGCACTATTTAGTTTATTACTTTTGCTGCCACGTTAAACATTTTCCCTTGTCCCAGACCTGGGCCATGGGGCTGCTGCCCCCCACAGCACAGTTGATACAAGAGAACAGACAGATATATTAAAAAAATATATAATTTATTTAGTCATTATATTAAATGGATTTTTGTCTCCACTGACATTTCATGGAAATAAAATTATCCCAGACAAGTTCAAAGACCAAATACACGTTCAGGCTGGATCACAGATTTGCAGACTCCATGCTACATTGTTTGACTTTTATGTACTTTCCAGTTTATTTCTGTGCTGGAGCTTAAATAACTTTATATTTGGGAAAAGAAAACTAAGTTTGTTATTGTGAAGGATGGCTGCTGCTCTTTTTCTGAATTTTCCAGTGCAAAATTAGAGCAACAGTCTCAGATTTGAAGGATTGGTTACCAGCAATTCTGCCTGTGGTTACAGTTCCTTGTTTAACTGCACATGGAGGTTTAGGTTTGTGTTTGGGGTGACTCAGTGCTCGCTTATGAAACCTGCATTTAAGAGCAGACTTGCTCAGAAATTGCATTAAGAATTTTAACAGAATTACTGGAGCAGGACGAGATGGCTGCTGACACCAAGGGGTGGTTACAGGGCCAAAATTAGAAGTCCAGGAAAAGCAGTGGTAGTTCAGCTCTGCTTATAAAGGGGTTACTACAACAAAGCAAAATGTTCCCCCAAAACCACTCCAGAAAAATAAATACTGTGTTTTCACCTTGTCATTTTTAGGGTGTGCCTGGTTTATTCTGGCCTGGAGCAGGCCCTGAGTACCCTCTTGCAGTGTGGCCATTGCTCTGAGATGAAAGACAAAGCTCGTTTACTCAAAACTTAATTGTTTAATCTTGGTAGATTGGGGCTGTTTACAGAAGAAGAGATTTGAAGCAGTTGCTGAGTGTCAGAGTGAGCTGCTTGTTATCCTCAAGCCCTCTCAGTGCTAAAATAATCATTCTGAATTACACCAAGCACTAAGAGCAGGAAGCCAAATGAGAATTCATTTTGGGGGAAGATGGTAATTACTGGGATACACACATTTGTTCCTTTTGGGACTACAGAGAGTTTATCATGCAATTGTGTCATGCAGAGTTTAAACAAATCACTCTATAAATAATACATGTTGTTTAGCCACAGGAAGGTTTCCAGGAGTAAATAAGACACGTTGTCCAAGGTGTTAAAAAAAGAAAGGTCAGGTTATTTCTGACTTGCCTTTTTTTGCTTTTTCTCTGTAGTTTTGGACTCTGTTTATGTGCCAAGAGTTAAATTTGTAATTAATTGCTCATTTACAGTTGTTGCTTAAGAAAACCCATATAATTGTCCTGCCCTGGTGAGCAGGACCAGCAGCCTCCCAGCATTCCAGTTTGAGGGACAGGATTCTGCCACATGGAAGAGAATTCTGCTTGTAGGGATTTGGGGCATTTAGGGTCTTTTTTCAACTGATAGTTCTGGAGGAAATTATCTCATGGACATGATGCCGTTTCAGAAACTTTTTTAAAGGCCTCACATATTTTAGGTTTGGATTTTTCTATTTCAGGACAAAGCTTCTGGAGAGTGTAGAGTGTTCTCCAAAACCAGTAACGTTAGAGAATAAATTACTGAACTTGTAGTCTAAAGGGTTGTATGAATAAGTGCTGGGGTTTTTTTAATATAAAACTCTAAAAGAATAGTCTTGGACACTTAAGTAGCAACTGGTTACCTGTTGCAGACCTGGTGTGTATTTATGGGTTATCTGGCTTAAGATGGTACAAAAATGTTTCATTATTCTTAAAATGTGACAGAACGAAAACTCCTAGAATTTGAAATGTACAGAAAAGAACATCATAATCCAGTAGTAACATGGATCACTTAAGATGTTGTGTTATGAGTATGGGCACCCTCAGGTTTTAATTTGTGAATTAACTGGCAAACCTTTCCTACCCCAGGGAAGCAGAACTGCCTGTGGTGAGGGAGAGACGCAACTGCCTCTGTGACCTCCTGAAAGTGCCCAAACCTCAGCTGGTGTCCAAGGTACAGGTGGGAATATGTTCCAGGGGGGTGTTTGCTCGTGGAAGTGTCCCTGTGCACCAGGAGGGGTGTCCTGAGCCAGCAGCGGAACACGTGGAGTGGCCGAAGCTGCTGCCTTGAGCCCTTCCAGCCTCGTTCCCTGGGAGCACCCCAGGCTGGCAGTGGGACATCTCAGACACCACCCAGCAGGGAGATGATGCAGCACAGATGGTCAGACACTGCTCCTCTGCCCTTCCTGGAGAAAGGAAAAAACATAAAAATTTTCCCACTTGCACCAGCAGGATCATGATGTGAGGTGTTGTGCAAAGCACTGCCTGAGAGGGAGAATGGGATATAAAAGGATACATTCATAGGGAGACAGACTGTAGGTCCCATGTCACTCCAATGCAGATAGTTTGGAATTGCCTATCTGCTCCCTGTGACCTCTCTTTTTCCTCTCTCTCTGGCAGAGTTCAGCATGAGGAAGCTGCAGCCACTGGTCTGTACCTGGAGCTGGTGGCTCCAGTGCCATGGGGACGGGAGCAGGCTGTGCCATGGCATCCTGGCACACTGGAGCTCAGCAGGAGCTGAGCTGGACACTGCTGGACAGAAGAGGCAGAGCCTGTCTGAAAGCACAGTGCAGATGTGCCACAGGAAAGCAACCAAAACCCACTGTTTGCAGTTTTTAATGTTGTTATGTGGCAGGTTCTTGTCATGCTCTGTCACTCTGACCTGTCTGTTCTGATGTCAATGATTTGTATGTCCCAACTGAACAGAGCTTGTGCTTGCTGTCCACACACTGAGTATTAAACCTGACCTGCTGCACTGCTCTCTAAAGCATTGGTTTTTCATCAAGTGGAGAAATCTGTTGCTCCTGTGCCACAGTCCAACAAAAAAAAAAATCCAGGTTCATTTCAGCTAAAGCCTCTCTTAACTACTCTTTATGTAACTAATTCAGGCAAATGGTTTCTGTGGTAAAGTAGCTTTAGGGATCAAGCTTTATTTTACTGAAGACTAGAGGTGAATCAGTTCTTCAAGCACCTGCCAGGAATCCAGCCCATTTCTTACTCCTATAAAATAAAACTGCTCCAACACTGATCTTTAGTGAGACTCCTGTGACTGGGAGGGCAAATGCACAGGCCACATGTTCTTGTAATTACACTGTTAATTGATGGCTCTAATTAAATCCCACTCTCCCAGCACTTGAACAGGGGCTGTGTGTATTTATAGATACATCTCTGCAAATGTGATGATCCTGCTCTTTTACGATATTAATTACAATTGACTTCCAGTCTCTAAAATCTGATTCAGTCCTGGAGAAGAGCCACCCATGAGCCACCCAACTCCACTCCCCACTGTCACTTTACCCTGAGCCTCCATCCTCCTCCTCCTCCTCCTCAGCTGTACAGGTGCTGTCACAGACAGCTGTACTGCTCACACAGCCCCAAATCCAAGGATCTTCCCCTTGAATCCCGGTCCTGCCCCTGTGCAGAGCCCTTGGCAAACACCAGCAGCTGCTCCTGGGAGCAGGGAAAGGGTGAGAGCTCCAGGCAGTGTGTGACAAAAACCTCTCTGCTCTTCCAGTGCTTCAGGCTTTGCCTGAGGCTTCCCTGTGGTGACAATGCTCTGGTAACTCTGTGGGCTGTGTTTGGTGGGTATTTAAATTAGAAATACACAGTTTAACAGTAAACTGAGTGATGTGCAGTGAGCACACAGCATTACCTGTGGTGTAACTATGACCTCCCTTAGAAAGGGGTTACTCAGCCCAAAGAGTAAATTAATGAAGCACAAATTACTAAAAAATTCTAAACCCCTGAAGACTTTGGTCTTCCTGCACCCATAACACAGCTTCAGTCCCACTGCCTCACCTTGGGTTTAGTTAAAGTGATAATAATCCATCCCTTCCTTCAGGTTCAGCATACCCAGGTTTGCTTCAAACACTCCACCTGTCAAATCCTGCAAGGGGAGAACAAGAGAATTAAATCAATCAAACAAATTCATTTCAGGTTGTAACAAGTTCGGGTAACTTAATTCTTCAGACCACAGAAGAAAATCCAGTTTGCAGAACTAAACAAATAAACCAAGGCTCAGAAACGTTTCCATTCAAAAAATTAAGTGTCTGTTGAAAAGTTAGTGTTCAAATCAGTCTGGAGGGATATCAGACAAATCATCAGCTCACTCCTGTGCTGCTCTGTAGCTGCTCAGCCCAGCTCTGCTCCTTTTGTTTCCTAATGCAGGCATTGGCAGAGAATGGGCCAACTTTGACAAAACAAGTGGTTGGGCTGGATTTTGAGCACTGATTAGCTTGTCTGATAAAACAAACCTTTCATCAGGCAACTGAAATACTCTGCAGAGCTAAAGGTGTTTCCTTTTGAGCCCCCAGTTGTGTAATCAGGACAGGAACCGGGGAGGTTTGTTCCATGAGCAACCTCAGTGATGTCACTAAGAAAACATGGCAACTTCAGCATTTCTGAGCATTTCTGCTGGGGTCTTCCTGGAGCCCTTAATCCTACTGAGCTTCAGGAATGCCACAAAAAAAAAAAACAACTAAACCCAAAAACCTAATTAAAGCTGACAATACCAGAGGAGGCAGATAACATGATTGCTCATGTTCTTGTGTTGGTCCAGAGCAGCAACAGTGAAGTTTAAACAATGTAAAACACCACTGTGAGCGTGTTTAGGATGGGAAGTTACAAAACTGAATCCAAATGAAACTGGAATTTAAGAAGGTGGAATGCTAGACTTGGCTAGAAGAATTGGATTTAGAAAAAAAATTACTCTGGGATCTTTAATGAACCTGAGTTTAGAAATAAAGGTGGTAGAAATAGAGGTGGCAGAACCAGGCAGGGCTGCACAATAACTGGTCTAACAGCAAATTTTCTGAAAACTTTACACAATCACACTACTTTAATTGCTGCAACAGAAAAATACAAACCCCTTTCATTTCCAGCACTTGGAATCCAAGCCAAAACAGGGCACAATACAGCATTTTCTAAGTATTTTGCTTTTACCTCCAAGTGAGAGCAAACCCAGAGCACAAGCCCTTGGGTGAAGTGGTTCTGCAGTGGCTGCTCTGACCAGATACAGCCACACTTTTATCCTCCTCAGCACAAACTTACACACACACACACAGCAGAATTCCAGCTCCAGCCCTTTGTGAAGCCACTATAAAATGCAAACTGAGCAAAGATCAGAGGATTCCTGCTTCTTCCAGAAGGATTTGCACTGGTACCAAAGCCTGAAGAAATAAATAAGCCAACACTGCTCCAAGGACGTGGCCAACATCACTTCTTGTAAACAACCCACTTAATAAACACATCTAATCTCCAGAATCACCCTCTTAGAGCTGCACAGAAACATGCAGGTTTTGTCTGTATCAAAATGAAAAATAATCCCCTACCAAGAATAGCAAAATAAAAGCCAGTAAAGCCCCTTAAAGGACACCTCCTTCAGAAGAAGCATGGGGATAAACTGGGGTTGGTAAAGAATAAGCAAGCAGAAAATGCTCAGTGGAAAAATAGACTGAAATCCCAACTGAAGTCATGGAGCAGAGTTTTCAGACAAGATGTTGTATAATAGTCTCATTGTAAGGGCTTCCCAGATTAAATGTGCTTTAGAACAGGTTGCACAGATGTTTTGTCTGGGGACTTCAACCCGCAATCGTACATAGTACGAAAAATTCAATTAGTTGTAATATTACTTGCTGATCCAAGAGTTCTATCAACCAAGAGTACATGATAACGCCCTGAGGCACTTTCAGTCTGGCTTTACAACCCATGGTTATGATCTCAGAGTTGATGGTTACAAGCAGGCTGTACCAGAGGAGATGAGATTCAGCTAATCCATCTCTGAACAAATCTAGGCCAGTGTTAAAACTGTCAGTGTTTGTGTGTAGCTGCAGGCTTTAGTTACTGTCAGAGAGTTTTTGACTAGTGTTTGCAACTGGAATGCATTTGCTATTTTGCCTTAAAGCTTCTGTGTTATCCCATACAATGTGTTACAACAGCAAAAGAACTGCTGCTTATCATCTTCTACTTATGTTATTAGGTCAGTTAAACCAATTGAAATAAGTTACCACAGTCAGGCACAGAAGATGTTTCAGAACTGGCAGTGCCAAAAGGCTTTTAAGGTCTGATTTAAAAACCAAAGCCTTTGCCATACATGGGGCTACAAAATATCAGGATTAAAGGAGAGCAGGTGGCTGAGTGCATATGTTCATTTGTGTTTATTATGGTGTTGAGCAACAAAGTACAACAGATCCAAGCTCCTGTACCTTTCCTTACTCTTAGTTTTACCCAATACTGCTGGTTTAAATCCCTGAAATAATTCCCTGCACAATCAATTTGATAAAAAAAGGCCATTCAATTGCATAGCAGACGCTTCTGGGAGAAGCTACTTTCAGTAAACAGAAACTCATTTTCCCAAGGAGCAAATCCTGCTGCTGCAGGTGAAGCAGCAGGTGACACTCACCAGCTTCACACAGATGATGAAAGGTGGAGCAGCCTCTCTGAAGTGACACACAGGGACCTTTGGTTTTGGTCTCTCCTGCAGGAAAAGGCAGCAGAGAGACACACAGGTGACTTGCTTGGTTTTAGGAGCTGCTAAACTCTAAAAGGGGAAAAGATTATTGTGAGTCCTCATGCTGAACAGTGCAGCTGGTCCCACCCTCACTCCTCTGACTGGCATTTCAGTCCCTTTTTCCTGTGCCATCACCTTTCAGTGAATTGTGTTTCTTAGAGTAAAGTTACACATCACACAGATCTGAATTTGGAGCTTTCTGCTGCTGAAAGTAGCAGGTCTCTCCTCCATTGCTTCTTCCCTACCTCCAAGCTTTCAGCTCTTCCCTAAACAACCCCCTCTTTGATCCCATTGCAAGGTATGCATCTTCAACAGCCTACTCCCCAAAAAATACATTCTTTCTTTTTCTGGTGGATTAATTTTTTGCCACTTTAGTGAGCTACATCAGCTCCTGTGCCATCAGAGAGCATCAGAGCAAAAGAGCAGAGATGCAGGAGCATCTTTCCCTCCCCATGGAAGTCACTGAATGGCTTGTGCCCAACTGGGACTTCCCCATGGATCCCAGCTGCAGAATTTCCTAAGGATTCACCACAGGTTGCAGCACAACCTTCTTTATGATTGACCCAAGAGGATGGGTGTGTCTTAGGAAGACAAATGCCCAGGATCTGTGTCAATCATACTGACACTGGTAGTCAGGGAGTCCTTAGCACTGCAGGCCAAAATCCTGAATCCCAGTTTCTTTCATGGAGCTCAAAGCACTCCCTGGCTTCCCAGTACAGAACCTGACTGGATAGTTACTCCAGGCTAAGCAAAGCTGTACCTGAGGAAGGGCCCCTCCTGCCCTTCCACCCTCCCTCAGTCCTACTCCCATCACACATAAGGATCTTGCAACCTCAGGGTAGTTTGATTCACAAGATAACTTTCTCAAAACCTTTTTAGTTTGAGGGTTGCTTTCCCTTTTATCCACCGTAAACCAAATTCTACTCCCACTTAAAAGAAAAACCTGTCAGTGAAGACTGTGTTTTACCCATCCTCAGAATCCATTCAAAGTTATGGATTTTTGTCTTTCCAAACTGACTTCAGTGAGTGTGAGGCCCACAGTTGTGGCTCCAGTTTGGACTCCAGTGTCAATCCCCAGCCCTCCAGTCTTCTCTCACAGCCTCCTTACCAAAATGAGTTGCTATATAACATTTAAAATCAGTGAAATACTCCATCACATTTCCCAGGACACTCCAGGTCACAGTAAGGAACACAAGAGTGGTCATAACTCACCTCAGATTCCTCATAAGTGTAGAATCCTTTTGTTATTTTCTTTTCATCAACATCACAAAAGGCAATGACCTGGAACAGAGGAACAGAGCATTTCATAGCAGGGTTTCAGCTGTAGTGTAACCATGGAAGGAATGCTGCTGGCATGGGATGGACACAGGGATAGGGCAACACACCCTGGGCCTCCTACAGAGCTTAAACATTTATTAAATCCTTTCTGGGTGTACCTTAAGGAGTTGGGCAAACTCTGCAGTTGTTTATGAGCACATTCTGTTTTCAGGAGCACGAGCACAGGTGATCAAAGCCACTGACTGTGCAAGAGAACATCTGTGAGATCACCAACCTCATCCTCAGAGACGTGCTGAGAAACCTAAAACCAGAGACCAGTCTCCACATTTTGGCACTCCCACTAAACACCCAAGATAATACAATCCTTCTTTTATATAATAAAGCAGAATAGAATGTACCACCAGACACCCCAGGACAGTGGTGCTGCACCACTCCTTTGGGTGCTCTGGCAATACCAACCTCAATTCTAGGGCATAACACACCAAGTTTGGGAATTCCTGTGAACATGGACTTTTCAACTGAAAAGTTCAGCAGATTTGGTGTTTAAACACATATAATCACTGCTTCATTTTGGTTATTCTTACTGGAATTATGGAAGCATTACTTGCAGCCCGAGGTGCCAGATATTTTAGATGGTGTTTTATTTCCTCATAAATATGCAGGCAGAATAAATGCCTGCCATCCAAAATACACAGTGGCCTTATTTTTTGAGCCATTAGGTTGCCAGGAACATTTTGGAAGACTTTTTCAAATAAAAATAGCTGTGTCTTCCTCTGCCTCCCATTGGGTCTGTTCAGATGATCTACGTGGAGCTCTTATGCTGAAGCAGAAACAGTGGAGACAGTTGAGGTCTTACAGAAATCAATTATTCTGCTGAAAGCTGGATAGCAGCTTTCATATCTTTTTAATTGTTCCATTAAAAATTGATTAACAACACTTACTGCTGAGAAAATCTGAAAAGCCAAACAGCTGTTTATTAATTTATTAAGTTAGAGAAGGGTGCAAAAGCCTGGCTTGTTTTCCGTGTCTAAAATCTCTCTCACACATTTTCTTCCTGTGATTAAGATGGTTTTCTTTTACCTAAAGTGACCTCATTCTGTTTGTGCAGAGGGAAACACTGGGGTTTTTTGATACCATAATATCACTTCCTTCATTAAACATCAATGAAAGAGAATGCAAACAAAAGTATCAAGGGATTACAAATAGGGCTGCAAACCACCACTGTATCTGGAAAATGAGCTGATAAACTGGAGGAGGTGGGCAGGGATAGTCCCTGGAACCACTTAGAGGGAGACATTCAGACCTAGGGAATGGGCTGCTTGAAAACAGGCACAAAAAGAAATAAAGATCAGAACATTAAGGAAAGGAAATGTTAAATGTTCATGGTGGGGGTTTGTGACTAAAGGAATCCCATCACAGGCCAGCAGATCCAGACTTGTGCTCTGGATGATCCTGCTGCAGGGATTGCACCGAGGACACTTTACACCCCTGTTTCAGGCTTTATAATGGAAATAAAAACAAAAGAGGGAGTTCAGGGCAAAACTAGGAAATTACTGGACACTGTCCCAGGTGTCTGTGGCTGGTGCAGCTGGGTCAGACAGTGACACACACAGGCAGCTCCTTCAAGCACAGGCTAAGAACCAGGGGAGCTTTTTTTCCTCTTAACCACAAATTGATAACACTTTACACCCCTGGCCCTATTTCCATGCCCACTGTAATGCTTTATTGGAGTTGAAAAATCAGATGGTGTGACCTGAGCACAGTAAACTACATCCCAAGTTTTCCTTTACCCATCCTATTTACATGTGTACATACACCCATGGATATAAATATGTCCATGAAGGGAAGCAAGTAGAGGCCACTGGAAAGAGGTTCCTTAACTGTTTTCTCTTCATTCTGTGTTAAGCACCTTTAAAATTCTCCAATATTCTGCAAATCTCACTGTCACCACTAGTGTTTTATTATCCTAGAAGCTGTGATCATAATAAAATTTAGCAGGGTGTGCCCTCACTGACAACCCAACAGAGTTCTAGAGATGAACACTGTCCAATACAGTGACTTATCTTCCAGTAATTGAAGTTATTTTTTCAGCTGCTTATGGTCCTATAGACATTAAAAACCAAAATAAAACACCAAAGCTCATGACACAAGGTAAAGTGAAATTCTATCTACACTTCACTGTCAGTAACTGGGAACTCAGCTGTAAGATCTGTGCTGGGAAGTGTCACAGTGCTCAACTCCAGTGTGTTATAACAGTTAACAGAAACCCTGACTGGTGCCTAGACTTCTGCTCAACATGAATTAATTTCTTCCCAATATCCAACCTAAATCCACTCTCTGTCAGTTTAAAACCATTTCCCCTTGCCCTATCACTACATGCCCTTGCAAATACTCTCTCTCCAAAGACAGTTCTTGTATCACTAAAGTGGCAATAATCATAATCCTTCCTCTCACCCTGGGCCATAACTCAAAGTGCCAAAGTGCCTTTTCCATCCTGACTCCCCAGAACATCCCACACATGAAACTGGGAAGAGCAGCTCCAAGAAAAAAATAATACAGGTGAATCTGTGACAAATTTCTCTTGGAAAATAGAAACAACTCGAATCCTTTTCCGAGTTTCCACTGAGGTATCTCCCTCTGTAATTCTCAATGAACTCAGCCAGCTTAAAATCTGATATTTACAGTAGTGGAAAACAGGTCAGACTTGAATGGGCAATTTTTCTGCCAGGCAGTTTACCATGTGGGTGGTCAAAAATCTAAGTCAACTGTTTTTCTGACACACGTTATTTATTTTCCAATTAAAGCAAAGCCATGTCTGGAGTCTAAATACAAGACTTAGGCACAGTTGTTTATCCTATAAGGAGAACTCAGGGCATCAGGCTTATGTGAGTTATTTACTTTATACTCTATCAGGATAAACCCAGAGTTACCTATTTATTTTCCTGCATTAATGGGTTTCTTTCTTGTAGCTTTTATGATGACCATCTATCCATACATGAACTCCTGCCTCCCTCAGAGGAACCTATGAATTATAAAGCCATAAAACAGTCTCAATTTGCTGTTTTTCTTCCCTCTTTTTAGCAAAATGACTCTTTGGCAATGCCTCTGACAGTGTGACACCATTTAAGCTTACAGCAGAGTCCTCATATCACACTTCAGTTTTAGCAAAATATATAAATTATTACATATTTTTGTTTTGAACATCAGTTGTATGAAAATCTGTACAATTCCAAAACAAAGGAAAAAGACTGCTAATTCAGCTCAAAACTGGAGGACACAGCTGGGTATCTGTTATAGACAAGTTATGGAATTACTGTAATTTGTATAAATATGGATTGCAACATCCATTAACAGTGGTGTAAGGGAAAAAGGAGACATAGTTTTCTCCCTCATAGAGAAAGTTTACATAGTTCCAAAGATAAGATATTTACTCAAAAACAATCTCTGCTGGGGGAAGACACGTTTGAGGAAGATAAAAGCCCTTCTCTGGTTGGATCTGCCTCATAAACACAGAGGGACACCCAGGCTGGGCCATCAGACCTCCCTGGGGAAAAGAGGATTAATGGGCAGCAGATTGATCCTCCTCCAAATGTACAACGAAGGAAGTCTCAGAAGGACAAGGAATGTCACCAGGAATGACAGCAGAGTGGGTTTGGGGTTGACCACCTGCCTGTTTGAGCTCTGCTATGATTACAATTAATTGTTTGTTTCCCAAGTGACTTGTTCTACTGCAGGGAATGTTTCCTCACACTTCCCAGTCCACTCAGATTTCCTAATGGAAAAACTGAAAGATTTCATCAGTCCAGTGATGTCCTTTTATGGTGAATGATCTTCATAGGATTTTACTCTCTCACCTTATTTTCACCTGTGGTTTGCTTTAGCTCTGTAAGCACCACTTACAGGTAGCAAGAAAACAGAATTACAGCACATTCTCAAGGTCTGCTTGAGCTGGGAGGATCCCAGAGGCAAGTTTTACATGGGAGAGTGAATAACTGAGTAGAAGGTGATAGAAAACTGAAAACCCTTTCAATAAATGGTCTCCTGTTCACTGTCTCCTCTTCCTCCTCGTTACTTCAGCTGCTCTCATAAAAGCCACCTTCAAAGAGACAACCTGCAAACTCTCCAAAATCCCACAGGAGCAGATCTTCCCTACTCCTTTCTCTCCATATCTCACACAATCCTCCATCTGTTCTAAACTTCCAGTGACCCTGTTAATTCTTCTATTTATAATTCTTCCATTCCAGCTTGCAGAAAGCCTCGGAAGCACGTTAATATACATCTCTGCAAAAGGGAAATCAATTCTGGCCATTCACGTCAAAACAAAGCAACTGAAAGCATTACAATGCAAGTTTAAATAGATACAGCTAATGGCAAACAGAGCAAGAGACAGGCAGAGGCATAAACATCTCCAGAAACCAGCAAACAACTCTGTGCCACAAGCTGAGTGATTCTCTGTATCAGGAGTTGCTTTTATTTCACCTCTTCAGCGTTGCAGCAGGACAGAAGCTGTGAGTATCTTTAAATCCCCAGCATGCATTTCATTGCTCCATTTAGACACTGTTCCACTGAGGAGAGCAGCAGCTTCCCCCTCTGCACATAATCCATAGCAAAGTCACTCAGGAGAATTTGAACAACAGAACCCAGCGTGCAAAATAAGCTGCTGACCACTGGACACACCGAATTTTCCTTATTCCATACAGCATACACCTGCCTTTATATCTTGTTGCCAGTGTCTCATCTCTCTAGAGCAGGTTCCTCCTACCTGAGTCATGCCAGGAATGTTTCAGGTGTGAAATCTCTGTGCTGGCAAAACAGAGGCTGCCAAAAAGCACATCTCGTTTGGAAGGAGCAAGGAGCTTTCCTGGCCATATTTCACCCTGAACTATTTACTCTAGTCCAAAATGAAGCCTCTACTTTACCTCACATCATTTTAAGATGCTTTATACCTGGATTTAACCGAATCTTTCACATTTCATCTCTGTCTCTCCTTGTTCTGGAGGCTTTTAACTCACTTTCATGACCATTCTACTTCTCACTCCACAGTCAAAGTGGGTGTGATATTATTCCCTGTTTCTTTTTTTTTTACATGTCCCCACTCCACTCTCCTGCTGCCATTCATGTACTTTTAGAGTGGTTAAAATGCTACAAAACTTAGACATTCCTCTGTTCTGTGAAGGATCAGAGCTGAACCACATGGTTTGGTGATGCTGCTCTTGGAAAAAGGTGAAGAGAAACCGAGGGATGATTTTAAGTGGTCACTGAACCAGGAAAAAAGGGCCTTCAAAGTACTTTCTGAAGCTTTTGAGTTTGCCACCAGCAGACAGTGTTGTCATAGAGAACCTTCAGGGCCTGGCTGTGTAAAGCACTGTTTCCAGGCCACTAATTAGTTGGTGCTTATTTCATCCTTTCCCCTGCTTTTTTTGTGAGCCATTTGAGCCCTATTTTCAGCCCTCGGAAATGACACAAAACGTTAATGCTGAAGTTCTCCTTTTAGCTGGAGTCTGATGGAGAATAAAAGAGCAGACAAGACAGCTCAGAAAACCCTCCAGGCACATGTAGCATCCCAAAAAACATTTGGTTTCCATCTTCAGCTGGAAATTATAGACACGACGGATGTGTTTTAAACAAAAAAAGGTCTGTTTGACTTCATTCTTGCAGAAATGCTAATACTGAACCACTGTCAGTGGTGTGAATCAAGAAGGGAACAGCCAGGAAGCAGAATTTCCCTAAGAATACTGAGATCATGGTAATTAATTCATAAAAAATCCCTACTAGTAGAATAATTTTTTTCGTGTGTTGCTGTTTAGCAAAAATACTGAGTCTTGGATTTTTGCCTGAACGCTTTGGAGACAAAGCATCATTTTAATATTCACCATACAGATGGCTGAAGGAAAAGAGAGAATTGCTGAGGTGTCCTTTTGTCTTTTAACAGAACCATAATTCAAATTCACACTGTTTTCCAAACAGACTAAAGCAATAATTTGTTACTGAGTATGAACATACCCAGACCGCTGCTTCCTGGAATTGCCTAAATTTTGTTTTCTAAGAAACAATGCTGTCTGGCATGAAACAGAGCTGTGCTTTTCAAACATCCCACAAAGACCTAGTCAGCACAAGAAATGCAATTGCTTTGTTTATCAGCTTCTAAAAATACTAGAAACATTCCTCTTTTGAAAAAGATGGGTTTTTTACACACCCTAAGCTTGACAGTTCAAACTAATTAATCCTCTTCCTGAAGATTTAGTAGAGTTTAGGGTGGGGTTTTTTTTCAGAATTACAAAATGACACAAGCTGTATGTAATAGGTTTTTGGGGGGGTGTTATCTACCCTCGGGGTGTGTGTCCCAAATTTTCTACAGGTATTTAGTGCCAATTGAGAAAACACCCTGCTGTGACTCCACAGTCCAACCAAAGTCAGGCTCAGGACATCTAATGAATTCTGAATCTCAATAAAAGGATGCAGCAACAGCCAAACAGAGCACAGGTGACATTGTCAAGAGCCTAAACTGACTTTAATTATAAAACCAATTAAAGTTAAGTTTAGAGGGGTAAATTAAATAAATTTAATTACACTTTACAGCTAATTTTGGCAATTTTGCCTGCATTTCAAAGGGTGCTGGACCTTTTAAGATGACACTGTTTTACACAATGGACCTTCAAGAGGAGAAAATGGTACTTGTATGGATGTAATAAATCATATTTTGCCCTAAGGGGCTTTGGAATTGTGTTTTAAAGGTGTCAGTTTTACATAATTGATGAATTCATATCCCAGGCCCTCCATTTACAAGACAACATGAGATTCTACTTGTAGATTCAAAGTAATATTGAACCTCCAGTGTTCTCATAATTAACAGAATATATGAAAGCTTAAATTTTGTTAAGGTGGTCTTGAAAGGGTGAGACAGGAAAAGTATTTTATTGTTTTTAGGGCTGGAAAGGATGAAGCAACAACTATTTACAACCTTTGTTCATATGGGATTTTAGAGCCTTTGGCAAGAGTTGCAGATTAGTCACAAAATACCTGAAGGATTTTTGAGGGAAAGTAGAACATGGAGTTTCTCTACCGACCTTTTACTGTTATTAATTTAGAATAAAATTAAAACTGTCACCAATTACCTACTGCAAATTATATGATTTTATTTCCTGAAACTCCAGCAGCACAATCCTTTGATTAGCTCTGGGAGAAGTGAGATGTTTTCACTACTTACAGCCCTTTGCCAGTGACTTACACGAAACATGAGGACATCATTTAAGTGTCAGGTCTGACTGAGCTGCACAGACTTGGGATCTCACTTTTGGAAAAGCCACGAATTTAGAACAGAAATCACAATGAGCCTGAACAGATACACAGAACTAGTGCTTTAATCACTATAGGGAACAATAATTTAATCAGAAATTAGCCTCTGCTCTCACTTGGGATGACACAAGTCCTTCTCTGAAGCTATTTATCTTTGCTGGTTATTGAGAAAACCTCTCAATGCTTCAGATAACATGTCAGACTCAGGGGGTGAAGTCTGATTACTCTGCATAAGGTATAAAGCATCACTGTGCCTGCATTTTAGCAGTAGTTTTCTGCAGGACATGTGCAAAATGAGTCACACTTGGCACATGCAACTGCATCTGGCACGTCCTGAACGTGTCTGGAGTAGCATCCAGTAACTCATGGGTTAATGCTCAGTGCAATATTTCAGTATCAACCCAAACCATACTGGAATATGTGCAGTTGTAACCTTGACAGAAGCAAAACAGCATCAGGGCCCAGAGCTCTGCCAAAGCAAACGTTATGGAAAGGTCAGCTGGAAGGAATGCCGGGATCCAGCTAATTGGAACCACACTGCCCGTGCTGGGGTGCAGGGAGTGGAGGCTGTTCCCTCCTAGAGGAGAGCTGAGCTTGGGTTCTCTGGCAGGAAAGTGGCAAGACCCCAACAATATTATTTTTCTCTTGCCCTTTTTATCGTCTCTGCTGTGACACCTTCAAGTGTTTGTGTGATGTGAAGTCCCAAATGGGTCACCTACAGATGCAAAGCTGGAGAGGTGCTCTACCTCAGCATCCATCTCCATCTTGGCTGGGTACAAAAAAGTTAGAAAACAAAATAAAACAAAAAACCAACACACTTAAAATGATGCAACACTGCTACAAACCAACATGGTCTATTTTTACTGTAACATCTCAAAAATCTACCAGACCAGCTGCCATCTCGTCCCTTAGAGTTTATTTTCTAATTCTCCTAATTTTGCAGACAGAGGAGTGCAATTGTTTGTTGCTGGTCAGTCAGTCAGGAATTCAAAGTGCTCAGCAAAATACTAACAAAAGAGAATATTTTCATGAACCCCTCAAAATCACACTGCACTGCATGGCCAAGGTAACACATTGAATGGACAGGTCTGTCCTCTTTGAATGAAGCAACTGATTGGGAACACACAGCATTTAATCTCCTTTCACCCCCTGCCATGTGATGGCAGTGACTGAGGGATGGCTTTGGAATAGCATTGGAACATCAAGCAGGAAAGTCAGTTCAATTTTTGCTTTGTGCATTGACTGAGTGTCTCCTGTGTCTATTCAGTAATTTTAACTATGTGTATACAAATGTCTTCTATTTTTTTCAGATGTGTGTGGTCTCAGGGCCACCACATTAATCAGGTTTATATATATATTTGTCATTTTGTCTTCCCATCCATATTCTTAAGAAAAGAAAAACACATCCAGCCATAAAATGAATGTTCTGTGGCTCTTTATAAGAAACAGCCATCTGACATCAGCCCTACAGCCTTTATCTAACAAAAAGTTATTGCACACTAGAAAATGCTATAAAAATAAGGTATTTGGAGTCTCAGACAAATCTGTCCTGAGAAATGTCTGCCATTGCCAAATATAAGCAACCTCCACATTTTCAATTGACTGTAAATTGGACAGTCATGTGTAACAGTTTCCACTTGCCTGTTCACCCCACTCCTCACCCCGATTTTTGGCAATCGAGCTTTCCAAAGGGAGTCACAGCACAACTGCTCACAGGGCCGACCAGACTGATCAACATCCCACAGGGACCTGTCCAGCATCCACTTTGGAACTGGGAAATATGTATGAATGAGCCTGGACAAGGCAGTTCAGCATCACACCACCCAAATAAAGAGTTACTCTGCTCACCCTGAGTACTGGCTACTACAGACCAGACACTGCTGTATAGTGTAACTCATCTACTACTGCACTTAGTTACCAGCATGTTGCTCTCAGTACACACCATAAGCTCTAAATAAAGTAACATGGCATTTTAAAAGAAGAAATACATCACCTGAAATATTGAGGATTGCCCCAAATTACATCAATCATCAACTAGTACTTTTGTGGACAAAGTATCTGATGAGAAATTTGCTACATTACATCAGAAGTGGCACAGGAAAGAGAAGAAGTGGGTTTGTACATTTTTTACCCATTTACTAGCTCACCTTTTTCCTATTAGCTGGTGACAAACTTCTGTAGAGCTTCTTGCCTTGCTTGCCAGCATTCCAAATGGTGAATGATGTCCAGGAGTTCAGGACTCTGTCCTCAAGGAATCTGACTCGGTGGTTCCAGATGGTTCCCCTGGAGAGTTAGAAAAAGGGTGGATTTTGACCTGTGAAGCTTTTAGCATGATTATATATTATATAATAATATTATATATATATTATTAGAAATAAAATAAATATAATATTATATATTATTACCCTACATGCATACACTCCCTTACATGTAAACCTGACCGAAGTGATTCACATAATACAAAAAAAAAATCACACCAAAACATTATTTACTATTAGTGATTTAATTGTAAAAGTTCCAAAGTATTATTCTGCAGTGACACAAAGGTGACTGTACCTTTATTTGAAGACGACTTTCATAAGAAACTGCATTTCTAGGAACAAAGAGCAGCGGAAATTTTTTATATTTCTTTTTTTGGGTGAAGGGATATGTCTCATAAAACTTCTTAAAACATGCTCCAGGAAAAAAAAAAAGCAAGTTGGCAGATGTCTGTGTCCAATTACACCTTCATGTCTTCGTCTTTGGGATAAGTTCCACAAGATAATTTAAGCCAAGTGGTTGAGGTAAACAACTGTGACAGTAATACCAAATGATGAACCACATGGCTCTGGAACAGCCAACAGCTTTAAACACTGAGGGCCCACTGAGAGCTTCAGTAAGTTCAAGGCAGGTTCTCAAAGAGAAGACAATGTCAAGGAAAGCAGTTTGTTTTCCTCCCAACTGGCAAATTCACTTTGACAACTACAGCACTTCCCACATGTGTGTGTGTTGCTCCACCCTATAAAGGAACATTTAGGACTGCATCATTTACAGTGGATTAAAGGAAACTGCCTGCTGTTCAAAACATCTGCTTTCTGTCCAGGGTTCATTTAATATTCATAATTTATCTCAGATTAACAAACAGTTTTCTTGATAGAATACATTGATTTCCTCAATTTATGGCTTGACAAATGAATCTTCCTAACCTTCATCTCCTGAAGAAGGCACCTTGAGTTGAAACTTTCATAGGAAATTCTGATGAACACCTAATTGTGTCTCCTTTCTAAAGGATTTCTTCAAATGGGTTTTTCCATTTGCTTATTCCCATCATTCCATCACAGCCCCAAGCTATGGGTTTGAAAACCCTCATAACACTCAGGCAAATGGACTCTTGCTGGGATTGTTCCTTAGATCCAGCAATTCACTTCATTTCAACAAAGCCAAATCCTGCTTTGCACTTCATCACTGACCCTGGTGTGGTAACTCAGAAAGGGCTTCATGCACAAATAAATGTACCCAAGCACAACAGCTAGTCCATGTAAAACCTCCCCCCTGTTTGGAGGATGACGATTGTGCACCAGCATTTCAACTAATGGAGGGAAAAAACTCTTGGATTTGATCACAAATCTCTTCTAATGCAACCACAAACTGCATTCCTGCTTGAACTGCTGCTGGCATCCTTTGACACTTGCCTTTTTCCATGTTCATTAGAGCATAATATATTCCCAGAAGGAAAGTTAAAGGAACCAAATATGAAGGTCAAGTATTTTTCCAGGATCACTTTACTAGAGATTTTAGAGCTTCTGCTCACTTCTAAAAAGGAAGATTATTGCTTTGCACGTAAATGGAAAAGTTTTAAAAGTGATTTTCCTTTGAAATGTGACTTCAGAAGGATAACACTGTATTACATTCCAGAGGTATTTCAGAACCTGTTCTGTTGGCTTGAGTGACACCAGCAAGTTTCTTTTCCACTTGAGTTTGCAATGCTAAGAAAGCAAAATTAAAAACCAGGCAACCATACAAGGCATAAATAGAATTATCAACCAATTTCTAGTTGCAGTGCAAACACTGCAATCTTCCTCCAGGCACACAGAAATTGTTTTCAATTGTCATGGAGATCCCAGCACAGCAGTATTGGCTCTTCCAGACAGTATTTGATGTCCAGGTGATGGGAGTCTCTATGCTACAAAAGTCCCTATGCAGGTAAAACTCAAATCTCATTGTTAACAGAAGATTTCAGACTGAAGCAGATTTACTGGCCCCATCTTACCTATGAATGTTATTTTGAGAAGTGTAAGTGGTCAAAATCTGTAAGGGAACTGCATTCAGAAATAAAAGGACATAAAAGTTATCAAACTCCAAATTAATTGGAGCGTTGTTCAAACATAAGAATACTGTCACACAGTTTCATTTAAGCACCAATAAACAGTTTTCTTAAACACCTATTTTGGGTTGTGAAAATGAAACCAGTTGTGAGTTTTGCTTGCATCACTGTGAGGCATTCTGATGACAATGCTCACAACTTACAACTCACCCATATTGTGTGTACTCTTCTCCACTGAAAAAAATCAAGTTATATTGAACACTTTGCAGTCTAGAGTTAACCCCAAAATATTTTTAACAGTGCAAGCAGAGATAAATACAGGCCTGAGGGGAGAGTTTGTGACTGACTTCAGAGTGACACTCACAGACTTCACCTTTGTTTGTGCACACCAAGTTTTCAGCATCTCACACGTTGAAGCGAGAGATGCTCAGGGGGTGTCAAGGGAGAGTTTCGGTTGCCCCCACTCACGTTTCCGGTTCGCCTCATTTGCCACATTTTTTGATGTTTCCAGAACAGATAACTGGGATTCCTGCCTGGAGGGATAAGGGAATGCCATTTTCCCACCCTTTCCAAGCCAGTGCAGGTGCAGCAGACAGGAGCTGCAGCAACGTGCAAAGGATGATTAAAGCAAACGCCTGAAACGATGCAGGAGTTGGACAAACCACTGCCGGGAGAGGATTCTCACAGCTATTTTCAGATTATGCATTATTACACATTCATAGCCACCAGCAACACCTAGGAGGTATTGTTACTCCACATCACCCCAAATCAAGGCTGCTTTTCCTACCCAGCTCAAAAAGGACTGGAGAAAGCAATTTGCAGTAGCCTTTAGGAGCATTTCCAAGCCTGTACTCAGCTCACAAGAGTCTCCTCAGCCAGAAGGTGGGATAAAATTCCTCTCACTGTTCAAGTTTGCTCCCATATCCTAATATCCTATGTCCCTAATTCTTGAAATACATTATTTCCCCATTTCTTTCATTTTCTTGTCACATCTTCACAAAATAAACGTTAGAAGTGTGCATTTTTCCACTTGGAAAGCCATCCTTGGGGCTTACATAATTTTCCTAAGCTCTCACTTGCCGTGGCCCCTCACTAGTCATCAGTTATGTTGTCTGGAAGGAAGAAGAGGAGCCAAATTTCTGCAGGAGTGAAATGAGGGTATTCATGCAGTGGGTGAGAATGACTACGCCGTGTGTTCCTCAGCCCCAAACAGTTATTACCAGACCATCTACCCAAGTAATGCAACAATGGAGCTCTGTTAGAATGTGTGGTGACCTCCTGACTGAACACAGGAGTCAAGAAACATCTGCTCTACTCCTATTTTGAAATGAAAGATAATGTGACAATAAAAGCAACATGATTTAATGTCTGAGCTCAGTCAAACCTCACCGTACTGTTTGAGAGCCTTTCCCCTCCTTCCCCCAGCGAGGCTACATAAGTGAATCAGCAGAGCAAGGACAGATGTACAACTCCTTGAGAAATGCAGAAATACAAGCCCAATGTCCTAAACAGTACTGGAATTTTAGGCATTGATTGCCATCCCCAGTAACACTATAGATCCATAAATCTGACCTTTTCTCTGTACACTGGCCCCCACACTGCTCAGGTGACACCAGGCAGGAAGAGGAGCTGCCCAAGTGAACAGCCCCTTCCAGTGGCTTTTTACTGATGGCAGGATAAGAGAGTTCTGGATTAGAGGTGAATCTCACCTGATCGATAAACCAGAGGTGGAAGAACAGAGACCTTTTTAATCACAGTGAGAGTTGGAAGAACAGAATTCAAGGTCCTTACAGTCCAAAGGAAATTCAGAAATAAATCCTGTTTGAACTTTGGCCACGCTGGTGAATAAACTGATATTTTTTTGTCGTTGTTGTTCTGTTGAACTTCATGTGAACTTATTAATTGCTGGACTATATCGTCCCACTGAGTTATTACATTTACACTGTTAATAGGTTCTATTAATGTCTGAGTTCATCCTCAGGTCACGGGTCATTAGCTGAGGCATGGTTTGCATTGTGGCCTATTTTTCATGAAAAGCTTATTAAGAAAGACAGAGACTATCAATGTTAATGGCATTTACTTTTCAAGAATCTAATGAGGTCATTAGTTTCCATGTTTAATTGAAGTGCCAAATGCAAGCATGGAAGATAAAAATGCAGTTGACCTCATCTTTATTTCAGCTGTACAGGAATATGTTACGCTATTCCTCTCTCCTGCCTATTTTTGGATGTGTATGTTTTTGCAGGAAATGAAGGAGGCATTCCTGTGCTCATCACTGATAGAGACCCAGAGCACCTCTGGAACAGCCAAATGTTTCAGGCCAAGTGCCTGTTCTCCTTTGCTCAGATGACACTGGAAACTTTCAGTGCTTGAAACCAGATGGTTTCAATAGATTATGTAATTTTGGTTATTTTTGTTATTATACTTGTTCTGAATACAGGGATATGAAATTACTGAACCCCTGTAGGTGCACTTCACCTTTTCTGCCTGAAACAGAACCACCTGAATCTCAGACAGAAGGGACAAAACTTATTTTCTGCATATAATTAATTTTTTCCTGACTAAAAAAAAAATGTATATTGCTACAAGGATTAGCAAAGTTCCCCAACCACCTGTCTGTGAGCAACGCTACCCAAAGACAAGTGCACTGTTTTATTGTTCACCTTGTTCCAAGCTGGCTTTCATCTCTCAGTGAGGTACATTGTTGTATATACAGTCCCTTTCTCTCCACTTCAGCAAGATAAAGATCTGTGAGTTTTACAGTGTTTTTATTACACATCAAACTCTCTTACTCCAGCACTTCTCACTCCAAAGCCAGCTCTGATACCACACCAGTGCAACGTGGCTCTGCAGCACTGAGCACACACAGCCCTGGGACACAAACTGACACGTGAGGTAAAGTGATTCACATCCAAGAGGTACAAGGTGTGGGATTTTGTGTTGTAAATTCCTGGCTAAAGATCCTCAAAACTTGTCTTGCTCATTCCCATCCAGCAGGTATCCATCCCAGATTGGAGATGAATGTCTATATTTCTGCACGCTCCTAACGAAATCTAAATATAGACACTGGACTTCGTGCAGATTCTGTCACGCACCCAGAGCACTTAAAAACACAGACTGATGCCCCCAGGGTAAGGGAGAATGCAAATAAGATTGTGTTTCCTGCTTCACAGATATTCTCAACTCCAGATATTCGTTCCAGAAGGATACTAATCATAGGAAATGACCTAAAAAACGTGAGTGTTTGCAATTATACACGCTAAATAAAAAAAGAACCAAATGTCACTTGCCAAGTAGTTTTACATATATTTTAGGAAGTCTGAAAAAGCAAAGTCAGGCTTTTTTTTCCCCTGCACGGTTCTGAAAGACACCCACATAAACTGAAATCAGTCCATCACAGGCTACAAGTGACTGTTGTCTTTGCTGAGAAGATGGAATCATGCACCTTTGTATAAACAAGTCCTGGTAACCAGCTCTGGTGTTTAAGACTGAAATTAGGCATAAGTGTTAAAAAAAAAAAATCAACTTTCCTACAAGCATAATTTTGATCTCAGACAAGATCTTAATCTGGCTGATGAGTTACTATTTCCAAATCCAGGTCTGGGCTAAGTCAAAATTCGAAGATGACACGGGCCAATGGCAGAAAGACAAATACCACAGAAAACTGCTCAACAAAACACCCTTCCAAAAAAAAGGCTTCTAAAAAAGCCAGAACACGCAAATTAAATAAGGTGGGGTGACCACAAGGCGAGTTAGGCAAGACCCAATTTAAATTATAAACTTAAACCTTTGTGATGAGCTCGTTAATCTCTTTTTGCTCAACACACACCTCAGTCTTCAGACACAGACACTTGCCAACCCTTCAACGACGTGGGCAACAACGAGCCAGGATGAAGAGCTGTTGCACAACCTCGTGTTTGGAAGTTCACACCAAGCATCACCACCAGCAGGACCAGCAGAAAGCCAAGGGGAAGAACGGCCTCCCCTGATTTCTCAGAACGAGACGCGAAATTTGGAACGTCCCCACCACACATCTGAAACAGCTCCCAGCGTTTCCACATTCCCCCAGCGTGCTGTAATTCAGGGGGCTTGTGCCACACAACCTTGTAGATCTGGATAAGCAACAGCTTGCAGTAAATTCAAAACAAATCTGTTTCCAAGAAAAGGATGCTTTCCCACAGATACAAGCAAAAGGCTTCCAGGAGCTCCAGCATCCCACGATGTGTGGCTGAAAAGCCGGCCACTGAGTGCCAGAATGATCCCACACTCAAAGAGGGGAAAAAAAATCCCCTCAAACACCAATAAAAAGGAAAATAATTTACCTCACGCTTGTTTGTGAAATCCAAATAATATGTTCTATTTGCTTGGAATGACCTTTTCATAATTAAATTATTTTATAGGTGTATATATGTATTTATAAAGATCTATGGTGACATGATCACTATATCATGTGCTATTTATGCTTAGCATGTTATAGTATTTGCAGCAATACAATAACATAGTGATAGACAACCAAAATGCACACAGAAATGTTTTAGTTTTACTACTCAGCTCTACAAAGCCACACATATATGACTGAAAAGTGCATTTATATCATCAATCAGTAAGAAAACAGGTTTACTTAATTACCACTGTGATCCTGGTGTGGGACTCCTGAAGAACAGTAAAAACTCATGTAATTTTCCATTAATGTCAGTGCACAAGAGAAAGGAACTACTTTGGCTCAGTTTGCAGCACGTAGAGGAATCAGCAACTGGCAATTTAACATCTCCTTTAGGGGCTGAGCAGCCCTGGAAAGGCAGCAGGGAACTGCTTACAAGGAAGCACCTGAGATAATTACCCTAAACATCCTCGGGGATTTTTCAAACCTCATCATTTGATTTAGATGGTTTAGACCCTTTAAAATAGGAAAATAATATATGTAAACGCAGCACGTTATCAGATTAAAGGTTTGGGTTTGTTGGGGTTTTCTTTCAGAAGGAGGTTTTTGTTGGTACTACAAGTTTCTGTTTACTTTTTTAAAAACTGAGACAGCGATTCTGAAACTAAGGTTTACCATTTAAAAAAAAATATATATTTACATTTTTATATTATGTTTCACATGGCAAAAACTATGAGAATGAAACCCTCACATATTAAAACTCCTAATTAAAAACCCCAATAAAATTTCACCACTAGGGTATATTTTATACACATTCTTGCCATCAGGTTCAAAGTATTGAAGGAGTTATTGCTTCACTGCTTGCTTCACTCCTTGCTTCTGAACAGGGATTCACCAGATCAGATACAGAACCACACAAGTGAGTCTTTATTTCTGTGAGGGCAAGAAATTCTTTAAATTTTTGATTTTAAATTTTGAATTTTTAAATTTTAACTGTAAAGGTGCTTTAGAGGAGCAGGGAGGTTCCTCAGGTATGTTCTGAGATCTCACGTGATGGGTTGCACAGCCTGAAGGAAGAGTAACTGGATATTGGGAAAACAGCACTGCTGTAATGCAGCCCCCAAAATGCTCCCCTGCTCTTACAGCACCTATTGTGAAATTATTTCAGAAACAGCTGCAAGGAGAAAACAATTTCTTAGAGTATTTGCCAAATACTGAGGTGCCCCCAGCCCATTCCAGCCTCACCAAGTCACAGATACCAGTGTAGCAACAGCCTGTGGGCAGCAGGATCTGCACCAAAGATTTCTATTCATAATTTCAATTCCAGCATTACAGGATGTCACCCCAAAGCAATTTATAGCAAGAACAAACAGAAAACTGACCTTCCACCATCAAAACTACCAACATATTTATGTAATGCTTGCTTTTCAGCCTTTTTAAACAAACAAACAAACAAACAAACAACGCACACACTACTGGGTAATTGTTTTGCTGTGCAATGTCTGGAACACATTAAGCATCTCTGCTGCCTATCAACCACAATAAAGGCAATTCTTCATTTCTCCCAAACCCCACAACTTACTCCAGGACAGAATGAGTCGCAGCCTGTGGGTGGTACCGGTAGAGCAGGAGGCAACGGTTCACTCGGAAGACTCCACCACCCTTCTGGATATGGTCATAAAAAAACAGCAGATCTTCTGGGACCCCCTGGAACAGAAGCAGTTATTTCACACCAGTCAATGACCAGCATTCAGTTACACCTGAAGACATTTTGTTTTTCTGCCAAATGAATTTGGTTTAATGTCATTTTTATTCACAGACACAACTTCTCTATTACCCAGAGAGGTTGAGGACTCCCTATCCCTGGAGGTGTTCAAGGCCAGGTTGGATGGGGCTTGGAGCAACCTGGGATAGTGGAAGATGTCCCTAACCATGGCAGGGGGTGGAACTGGATGATCTGTAAGGTCCTTTCCAACCCAAACCATTCTATGAGATTATTTGTGTGCATCTCAATGAACTTATCTAATGGGTCATGAAATAAATGTGGCTAAAGCTACTAAAAAACCAAGCAGTGCTAGTTAAAAATGAAGTGCAGCTGACTGCAAGGACAGAGGTGGAAGAATCATCATCATCATCCTCTCATTTTGACAGGGATATCAAGCTTGGTACAAGTTAATCCAAAATGAAAGAAACCCAGCACTGAACAGTTTGTGCAGCCCGAAGTGCCACATAACCAAATGGTTTATACTGAAAGGGATCAGTGACTTCAGAAGAGTGTTTTTATGTTCTGCTAGAATTCCCCTTCTTTCTTTGGTTGTCATACAAATACTGCCTCTTCCCTAGGAAAGGTGACTCAGGCCCCACAATAACAGACCTCAATAAAATCCTGGATAAAAGCAGCCTCAGAATGAGGCAACATCTGAAAACAGAATTACTTGTTTTTTGAAACTTCCTTCCATGGTACATTCTTTCTAATGGGATTGTACACAATCCTGATGAAACACTGCAAGAAAAAAAGCTCCTACAATTGTGGATCTAGCAGGTTCTAGGAAATATTAGAGATTTCACAATCATTTGCAACATTTCCCACCTAAAAATCAGAAAACCTTCATGCCAGAGTTAGTGTCAAAAGGGCAATCATATGGCTCGTGGTATTCAATTACATTTTGTGGCATATGAAAGCATAAACCCACCTTTAAAGCCTTATACAGAAGGCAAAAAAGTAGCATCTATTTATATTTTGCTATGTTGCAACTTCTTGAAATACATTTTTTCGTGTTTAAATACAGATACTTCTTCCTCCAACCCAGTGTTTAAAAGGTCACATGGTTTTATCAGACTAAAAAACTCTGATATATAAAACCAGGTGGGTCAAACAAAATATTTCAGTGTAGAAACAATAAAAAGCTGAAAGAGAACATGAAGTTGAGAAGGAAAGGAGACTGAAATACATTTCTTTCTGTAGACAATATCACACACATGAATAACCAGGGCATAAACCTCAACCTCAGTTTTAGGCATTCTATTTCAACCCAGAAAAATAACAAGAGTCCAAGTTTAAAAAAAAATAAAAAATAAAAAATTGAATTTTTCCCCCATTACCATAGCTTCTGAGTTTATTCCATAATTAAGAAAATGAGATTCTCTAATTAAAGTGCTGGTCACAAAATCCCTCTGTGGTTTCTTCTGGTCCTCCAGTTACAGGAGCAAAAAAGTTCAGGGAGTATTTCTCATACCCACCAGGCTGAGCAGTCGAGGGGGTGTGAGAGGGGAAGAGAAATGAGACAAGAAAAAACTCTGAACCCTGAAAAACAACTCCAAAATACTCAGTTGAACATATGTATCTCAAGAGAAATCAGAATCAACTCCAGTTCTGGACTTTGCAGCTCCAGACCTCACTCTGGAATTGATGTAAGACACCGAGTTGGGCCACACTCCCAGACCCTGAATGAAATGGGCTCTGCTCTGCTCACCAAGGGCAGCTCAGCTGGAGCTATTGTCTGCCTCTGCAGATGTTTGTCTGACTTCTGGTTGAAGAGCTGTGATGCAGAAGAAAACTTTCAGAGAACCTCATACAATTTTTGTGGACCTACCCTGAAAGCCACAAGAGAAATGTGGAGGAAGCTGGAGCAGCTGACAGCAACCACAGTCATCAAGAACACAAGAAACACACAAAATAAATTTCCTTTTTATCTTGTAGGCCTTTCCATATTTTTCTTATTCTGGACTCCAGTGGAAATACTGAGCCAGCAGCAAAGTTTAAACCCTTTTCTCTTTTCCAGTCACACACCAGACCGTGTCATCAGGGCACGAATTCTGCAGCACGTATCAGTTTGCTGCAGGAGTCATATTTTGAGTCAGTTCTCTGATTACATCACACACATATCAGGAATTCCTTCTCTTTAGGATCAGCATTTACATTATTCAAGACAACCATTAATATGAATATTTAAGAAGAGTTACTGCAAAAGTAAAAGGATCCTTCAAAACGCTGTTTGGTTCCAAGTGTTCTTTTGCTTCCCTTTAACTGGCAGAAATACTCTGGAATAAAGTGCACTCAGCCCTAGGAAGGAGCAGGTGCCTTGTACTGCTCAGCAGTGGCCTCTCACATTACAAAGGAGCAGCACAGCCACGCATTTTTCAGGGGAGGAAAGATGTTGACTGTGCTATGGATCCTGCAGGGATGGGACTTCCTAAGGCTCTTGAGCGTGTAAGTTTGCTGCAACACAAGAGTTTCTTCCCAACTGAGATCTATTATTGGATCCAGACGGCATTTTAAATACCAGGAATCTTTGTCAAACAACACAACTTTCAAAGGAAAAGCTGTTTGACCACTAAAGGGATATTTTAATGTATTTTTTGAAAATTAATATCCATAGCTAAAACTATCAGTTACCAACCCAGCATTTTAGCAACAGGCTACCACATCAGTAGCCTTCAGCACCAATGGATACAATTAAATTGCACAGTTTACATGCTACTGGACTACATACAGAATTTTCCACATCACAGGCAACACCCAACTCTACATCCTCTGCTGCACTCAGGGATAAACTGATTCCAGCTCCCAGTGAAAAGTACAGCCTGCCCCTCTCTGCTGTAACCAAAATGCACCAGCCACAAGCAAAATCATTGTTTACTTTATCACATTACTACTGAACAGGTGAAGGGTTTGTGTTTACCCAGGATTTTGGGCAGGTATCCCTTGCTGTGCTGATGGTTGGCTGCATGGATGAGGGGCCTGATCTTTTATACACCCTGGAATGTCAAGCAGAACTTAATAAGTTAGAGTAACTCCTTGTTCAAAGTAAATTATCAATAATCCTTCCCTTGTCTTCTTCTCATCACTCACTGTTGTCACTCCTGGCAGATCACTGTCCATCAAACAGTGCTCCAGCCACCTCAATATATGTATTTTCCAAGGAGGTTCAAGCCTCCAACCACTACAACAAGCAATTCTGGTTACAGTTCTTGCAGCTTCACCATCAGTAATGGTGAGGAGCACCAGTAGGGATGAAGATCAGCAGTTTTTGGAGGACAATGCAGGAGTGATTCTCTGTGCAATGCTCTAACCAGTAACACTTGATAAGATCATGTAGCCCTGGGATGACCAACAGTAACTTCTGCAGCACTTCAGGCTGACAGGAGTCCTTTTTTTGGTGTCTTGGACAGAACTCACCATGAGGCTGTACAGGCATAAACACAATATAAGAGCTGCCTTTTACTGCTAAACCCAATGCAGGAGAGTGATTCTGTGGCACAATCATTCTGTCCCACTTTCCTCATCCCCCTCTTTTCCCTCTATCCAGCTTCCTCTCAGTCTCCTTTGACATGGTTCCCTTCCCTGCCCACTTCCAGTGCAGATTTAGCCTGTGCAGAGCAGTCTGACCAGTGAAAATGGGAGATTTCAAGAATACACACATTTATAACAAACAGTGTCATGACAAACAAGATAAGAGAATTATATCTATCCACACAATATAAAAAGCCCTTCAGTTTTGGAAAAGCTCAGTCCTTCCTCTTGATCAGGGGCATCAAGGAAAACTGGGCTATAACTTGGTGCTCCTTTTGTAAACCAGTCAGCAACATCAGGGTAACTGTTGGACAGAATATACCAAATTGCTTTAATTCCTCAAAGGAGCTTAAAATTGGTGAATGGAAAGAATTAAATAGCTGTTAATAGCTTCTCTACAGGATTATCCAATATATTCTTAAGTCTCTCTTGCTGCAGATCTGTCACTCCATTTTTTGGCTCCCATCCAAACCATGCCTTTACATCATTTTGCCTTGATTATAGGACCCAAAGCCTGTAACATTTACTTCATTGTTTGGAAATAATAGGTTAGAGGAAACTCCAAAAGGCTGCTTTCATCCAAATGCCTTGGCACAGAGAAATTCAGTTAAACAAAGATGATGGGGAAGTCAAATGGAAGGGAGCTGGTAAATTCTAAATGATATTTAATAACAGACCAGCAGAAAATGTAATTAGACATGGGGTATGGGGTGAATTTTCAAATAGCTTATAAAGTGTAATTAATCATTGGCTCCACCAATCTTCTTTCCTTTTTAGATCAAATATCTATTTCTGTTCAGCATTAACTATATCAAGCCAAAACGAGTAGTGCCAGTGCCTGTGTTTTATCCAGATTTTCCCCCAGAGAACCTTCATTGGTTATTTTACAGACTGACAATATTTTAATTCATGTTCCAAAAAACCCAAATTCCTACTTAGCCTTTTACCTCTCAGGCATTACTGTAACCATTTGCCTTTCTGGAGGGCATGGCATTTATGTGCTCTGGCAGAGAAAAATAGAAAACTGCATTAGTTAGTGCCTAACAGCCTCCAGAGTCACCTCAGAGCTTTACTGCATGGCTACAGTCTCCTGTGCACCCAGGGATATCTTGACACCTCCTCAATTCGTGGTTTTTCTGACCTTTTATCACAAAAATAGATCAAAACTGAGCTCCAGACACTTTGTTTGGAGCCACAGTTTGTATTCAGAAAGGCCAGTGGCTTATAATACTCTATTCCATCTGGGGCTCATTACGAATAATTTCCCCCCTGTTTGCACTTCGAGATTAGTTCAGAACTTAAAGGCTGTCGCTCCATTTTTAGTTCTCACACACTTAAAAAAGGAAGGTTAAATACAGAGGTGACATGAATTTGGGACAAAGCTGTGGTAAAACTCTAGAGAAAAAAATAAGTTTGGCATATAAGATGTCAAGAGTAATAGTGCCTGGAGAAAGCCAAGACTGTACAATTTTCCATGGAATGGAGTCTGCAGGTTAACAATGCTCATTTGTACAGCTCTTATTGTACTCAGGATTTCTCACTGAAGTGCCCTGTTAAAAATATGAAGCAATAACTTTGCTTCCCTAATAACAGACACCTCGTCCACCACTGCACGTGACTTGTGAGTTCCCCACTCTAACAGATGATACAGCTTCAAAATGTGCTTTTCACATTATACCAGACACTTTTGGACACAGTTATTACTTTTCAACAATGGTGCTGGTTATTAGAAGACACCAAAAATTACAGGAGCAAACCCAACCATGCAGGTAACGTCACACAAAATGTCAAGTGTGAGTTCTGAAGGGTTTAGTGAAAGTCCTGCTACTTCTTGCAGTAAGCACTGCACTCTTTATCCAAACTTGCTGGATAACAGGAAGATTATTTCCTTTTAGTTTCCTAAAGAAGTCACAGACGTGGTTCACATGACTCTCCTCCTAGCAGGGGATACTGTTTAAAATGTTACTTTACAGGCTTGTGGCCACTTCCATTGTATTATCTCAGCCTCAGAACATCACCAGAGCTGGCTAAAATTCTCTACTTCTCAGTGTTCCTGCTTTAATTATCATTTATCAGAAGTTGCACCTCTACCATTTTAGTTAATTAGTGCATAAAACAAACCTGTCAGGTTCTTAGAGACTGTTTATGAAGATCTTATCTAGGATTCTGCTTGGACATTGCCACAGTGATTACCTAAAAGGACTATATTCCCAACAACTGCAGATCCTGTCCAGAAAGAATTTTATTTCTAAAAAAACGTAAATATTTTTTTTAAATTCTGTTTCACTTTGAGCTTGGATGGCTGGAGAGATAAGTACATGTCTACCAGGAATAAAAAAGGATTGCACCACATCTTATCTATTTGTATTTTATCAGTCCACCCATAAACACCACATCACAATTTCTTCCATGGAAGAATTACCCTCCATTTGTTCTAAGCACTGAAATATGAAGAACAGGTGTTTGGATTTCATTTCAAATGAGAAATGCAGCTTTTTGGCACTGAAACAGTTTAGCAAACGGAGAAGGCCAAAACATGGAGATTTGTTGGCCTGTTGCTGTGTTTACTGGCAGCAACAGGACACTTGCAGGTCTCACTGTTAAATACCAAGTCAAAAATGGAGATGGGAGTGATCAGATTAATACAGAGTGTGGGTCAGGTCAGAACATCCACAGGGATGATTCCAAAGAGTCCTCAGTGTAGTTTACAACAGCTCCACTGATAACAGAGAAAAATCTTCCTTTGCCTCAAAGGAATTCTTTTCAAATGAAAATGAATGAGTTGGAGCAATGCTAAATACTTTGCAACGCTAAATACTGAAAGATTTAGGACTTGATGTTGTGTCCTCTAAACCCACAGAGGACAAAGGTTTGACTTCATTGCTCGTGTCCTTTGCTTTGTTCAGCCCCTTGTTCGCGGGGTGTTCTCTGAAGGGTGTTTCTCTGTATCAGCCACAGTCTGAGCATGGACACGTCGGGCACTTCACAACAGGGACAAACAACATGTTTAACTTATCACTGGTAATTTTTAAAACTAGGAGGACACACCACACATTGTGGCTGCAAAATCATCGGGATTAAGACTGTCAGTGTATTATGGCTGAATAACCAGAGGCACAGTTCCTACACAATTACACAGGGAGGGCAAAATAGAAAAAAACCCAACTCAAAAAAAACCCACAACAAAACAAAGGGAAATCCCCCCCAAAACTAAAAGCAAAAAGCACAGAACAATAGTCTGTTTAACTTAACCTCTTGAACTTTATCATTAGGCTTGCTGCTCTATTGTTGCTCCTGCTTTAACTTGCTTGCTTTCTTTTTTGAGCTTACTAACAATGCTCAAGAAGTCAAACATTCTTCAGAGAGTGCAAATAGAACGATAAGAAATAATAATAAAATAGAAATAAAGAGCATGGGTCAGTGAATGTAGATTGTATTGGGAGCCAGGCACCATTCCCAGCTCTTCCACTCACCCACCATGTAATTAAGGGCAAATCTTTTCACTGCTCTAAACAATTCTGTTCTCTGTCTGCTGTCTCCTTAAATTATAATTTTTTTGGCAGCCCAAAGAATAATATTTGTATATCCTCATACAAATATACATGTGTGTATGTCTGTGTGTATGTATACACACTATATGGTACTGAAGGGTTTCATTTAGAGGTTATAAAAATAACAATAATAATCATAACGTGTTGTAGTGTAAATAATAAAATAGAAAATAACCTTGGTAGATTTTTTTAGTGTACTAATAATGAAGGCTTCCCCTCCAAAAAAATTCAGAACCACCCATTCTAGCCTTAAAATCTCACCAAAACCACTGGAAGCAAAACCTCTCAAGTCCAAACCACACAGAATGGATCCAAATGTATCTGAATTAGATCTATTTGCCAACATATTTCTGGTACTACCAATGGACATCCATGGATTTTATTCCATAAACGTGCTGATGAGCTTAAAGCAACTGAACTTATGTAGGAAATTTCTGAAGAAAAAGAACACCCAGCTGTCAAGGGAGGAACTTCTCAGGTAACAGTCATTTAATTTGTAACCTCTCAATCCTGATGCTGAGGAGAAGCTCCTTAACATCTTCCAAAGACAAGCACAAGAACTGAGATTGACAAGTGGATATGAGACAGGTGGATAAATGAGATTTAATGGTTGTAGAATTATGGCACATTGTGACCTCCCCTCCTCCCTTCTTTCTTCATCTCAGGGATATAAATCTTCCCCCTCAGGAGAATGTACTTTCATCTCTTTGTCATCCTGCCTGCACCTTTCTTCCCTCCCAATCTCCTTCACCAGCCTTCCTTACCTTGCAGAGATAGTTCATAACAAAATTATGGGCTCACCTTTTTTTAGCTTTCAGATCTGCTGCATCTATTTCAGGGACTAAAGAAGAGCTTTTACATCTGAATCCTTTAATTTTTCCAGGTATACTGACATATCTAACAGATGTGTTGGATTTAACTACAATCAATTCAATCACCAGAGTTATCCCCAAATAACCTTAGCTGGTTAATGATTGTTTTTAAAAAAACAGGTGCATGGTGTGACCCAGGTTTATTTAGACCTCAGTTTTCAACTACACCCCTTCTCCTAGTGTTCCTTAATAAGAGGTTTAGGGCTTCCAGAGGCTGTTAAACAAAGGGATGGTTCCTGGATATCATCCACATTACTCACCTTTCCCCCCTCATCAAATTTTCCCACGTGAAAAAACCACTCTCGAGAACAGAACCAGGTTGGCATGATCACAGTGGGTCCGTGGGAGGTGAACACCTAGGAAAGGGGAAAAAAAAAAACCCAGTCAATTAATAGAATGTCTGTTGGGGAACAAAGCAGACCTAAATCTGGCAAATAGTTGGCTGTGCTTGACATTCAGCAATTTCAAGCACTGAGAAATGCAGGTGTTTAAAATTCAGCACGTGCTTGGTGTTGAAAGTGCAGCTTGAACCAGCATCTCTGAGGTGCCACAGCCCAGCAGGTGAGTCCAGTTCCTGCTTCACATTCCATAACTTCCTCTTCTATCATAAGTTGCAACACATGCAGAATACTTACAACTTTCCTTCAAATTTAGAGTTTTACACTGGAAATGGCACACATATCAATAATGGCAATGTTGACACTTAAGTGAATGAATTGAGAACAATCATGAAAAGTTAAAGTTCTTAAACTGAACCCTGTAATTGTTGTGCACTGATTTTCCATTTTATATTCCTTATACATATATGAAGTAGGAACTTTAACTGATCTTTTATTTCTGCCAAAGACACTTAAATCCTGATCAATCTTGGACAAGTAAAATACAATTTGTCTTAAAGGTTACCTGGGCACTATGGGTTTGCTATCCAGTGGTACTGACCTTAAAAGGTCATTGGAAAGGAAGGGCTTTAGGGACTGAAAAGGGAGTGATTATTAATTTCATCCTCTTGACTAATGACAGCTGAGAACTCTACAAATAGGTCTTTGCAGCTTTAAACAAACTTGTTGTAAATACAGCTGTGAAATAAGCCAGAATCTGGATTACTGAAGGTAAACTGGTTCTTTTTTTTTAGCACAAGATGAAGTATCCAGGCAAGGAAGAGACTGAACTTATCAAACACAATGTGCAAAGTGAAGGTAGGAGCCTGTGCCTGTTTCCAGAAACTACAGAGCACACCCTGGTTTATGAAGGCAGAAGAAACCAACTTCACAATTACTGTCAATCAAACACTAATGACAATGCAAGCTGATAATTTCATGGCATGTTACAGTGGTAATATTAATATTCCTGTATGATTGAAGTTCTTAAACCTCAGAGCATGAGTGTGCATTTTGTCATGTGCACCTGAGCACCCACATTATAGAGGTGTTCTTGATTTCAGACTGGGATGGAGCTCCTTCAACTCTTCTTATGTCTGGCAACTTCCACTTCCATTGATGAACATGGATATGAAACCCAATACAGACACTGAGATCAATTTCTCCAAATTAATTAAATTAGAAATCTAATCAAAATTTAACAGGTGACCTACTCCCACTTTTTTTATGGCATGAACCATCTGCCCAAACCCAGACATCCACTTTAGGGGCAAACACACAGCATGATAACTCCAGGAACACACCAAGGGATCTGGGGGTGACTCATCTTCACACAGACACTTCAATTTTAGGCAGTCATATTTAGTCTGAACAATCCTATCACCTAATGGCTCTGGCTTAAAACATCAGCAGCTTGTCCATAACTGAAATCCTCGAGCTTCAGAGGGGCTAAATGTCAAAAACTCCCCCCAAAAGTCAGTGGGAGCTGAAAGAGTCAAAACAATCCCAGAAAACCAGAGCAGACATGAGTACTTAGTACATGGTTATTAGTCCCACATTAATTACAAGGGCAATTGAGTATGGCCTGAACCAAACAATGACCAAAGAGTAATCCCAAAAGAAAACAGCAGTAAGGAGAAAAGCCAGGCCAGAGTGCACTGCATTGAATCTCACTTCTGAATGAAACAAAAACTTCAAAAGAGAGTCCTGAGCCTATGGGTACATGTGAGATGTGTTTGGAGAGGCCACAATGCCATTTCCTCAGTGCCGCCAGGTCCATCAGAGAACAGAAATGCACTTCAGCCCAGAGATGGAGCTCATTGTAATTAGCCATGGTCACGTGCAAAGAGCATCCATCCCAAATATCTGAGATAATCTGTTCCACTGACATGTATATTTTAGTGAAACTGAACAGAACAAATTTGAAACATTGAGGAAAAACATCCAAATGCCGCTTATGTTAACACAGATGATGACATGAGGATGATTTTATAGCAGACCATCACACACTGCATACACCACTGTCATTCCTAAATCCAGCAGTGCTCTTTGGCTCATTGTCCATCTCAGAAAAGATATTACAGGAGAATAACACAGACAAAACTGTGACTGATGATGCCACACATGATTTCAGGGAATTATCCTTCAAGAAAGTCTTTGACCCTGGGACAGCACACCAGCTAAATGTTAATGAATTGGCAAATAGGCTTTTTCTATATTAATATTTATAATGCAACATCAAACCTAACTTGAGGAAATTTAAATTTGTACTGCTGCCACAAAGGACAAATTCATGCTACTTTGTCCCTTGCTATATAACAATAATGTTTGGGAAGCTGAAAGTCCTTTGCTGTTGTTGTTAGTTAAGTATTCAGCTGGATCTCCTGATACAAATAACCACAAAATCAGCAGTGCTGCCACAAAGGAGGATGTAGGAAAAGAGGGCACCAGGCACAGAGAGAACAGCAAGACCATTTTTTTCAGCAGCAGTCCACATAATCCAAAAATAATCTTAAACCTGATAAAACTGTGTGCTCAAAGTCTAGATTTACAGTACATCTCCATTCATTTCAGAGCTCTCCCACTCATCCTGCCTGTGACTACTCAACTCAGTCAGCCCAGTCACAGCACTGGCACTCACCTGACCCCATGAGAGATCAGAGCACTACATCAGTTAAAAAGCCATTATTTTCCTCTTTTTTCCAAGAGTTAGTTTTCTATAGCCTTAGTTCTCTGAATCAGTTCACTGTGGGGTCAGAGCAGCAATACCACTGACACACTGGAGGGGGAAGGAACAAGCTTTGGAGAAGAAAACAAGACCTCCCTTTTTAGTCACTGCCCACAGTGAATCAGTCCAGCTGTAACATAAAACTGCATCCTCACACTGATGGGAGGGGAACCGGCCCAGGAAAAACACTAACTCCTAACAACTGCCCTGAAACACTGCAGCATCTGCCAAACTTCTGAAAACCACCTTGGAGAGCTTTTGAAATTTTATCTTCAAGAGAAAGTAAAAAAAATAACCTCAACCTTCTGCACTTTGGAAATTCTATATTTCACCTTGGTTTAGTCAGATGGGAAAGTCTCCTCTGTATTTCTTTGTTGTCTACTCTTGTCATAAACTCTTGCCAAGGTGTTAAAAGCTGGTCAAATTGCCTCACTCTGTGATAAAAACTGCAACTTCTCACTTTGTGAGACTGAAACTCAAGATTTTATCCATAAATCTTTCAGAATGCATGGACTGGAACAAGAAAAACAAAGAGAACATGCAACTCTTAATTTGGAAATCCAACAAAAGCAGATTTGGAGTGATGGTGCCGTGAACTGCTTTGTTTAGTTTTCTTGGAAATGTTCTCCAACTGTGCTTAACAAATGTCCTGTGTCACCTTGGAACATCAGTGGGTTTTCAGTCCACCTTGAGTAGTTAACTCAGTATATTGGAGAGCAGCTTGGACCTGTGAACCTTTCACATATGGCTGGTTTGGAAGATTAATGCTTAATAATAGTTGTTATTAATTACAATACGCTGTAAAGATTATCTAAATATTATCTAGTTCAATGAAACCAACTTACTAAAAACCCACTACAGAGCTTGTAGAAGAAAGTATAAATCTGTTCACATTTAGAATTCCTGGAGAACAGTGTTGCCATACCCAAGTTGGAATCTGTGTCCTTCAAGTCTCCAGGTGATGGAGACAGGCTGCTATTTCAGCATTGCATCCATTAAATTATTTAGGACTTTATTATCATCTGGGTTTATTCCAAGGATCAAGTAGCAAGTAATTGGAACTGGTTTGTTCTTGTTAACTGTTTGGCTATCGAATTGCATCCAACTGTTACACAGATTCCCTGAAAATAAATCTAAAGAATACAAAGAGTTGATAAAGTGACTTTCACTGTTGTGTTTCTGAGCTGTCAACAGCACATGGAACTCTGGTCCCCACTGATGCTCAGTGCAGATCATGTCAGCATTCAATGCAAGATTTCAGTTCCAATACAGAGAAAGGCATTTATGTGTTTATAGTAACTTCTCAAGGAAAGTTCTATTTCCTGAAGCAGCAAATCAAAATCTTAAGAGCAATGTGCCAAAAGCATAAATGCAGATGGTGAAACAACCTTATCACATCAGATATCACCACGTCATCCAGAACACAGGCAGTTCACAAACAGATTTAATCAGGGCCCAGACTGTTTTCCAGTGCAACAAGCTAATTCCCTACCATTCACCATACATTTAATTCAAAAATTTTCAAAATTATATCCACACAAGTCAAGGATTAGAAACAATCTCCTCTGTTGAGATAAACAAAGCTTTTCAATACCCAGGGTCACACATTAACACGTTATAAGGTGAAAAAGAAAAGAAAGCAAACCCCATGCTGGAGGGCTGCAATGATTTTGTGAGCTGCAGGGAGACCATCAATCCTGACTCTGAAAAATGATGTGTTAAGATACCCGTGTGTTAATTCAGCAGTGAATGTCTCAGGATCTCACTGATAAAGTGTACCAGCTTTACATCCACAATCAGGTGCATATTTTAGTGTGAGAGAAGAGGTACAGAAGGTAAGAGAGGAAAAGACCTCCTCCTACTTCAAAGAAGTATTGGGCAAATAAGATTTTTCAAAAGGAAATAATAACAACAAGCTTTCTTCAAGCTTTTATTAAGCTTTAAGGAACCTAACCTCCCAATGTGGTATGGATTACATGCAGTTGGTTTACATTGTACTGAACTGTTGTACCCTTTTGCCTGTACAAATAACTGCCTGTGTCACCTCATCACTGTGAGCTTCAGCAGCAGCTGAAAATCCCTCTCTAAAGAAACTGGGATCAGGCCCAGCAAAAAGCAGATTATAGGAATAAACCATGCCATGCCTCTCTGCCCTGAAAAGCTGATATATACACAGGAATTCTGGTGCAGGCCTGACTAAAAATCAGTGTTACAATCCCAAACTCTACTCAGCAACAAAACTAATCAAAAA